ATTAAGAATATAATAACTAAGTAGGAAGGTAGTACTAAACCTTTAGTTTAGCAAGCTTAATATATAGCGATTATAATATAGTTTGAATTATAACAATCCATATAGTAATAGTTAAGAAACACTACCTCAAAAACATGCTAGAATTGTAGGTTTACGAGGTTCTATAGGTCACGTAGGGCACACTTCTACCAATCTCCGCGGAAGTAGGGTCGTGCCCAACATTCGCTCCGTGTCTCCATGGTCAATAATGCCATCAATGCACTCCCGTGCTGCTTCTGAGCTCCTAAGCAATCATTCGAACCTCACGAAGCAACTGAGGCAGCCCATGATAGGCGCCTATCGTGATCTTACGGCCTACAGGGCCTGCCGCTCGACGACGGTTTGATTCAAGGATTGAGAAGGAGCGCACTTGACGGACGCCATTATGGAAAGTGGTAGGAACGAAGTAAGTGTTTGGATGACTTGCTGATATAAAGTAGCATCTAGCGACGACGAGGGACGTCCAACTCATTTGCAGCCACATATTCACCGAGCTCATGCCTATCGAATACCGGAAGCTCGTACATCTGCCCATTGCTCGCAGATAGCTCAGCTCTATAAGGGTTGTAAGTATACCCACCCGGAAGTTCTGGAGCTCCATAATGGTGGTCGTCCCCGCGAAGTTCTCCAATCCCTGTGGCCTCCATTTCGGGTTTCAGCTCTGGCTTGTGATCGTGCCAAGACCGAATAGATGGCTTCTCGTCTGTTGGAGCAGGACTGTACGCCTGAGCTCCAGGTCGTGTCCATTTCTTTCGACGCCACCAGAAGATCCCCAAGGCTAGCAGAAGGACGGCGGCAACAGCTATTGCAAATCCTACTATAGCGCCGGTGCTAAGGCCTGGAGAAGATCCATCGAAAGATAGTCCTGGAGGCAAGATGGGGACAATATCTTGTGTCGATGGAAATAGCGCCTGCCCGACTGTGAAGTTACGTCTATCATAGTCGGCGATGATGTACGCTTCCTGCAGGAAAGCCCTTCCGAGTATGTACTGTGTGTCGTTTTGAGCTCGCTTGAGAGGGAAGTATCGCTGGCTCTGATTGTAGTACGGGGTGCTAACATTTAGGTCGAAAGCAGCATATGGAATGTTGATTACGGTATTGCTGGTTCCCTGGTCCTTCGAAGCGCCGATGGTAAAAGCGAAACTGGGATTCTGGGCTACTAGTCTTGCGTGAGTATCTTCACTAACGGTGTAAAACTCGGTCACATTATCCCACTCGAGCTCGAAAGCGGTCTCGAATGCTTGGCAGATCCCTATTGGAAGCCACATATGTGCAACCAAAGAGTTGAGAAAGACGTAGATCCCGTCTGCCAGCAATGGCGTACTGCCCAGGGTGTCATGCATTATTGACTGGAGTCCGATCAGGAGATCTCGCGATGGATCCGTCCAGAACGGGGCGCTCACACTTCCGGAGCTGCTCCAATCAATTCGGTTTGCATCGTAACCACCGAAGGTCACACTGCCGAAAACCGGTGGGCTCTTGTATACAGCACCAGCTGTGTATGCCCAAGTTGTGCTAGGAACCATGGTGTTGTTCGGGTCTCGCAGCGTCCCTAGTACACTTGGTATCGCGCCGGTCGTGTACGATGTGAAGTTTTGGCTGATCGGGCTTAGTGGTAGTGTCCCGAGAAAGAAGTCATTGGTCGCGATTCCCGCGACAGTCTGATTCTCCAGCTTAGGAAGCCCAGAATCAGGAAGGCCAAAGGAAACCGTGTCAAAGCCATAGTAAGCGTTGGCCGAAAGGCCAAGCTTTTCCTCCTCATACAGCACGATCTCATACAGGCCGTTGTTCTCCAGTCGGGATGTGGACCAAGTCAGCGACGCATTTCTCTCGAACGTGCCGCCTCGTGCAAAGCTACACTCCCCCGGGTCGAGATCCGGGTTCGCTTGTTCACATCCTTCGGTTATCACCGCCCAAATTGTATTTGCAGCGGTGGCAGATGTACCAGGCAGGAGGCGCACAACCTGGACTATAAGGATGAGCTACTGCACACGACAACATCCATGGGCACTCGCTTCTCACCGGGCGTTCCTATCTGCAAGTTGAACGTAGACCACCTTCCATCGTTGCCATCCCTAAGCACTGGTCAGACATGTGCAGATTGAGTACAGCATGAGACCTACCAATAGCCACTCGGGGGAAGAGACAGTGGCTTAGCCGTATCGTTCAATGCAGAAGCAACGTGCACGAAGAAGAGTGAAAGACATATCCTGAACATCCTCCTTGTAAAACTATGTGAGCCGACATGCGATAGGAAAGGATGTTGTGGGAAGAGATCTCATTGCGGGATCCTGGAAAGGGAATGTACAAGCCCAAAAAGCACAAACTGGTGGAAGTACTTGACAATTGCGGCCATCGCAGCCTCACGCCTGATTGCCAAGTTCATGGGCTTCATGGCAGAACCTCATCTGGAAGCATCTACACATCGCAGGCCAGCCATTGGCTCCGGATACAAGACGGGTGCTGTTCACGCTGCATGTTGACCATTCGTCTGCGAGCAAAATGCAGCCAATATCGACCACAACATGGCGCTTGCAGCGCATTTCAGATCTTCGACGAATAGGATCCGCATTTGAGCGTCTCGTACGTCGAGACTCAACCGCTCTTGCGTCTGGAAGCTAGCAGCCACACATTAGAGTTTCCCGCCAAGGCTAAGCCTCACGATCGTGAACAAGGCTGAGTGAATGAAATGGCAAGTCTCTACTCCATGTCACCGGAAAATACAGGAGATCTCATGAGTACGTATGCGAACTTGAGATATGTCAACCCACCAAGTTTTACGCAATCACGGTCAGAGATGCAGAAGATGAATAGCCACGAGGTACATTGCGCAGAACTTCAGCCTGCATGAGGATCGAGCTACTAAACCCTAATGACGAACCACGATTTCTCGGCCTCATATGCTCTGCTCTGCCATGCGCCGGCAGCGCAGGCGGCGTTTCGCGGGCTGACAGCCTTGAGAGCCTCGCAGTCCCAACACAGACGTGCCGTCAACTCCATAAGAGGGGTGTTTCCTCTCGCGACAAGGTTACTAAACTTTATGTGGCAGTCGTGACCCAGTATGACCTGGATGAGAGCGCTTTTGTTGCTTTTCTTGGCCAGAGGAGGTAACACTGCATCGCGTAAGTAGCGACTAACATCAAATTGTCACAGCTGTTGACTAGGTGCACAAACAGGCGGAGAGGATCGCAAAGACGATGAAAATTCTTCGTCATTCAGTGACGATGAGTCTGCTTACAACAACACCAGCCCAAATGAGGGTAATGAAAACAGTGATGGGGAAGCGTTGGCTAAAACCTGCCCAATCACTCGCGCAGACTGGCCCTACGGTGATCACGACTTCCTGCCGCCCTCCGCGAGTGGATGCGGTCCCGTGGCATGTTGCACGTTCACTCCTCTCACCAATCTTGTGATGACCTGGACCAAGATTGATACCATCCATCCCGTAACCGTCGGTGCGTTAATTGACTCCAAAGGGCTCTCGTCTTTGCTAACTGGGTTTCAGGCGCCGAAGTCGTCATCATCGACAGGGAGCGAAATCTGACATCGACGTCTACGGAGATCATCACCACTGCCATTGTCGTGGATATGGGTGGTAGAGAGACTACACTTGACCCTAGCCTCTGGAATAACAACGGGACTTTCGAGATCTCCAACGTGCCAACCAAAACCACGACCCAAATAGATCATTGGGGCACCGTGCACACAATGTTTGTATCACTGCATGCGAAAGCGCTCGACTACTCGTCACTGACCATCCTAGAAAATAACCGTCAACATACGTTGATCTGGCGACGGAACTAGAGTGGTATGGTAGCATCCCGATTGCTTCTGCAGATACTACGAGCTGCTTTCAATTCGATGGCGGTCAATCTCCAATACCGTCTCCGACATTCGTTTCCACCCCCGTGATGACTGTGGACCCGACGATTCCTAAAGGGTTATTTTATACTTTGTTAGGGGAGCACGGACAGCAGATTCCAGGCGGCGACTGGAACGCAGATGCCTGGAGGACACGCAAAGGAGAGCGCACAGAACAGGGCACAAGAGAAGCTCTTCCTTGTGGAGGTTATCTGGCAGCAGAGTTACTGGAGAGCTGGCGGCCGGCGGACTTGATCGTATCGGTGTACAGCAGTTGCTTCTGCGAGTACAATGTATACGCTCCTGCTTCTGCGGCAGAAACGGTGTCTTTTCTGCTGGAAAAATCCACAAGCTATGGTCGTTTGACTCCCAAAGCGACGGACTTACCCCTGGCAGGCCAAAGAAATTCCAATAATGCCGCAAGCGAAACTAGCAGACCAGAACCTGACACAAAGACCAGCACGGCGCTTGCCTCTATTCCAATCAGTACAGTCGGACAGCCAAGCACCAGGTCAGGTGAGCAGAGCCCCAGTCAAGCGTCGGAGAGCATCAGTACGGAAGCAGATGCGGGTCTCCTGCAAAACGCCGGCCAGCAATCAACAAGAACAGCTGAGTCGGCAGTGATTTCAAGTCCCATGGCATCAGGGTCTCCCGCTAAGCCATCAACTCCAGTCAAAGATACTGCAAGTGCGTCGCCAAGCGCTTCAGTATCAAATGCAGCAAGTTCTCGGATTGTTTCTTCGGTTCAGCCGTCAGTCACACCATCCTCGTCCTCACCAGAGGGGTCGAGAGGCTCTACGCCAACGGCTCAGGACAAGATTGAACCTCAAGACGCCCAAACTCAGTCAGACACTGCCAATTCGCTAGAATCAGCGAGACTTGAAACTGCGTCTCGGTCTGAGGCATTACTCTCGCTATCTTCGCCTCTAGCGGAAGATTCGACAGATCCTGCGCTGTCATCTCAGCGCACGACTCCGCCTCAGGGCGTCCCGACTGAGCCATCCACTGTCAATTCGCAACCTGGAGAATCAGCAAGCTTCAGATTTGCGGCCTCATCTGAGCAATCAGGAACACCACCCCTGTCTTCATCAGAGGTCTCAACAGATCCAGTGCCATCGTCTCAGCGCACGACTGAATCCCCGAGCGTCCTGGTAAAGCCAGTGCCTGCCAGCTCGCAATCAGCTGCAACGAGCTCGGACGCGCCTGCGGCCGCAGTGGTCGTGGCAGATGGCCAGTTGTCTATGGTATCTGTCGAATCATCCAGCGAAAGTGGTGCACTGTCGCAATCTTCGTCAGTCAAAATTGGCGACGTGATAGCCTCCGGAATTGGCGAAACCACAGACTCGAGCGCAATCGAGACAACCTCTCAAGATTCAGTGACTACCGAAGCCTCCCCGACTACACGTACCGTGGCGGATAGCAAAACATCGAACCCGATCAATACTACATCTCAGCCATCTCGAGCGTCAGAATCCTCGCAGACAAGATCTTCCACGTCCCAGAAGAGCACATCAAGGGCGAGTGCTTCACCTACGCGGGCGCCCCGCAGTTCACAGTCCTCAGAGACATCACGTGCTGCAGGCGACATCATAGCTTCTGTAATGGGAGTGACTAGGTCTACTGGTTCTGCAGGTCGACTCGGGAGCGAAGGATGGATGAGTATGGCGGTAGGCTTGCTGATATTCTATCTTGCGATATAATTTTTGTAAACCGAAATCAATAATATCGACGTGAGCTTCGACATTCTTTGTTGATGAGGAGCTGCAGTCATCCAGCAAGACAAGAAAGGGCGGATCACGTGCGACATGCCACGTGCGCCGCCTTCTCGACTTTCTCCAACATCAAGACCACACCTTCTGACATGGACATGCGGCCCTCTGAAACTTAGCACGCACCTCTGTTCGGCCAAGATGCCTTTCAGGACTGCGATGTGCGTGCGTAAAGGCATGCACGCGTGGCCCACCAAGCAATCGGCCGATAGCTACAGCCACCAAACGCCATTGAATCCTTCGCGATGGCCTATGAAGCCAACCACATGCAATGAGCGACGGCCGTTCCATAGAGACAACTGACACGATATCAAGCTGGCGAATTGTAGGCTGAGTGGATCGCCACAGAACTCTTTAAGATAATGATACTGCGTTGGTTATGAAGCCTGGCATTGGGAGGTTGATAGAGATCAGTAAGAGTAGTGCATTGCAAGCTAAAGCGGAGCAGAACGGAGAGGCAGCGAGGTTGTGCAGAATTGGTTCCGTGCTTCGTTGGGCTTCGCAGGAGGTATGGTAGGACTATGGGCTGCGATTCTGTAAGACGACAGCGGAGCGGCCTACTCAAGTGATGTCAGAAATGCTGATGGACCATGCTCGACATCAATAGCTGCACAGTCATTGTGGTTGTAGCAGATCTATCTCAAGCTCTCCTCGGCCTCCCACCGGAAAGCAAAATGGAAACTCGCTTCTGGGTCCGCGCCTTCAATACTGCGGTCAGAGGAATCTGAGCATATATTTGCTCGTTGTAGCTCTGCATTCTGCGGCGTGGTCAAGGCATTCAGTGTACAGAAGGAAGACAAGCAAACAATCAAGGTCGCAAGAGATGCTCAATCGTCAATGCTTCCGGGCTTCCATTTTGCTGTCCACAGCTACCTCCTAGCTCGGCCTGGCAATCGCGCTCAACCAACGCTAGAACAACGCTAGCCCCGGAGTCTGGACCAAAGCGCACGTGGTAACCCGCCTACACGGCCGAATTCTAACTTAAACATTGTCGAACAAGGTCTAGTTCAGTCTGTGGCTAGCTGAAGGACAACGCTAGCAAAGCGCCTGACTCGATGTTGACCGAATAGATCAGGAACGTCCTTTTCACTTCCACCGCATGCTTGCATGCTTAGAACTTATCTGGCTGTTTTCCCTTCTTGCAATCCGACGCGCCCGCAACCTCTGCTTTTCAGATGGCAGCTAATCTTGCTGGTATCGTGGTCGCGGCTGTTGCATCTATCTGTACGAATGCATTGTATGGCCCTCTCCTGTCGTCGTACTCTGCAGTCCCCAGCGTCCAGCAGTATTGCACATCCAAATATCCTGTGGCCACTGTGACAACCACATCCACTGCACCTACTGTCACGGCTTCCACCACTTCTATCGAAAACGTCCCTGCGGCAACTGTGACCTCGACCAGTACTAGCACTGTAGTCTCAACAGGTGGGAGATGTTCGATCCTTTGTGTCTGGCAATGCTAACATCAATTCATCGACAGCACCAACCGTCACGACTACCACGTTTGCTCCGACGGTTACAGTGACAACTGTTGCTACTACCACAACCGAAAGTGTCTCTACGCAGACCGCGTACACCTGTCCAGCTACGCCCAACAGACTCAAGGCTCGCGGGAATACGCCATATCCGAAATCTCTTTGTCCTGGTGCTACGACCTACAGAACGCAAGGCGGTGACACCTATGGAATATGTCAAAACTTCGACTCCTTTGGGGGTGACCTGCAAACCATCTCTGGCGTGGGAAGCGCGAATGCATGTGCAGATGCATGCTCTCGACGCGGCAGCAAGTGCGTTGCAGCCGTGTACAAAAAGCAACTCAAGAAGTGCTGGCTGAAGAGTCGAATTGGGAACGTCAGTAAATGCAATGGTGCGACCTTCATCTACAAGATGCCCAAACTTGCTCCATCTGTAACAACTACTCGCGCATCATCGACAACTACCAGCAAATCATCGACAACCACCAGCAAATCATCGACAACTACTCGCGAACCGTCGACAACCACCAGCTCGAGAAGCAGCACGAGCGCAACGACAAGCAGCCGCTCAACAAGCTCCGCTACTAGTACCACTAGTACCACGACTCCCTTCCAACCAGACGCCACCTTCTGCTCCTGTATCGCAACTACACCCACCTCAACAATCATCTCAACACCAACAACAACCCTCACCATCACCTCGCAATCCACAATAACGCCCGCCATAACAGTATTCACCACATCCCTCACAACAACAACCACAACACCCACCTCAACCTCCACCTCCACCCCAACAACAATCTCCACAGTCTCAATCTTCACCTCAACAACAACCGTCACAAGCACCACAACCTCCACGACCTCCATCTACCCCACCAACGGCCCCGGCCCCCGCGAAGTCGGCAGACAAGACACCTGCAACTGCTCCTACACCGTCCGCTGCGGCGTCAAACTCCCCCCTTCCATCCCACCCGACGATTTCGAGAGCGTCCGCGTACCCGAAGTCTGCCGAAACCAATGCGATCAAAGGACAAATTGCATCACAGCCGTCGCATTCACAAGGGCCGACGGAATTCTCATCTGTAATTACTATTATTCCGCAGGGTACGATACCAGTACAGGAGCAGGGCTTGTGCAAGATCGTACCGCCAAAACGTTCACAAAAGTACAAGCATCTTGTGGGGACTTGGGGGCACAGTGTTGTAAGAGTGATACGATAGCTTTGTTGCGTGCTGGGTGTTTTGATAGTTAGAAATGTTGGGGTTGGGTAGGACGAGTCTTTTTGGTTGGATTGTTTGCGGGTTTGCTGGCGCAGGGCGAGAACCATATTGTAGCTGCTCTACCCTAGTTAGGAGCAGCATGATCCAAGTTTCAATCACAGGACATTTCCAACTGTCGCCGAGCAGATGAAAACTGATAGACGTCACAATGGTCGATACCTCACCGGATCGACGGTTTATTACATGTAGACTACCAGTGAGAACAGACTCCGCAACACCATGCTCAAAAAACTACTCGCTGATAAAAAACGATGCATCCATACCCATGCTCACATTCACGCTCATGCCACTCATGCACCATCAACCATAACGTACAAACATTCCAATCTCATCAAAGAATCATTCGAGCAAAACAATGATCGATCGCTCGCTCACTCTTGCTCTTTACGCATCGAAGCCCATCTAGCATGTCAAACGTGTCATCAAAGACACTCCCATTCCGCAAAGACACACCACCTCGCAGATCGGTCCGCAAGCACAAGACCTCTCCAAGTACCCCTCTCTCCAATTTTGATTACAGTTTCCCAGAAAGTCGTGAGACCCATGTCTTCTTCCACGTTCTTTGTAACGTTATCTTGTTTTCTCGTCAATCGGATAATTTTCTGACTTGGACTTTGGATCGCCAATTTCGCCGGTTTCTGCTGCGCAGCAGTCATCGGATCCGAGTTCTCGGAACTATAATTACTGCCTTGATTGGAAGTGGTCATCGACACCATGCTCATGGCGCTGGAAGGGCGCGCATAAGGGTTCGGGGATTGAGGCCGGCCAGCTCCAGTGGTCGAGGATCCCCACGTGTCGGGAGAGTAGCGCGAAAGTGACGAAGGGTGTTGGCGTACGCAGAAGACGAAGGTATTGTTCATTGTCAGCTTGGCGCATTGCGGCTGAGACACGTAGAGATCGTGACGCTGAGCGTGGGGTGTCGGGTGTCGCGTGTGAAAGTCGTAGGGCGGATTCTGACCGGTGTGTGTCAACGGCAGAGCAAGCGCCATGGCATGAGGGTTGTCCTTGATGGAGTGCATGAGCCCTCGTTTACCAGCATAAATCTTCAGCATGCCTTGCGCATCATCACCAGGCAGAAGTGCCTTGACTGTGAAACGTTTGCGACCACCAGCCCATTCTGCCTGCGCGAAAGCTTTCTTTGTAATGATCTCACCACTTTCGAAATAGTCGCCGTCTGCGTCCTGTGCAAATGCTCGAGCTTCCGTCATGGCAACGACCTCGACATCTTCAGGCACGTGAACGTGCAGATGGGCCATCTCAAGGTTTTGGAGATGTAGCATACTGGTGTCGAAGTTCGCAAGCTCGAGTTCGTGCCGGAAGTATGCTGGACAAGCACACGGGAGAGAAATTAACACCTCATGCTCAACAGGTGGCACAAGGTGTTGCTGCTCAGGTAGGAGAGGGATATGCGTGTAGCATATTTCCATTGGCCTAGCCAGAAAGTACCACGACTCAGCGACTTGACTGCTGGCAGTGCTGTATGCTGTCCGGCGGGGATGTGTCGGACTCGCGAGCGCGCAGTCCATCATGCGCCATTCCCCATCCACAATCACTGCATTCCACCAATGATTTGGGTGAGCGATAGTGTCCAGGTCCAGCAGCTCACCGGGCGCTTTGAGATAGCCACGGATCACTTCTGCGTGAAGGCCAACCGCAGAGCACATGTCGCGAACCAGTAGTGCAATTTCTTCGCTGCAAGCTCGTTTCGTCTGGATAGTTCTCCGTGTATCAGCCTGTCCTTCGAAGTCATCTTCCCAGGTGATGCGCTCAGCGACCCAGGTAAATATTGCCCGCAGTCTTTGTACATCGCTTCGGTGCGGCCGGCAGACATAGTTCTGTGCCAGTGAGGCGGCATTTGTCATTGGCGGTGCGCTCTGTATGAAGCGCGTGCTCTTGTCCACCAACTGCAGATTCGGCAAATTGAAGTCCGTCGGCTCCGAGACAGGTAGTCCATCGAGGCCTTCGTCGCCTTCAACATATTCGTACAGCTGGTCAATGGGACGCATGACTGGAACGTCGTGCATCTCGCAGCGCTCAACGCGGTCCTCACGCTCACGCTGACTCAGTGAATTCGATCGATTCACATCGCGGCGCACTTGCATCCAGTCACTTCCACCTCCAAGTCCCATATCCTTGGCTGCAGAACCTGATGCTGTTTGCGGTCGGGAAGCTAAACCGCCAGCAATGCCAGTGGGTCCGTTCATCCCGATCATGCTCTTTGTTGGACTGCGACTGCCTGCTCGACTTGCTGGTCGACTGCCACTTGCGCTACCAATGGTTGACCGAGCATTTGCAGCTCCAGTCCTCGCAGTGGTCTTTGCCGTCTGTATCATGCGCTTGAAGAAGCCACTTCGCTTGCCCTGCGGAGAGCTGAGCCCACCCAGCACACCTGCGTCTTCCATTGGGTCCTTGGCCCAGTCTGCGACTGGTGTCAATGCTGGCTGATTGTAAGAAGCGTGGCTTTCGTGGTAGCTAGGACCTGAGATTGCGCTGCCGCTGTCCGTCATGCTCCTCGTGCTAAAATTGATATCCCCAGTCGACTTCGTGTGGCCCATGTCTCGCCTCTCTCGTTGACTGCCAAACCCAAACTTGCGCCGCGCCAAGCTGCCTGCACTCGTGGCGCTGAAACCACCTGCAGAGTATCCGGACATGATACTTCTGCTCGTCAGCTGAGTGCTCGTGCTACTCTGGGTCGCGGAAGATGTCTCTGTTGAGTTCGTCACGTTCGTCTTTGTCGTATATGTTCGGTCCAGAGTCTTCGAAGCCACATCATACGCTGACTTGCGGTGTCTCAATTGAGGTTGTTGCTGCTGCGTATGACCATAGCGGCTGTTCGACCCTTGACTTGACCCGCTACTGGATGTTGCGGGCCTCGACGAGTACTGCGAGTCCTTCAAGGGAGGTTCAGGCGCCTGCTCCGAGAAGGATTTTGCGTGTCTGAGTTGTCGCTCCATGCGCTCCACATACGTGTTGACTTTGGTTCCTTCTGTTTTGCTCAGTGAAGGGGTGAGAGACTTGGGGACGTCGAGATCATCATATAGCTGATGAGTCGCAAAGCCCAAAGATGACTGCGCGCGAGATTGTTCTCTTGTTGACGATCGGATCTCCTCAAATGCTTCAGGAGACCAAATATTCGGCGGCGACTTCTCTCTTTCCAAAGGAGGCGGCGATTGTGTGAATGAACTCATGTCGTGCAGCGACGACATAACATCGTTCATGGCAGCTCGGAGTGGCGATGGTGTCATATGGCTTCCGCTAGGTGAAGGCGGCACAGGAGTCTGGGTGCCATTACCGGGGTATCCGGGATGGACTGTGTCCTCCAGCTCGAGCGATGGCGCTCGGCTTGGCTGATAGACAACGCGGTGCGCTGGAGGAGGTGGAGGTGGAGAGGACTGCGGGTCGTCATCGAACTGGTCCGGCGAAGGCTCCCTTGAATACTGTTGCACGTGCTCATATGGCAAAGGCGATCGGGCTCTCGCATAATAAGCTGGCTCCTCGTACGGGGCAGGAGAAGGTTGACGACCGATTGTCAGTACTTGTGGGTAAGCAGACCCATCGTGATAAGTGGTGGGTAAAGGCGACCGTGTTCGAAGAGGCGCATGCTGTGCCGGTTGAGGCGAAGCCGCGCGAAACGATCCATAACCGGGGTGCATCGGTGCGGGTGTTGGCGTTGGGGAAGCAGAATGCGACACATTGTATCTATCGTGGCCGGGCTGAGGACTCCGTGGACGGCGCGACGCATTGTATCTCGGCACTGGTTCTGGGATGCGTGGACCATCGTCCTTGGGTATCACTGCGACGCCGTTCTGTCTGCGAACGGTGCCCGTGGGCGCCTGTGCAGTCTTCATGCTCGAATATGGCTTGAACTTGCTCTTCTCTTTCTTCTTCTCAACCTCGCTCTCCGGTGTGGCCTCTTTACTGTTGTCCAAGCTGCCCCGCTTCCCCAAAACCTCGTACGCCTGGTATGGTTTCCGGAATCCGACCTTGCCTTTGGAAATACTGTGCTTCGGCTGCTGGGTGACTGGCGTTGTGTTTCGACTGTTGGGCGCTGGCGTGAACGACTCCTCTAGCACGGTCACGAAGTTGGAGGGAAACAGGCCGATCGCTCGAGGATCGCGCCTCAGTCTTCCCATCCACCATGAGCCATCTCCCGCATTCAGCGCTTCGATCAAGTCGCCCTCGATAAAGCCCAGGTCTTTCTTCGTCTCACCTCCCCATGAATATGTTGCTTTGCACCAGCACGGAAAGTGAGGGAGGTCGCCGGCCATGGCCATATTCGCGATTCGGCGCGACGATCTGGTATGTCAATGCTATTGCAGGGTATGGTGCATGTCGAATGTCGTCCGGCGCGTGGAATCGACGTTGTTCTGCGTGGGTCTTCGCCGTTGCTATGGACCAGAAGCTCCAATTTATGCCGACAGATTATCTCGTCGCTGGTGAGTTAGTGAGTGAATGTGCTGGGCGGCTGTAGCCTGCTAAGTAGCAAGTAGCGGTAGCTTAGTTCGATGATGTTGCGTAGGGATGTGTGTATATGTTTCTGCCGAACAGTAGCCCATTGGACGATGTCGTCGCAGTCGTGGACAGTTGCTCCAGCCCAAACAAAACAAAGCGGCCCTGCCAAGCCGCGCCCGAAACGTGCATCCGGCATCCGGGGCTTCTTGTGCGCCACGACTCCGACTCCAATGACAGAGACGACATCGTCGCGAGGTTGTCTAGTCGCACGGCGGGTTGGGCTCGTCGCCCTTGCCTGCGCGCGACGGTGGTGTTGGTGAGGATGCCAGCGATGCCATGCCACACCGCTCACGCTGCCCTTCTCAACAGACGCCAATTCGCCGATCATACGCGACGACCGCGACGTCCTCTTTCTGTCGTCGACCACACTGCCGCGAATTGATCACGACCGAAGATCTGCTCCTCGGCCAGTGTCCTGCGGCCGCTGTTCCACGGACTCTGGCGACACCAGCAAGCCAGTCGCAGCGAGATGGTACCTGGATCACGGCGCACCACACGCTCCCCGCGACGCGTCTCGCAGGATCGTCGCTCTCGTCATCGCGGGGCTTAGCCAACACGCTGCATGCTGTTTGATGAGACGGATCGATAGTCCTGCAGAAAGGCCGCCCGTTGCCTACCTCGGGCCTCGTCCGCTGGCCGCCTTCAGGAAACGGGAGCGGCGTTGACTGTTGTCTGGCAGCAGAACATCTTGCAAGTCTTCTCTTCGTGGATGCTCGCGATCCGCCTTTGGAGTTCTCTGCGGACGCAGCACCAAGCGAAGCCCGCACGGACATCCAGATTTCACCCGAATGACATCGCACGAGATGCTCACCTTCTCGCCTCATGTACCACGCGCAATCGCAATATTTCGCGTGCGAATATCCCAACTACCCCAGTTGCATACTGGTGTGGTCGTTCTGCACTGCAGGCAGGCCTCACACCGGTTCGCCGGGACGGCACGAGGACGCTGTACAGTAGCGGTTTCAGCCTTGCTGACGGCGACCAGTCGCTCGCGTTCCAGCTGCGACGACAGCTCCTCCATCCCATCTGTCAGAGGGCGCACTTTCTGCACGAGCTGCGCCCTCAATCGATGACTGCATTGTGCACAATGCCGACCCGGCCAACACGCTGCGTACCTTTCCAAAGCCGCCAGATAAGTATCGCCCAGCACGTTTTCAATACATGTGCAGTTCCTCTTCCCTGTCACAATCATTTCTTCGCCCTGGAGGCATACCGTCTTTACCTTTGTCTCACGTTCTGACGTTCGCTCACCAATAACTCCACTACTACTACCACTACCATCAGTTGACAGAGACGTCATCACTCGAAGCACATATGCAATAACACCATGGACTTCTACGACGGCCCCCAGTATTGTAAGTGCTTCGTGCTAAAATCCCAGCATAGGCTAACGTGGGTAGCCCGGGACTCTATTGCGACGTTCGATAGCGAGCAAAGCATCAACACCGCCAGCTCAATCTTCAGTGTTGCCCGATCCAACTCTCGAGCGTCGACGAACACAGCCTACTCATCGCATTCACAACCATATGCCCAAGCAATTTCCTCGTTCGATCCGCCGCAACGAAGCGCGCCCTCGGGCTCCGCATCGCACGGCTGGCCAAGCACGATAGGTCACGACAGGCAACGTGCTGCCCAGATTGTCACCGACCCGCGACGACTTGCTCTATACACTGCAGCACAGCGAGCTCCATCGCAGGCAGCAGAGACGAAGGCGTCGCCGATTAGCCCTGCCAATCGTCAACATACACCATTGGCTGAGAAGCAAGCAAACAACAAGTTCGCTTGTTCACACTGCCGAGAAGTCTTCACCAAGAAATCAGACAGGAAGAAGCACTGGCACAACCGCTGCCAGTATCTTGGTGATCCGAGAATACCGGAAGGCGCCTACGATGCTTTCGTGTGTCCTCAGTGTGATCACGTCGCTCGGAACGAAGATCAGCAGCGGAGACATCAGAAAGTCAGTGGCCACAAGGGCGATTGGGCCCCGACTCGCTTGTGTGGTAAGGCTCGCTACACTTGTTCAAATCACGATACGATCTTTCACAATGCTCATGCATTCTATGCACACTTCGAGCGCGACAATTGCCCCCTCAACAATCACAGTGGCGGCAAAGATGGCTACAGGCACCATCAAGCCAGGGTCGCCGTGCTACTGCAAGAGGGCCGGGATGAACTGCACGAGAGACATACTCATCTCTATGCTGCCTTGATGGCGTATTGCAGCAATCTTGGAATGCGCGCGGATGCATGGCGACCTATTGTTCAAAGACTGCCCGCCGAAGAAGCTCTCTCCATAGCCAACAAGCTGGAATGGGGACTGCAAAATGCCAATGGATCAGCCGTCAGTCGTCTTGGCTTCACTGATGTGATGAAGATGGTAGCTCAAGCTGTACCTCTATCTGCAATATGTGACTTCAAGCACGAAGCTGCCTGGTGCGTGGGAAACGATTCACCGAGCCGTTCGATCGAGCCTTCCGAGCAACGCCCTTCATCGCAGCCACAATCCGCTCGCAGTGCGCAAAGGGGACCGAACGACAGTGCAACGAAGCCGGCATCAGCATCTGCACAAGCACACCCACGGTCGCAAGAGCGACAGGGTGGCGCAGGTTTTGCAGTGCACAGAACAGAGCCACTTCTCCGTACAAATGAGGCCGATTTTACCATCCCATGGCCCGAAGCTCGACGTGACTTGAATCACTCTCACAACGAGAGACGACCGGCTCAACATTTGCCCGATGCCTCCAGGCATTTGCCGGAGATGGAGGTGATGAAAAGCACCACTCCGGTGTTTCTGGCCGCAATGGCGCAGAGGACTGTGCCTGATAACAATCAGACACACTGGCACGATGAGGATGACTGGGACATCGTCGACCAAGTTTCGATGCCCACGGCAAACATCACTGCTTCCGATCACGACCATTATCCCGAGTTCCAAGCTCTTACGCCGTCTCCCACGAAGGACACACATTACGAATGGACAATTCCGGCGCCGCCCTCGAGGAAGCGGCCTATTTCAACCAGCAGTTCAGTGCTCCCGGATTCCATTGCGCGTTCAAAAGCGGGACCGAAACACAATCTTGCACTGCGCCCGGCATCTAAGGACTCCACTACGTCTGTGCAAACGACCGCAGTGCCTCAATCGCCCAGAACGAGCCAGCGAAGCTCTGGCGAAAGCATTGTTGGAAAGTGGTTCAATTACGCGAACTATTTCGAACAACCTGCAACTCCTACACTGCTACTGCCAGGGACAAAGGGAGCAGACTACAGCGATGTGAACAACCATCAGCAAGCTCCACAGTCCACCACTCTCCCGGAACGCAGCAGGACAGCCGGCCAGGCGGTAAAAGCTGTCTTCAGAAAAATGAAGACTCCAAGTGTGCGCGAAATCAGCGACGCTCCATCTGAGTCGACCACAACATCTCCACCGCGTGCTAGGCCAATTTCACGCTGCGTGCACTGTGGCAAGATTGATGATATCGCTTGCCTCACGAACCACATCTCAGACCGACGACAAGCTCAAGCCCGTCACAATCGTCGAAATGGAAGCATTTTGGATCCCACCGCAGTCGCCGAAGCGTTTAACGAATTTGATCCTACTTTTGATATGTTTGCGAACTATGCTGGATATTCCAACGACAGTTACGATTTTTGATTTCTCTACATCGCGGAACGATTAAACTTGTACAATAGAAGATCTTTGCGCCTGACTTGCAGGACCTCATCCCAGATTTTACGAAAGACACGACTTACTACTGTAACAATCTTGTACTATAGAAACTATGTAATATGACTACTTTCACTTCATCAATGATACCTTCTCTTTGAAATTGTTCACAAGCCCGGGCAACGCATTTGATGAAGCTGGGGTCGAGTATCAGGCCTAGTCTTTGGAGACAGCGAGACGCCACAGATGCACCGCCACAGAGACCCACTTCGAGGCACAGCTGAGCTGTTGTCTCATCCGGAACCCCAGCAACGATCCCGCGCATTGCCTCATAGATAACGAGACACGTCTCTTCCTCTTTCTCTCTACATTGCGTCCATCATACAACGCAATAGACATCAGCACTGAAACTTCCATCGACGTCCGACGCCTTGAATAACAGCTGTCCACACCACCAAAACATGGTCCGCAACGCCGCCTCAATGCAATCACTACGAAGCAGCTATCTCCCAGACCGGACCGTCGAGAGACCTCAATCGAGCTCGCGCCCAAACGCCTCCTCAGCGTCCAGCGCCGTCCCCGCAAGATCCTCGCCCTCGATAGCAAATCTGCTTCAAGAGGATGACAATACCATATCTGCAAAGCTGGCGGCTGCGGAAGCTCAAGTCTGGTCTCTCAAGGAAATGATCAAGCTGAAAGCGGCGGCGCAGAAGCAGCTGCAGCGACAGGAGCAGCGCTCAAAGGTGCGCAGATATCACGGGTCAGACCGCCAGACTGAGCAGGAGGCACTGCAAGAACGCTATAACTCTCTGCGAGATTTCGATATAGAGAGCTTTCTACGATCTCAAGAGCCCATGAAAGAGAAGAAGAACGCAGCATCTTACACAAAACCCTTTTGCGATTTCTTAACCGAAAACCCAACAGTCTTTCACGCCGTCGACGCATTGAAACAAGACTTAAAAAACGCCGGTTTCACACAACTTTCCGAACGCGATGCCTGGAAAATCGAACCTAGTGGGAAATACTTCGTTGAGCGGAACGGCTCTTCTATGATCGCTTTCTCTGTTGGAGCGAAGTATGAGCCTGGCAATGGAGCTGCAGTTTTGGCTGGTCATGTTGATGCTTTGACTGCGAAGTTGAAGCCTATCAGCAATGTTCCGAATAAGGCGGGTTATTTGCAGCTCGGGGTTGCGCCTTATGCTGGGGGGTTGGGGAAGACGTGGTGGGATCGTGATTTGGGGATTGGTGGGAGAGTACATGTGAGGGAAGGGGATAAGATTGTTACGAAGCTTGCTAAGTTGGATTGGCCTATTGCGAAACTCCCGACTTTAGCTGAACACTTCGGCCAACCTTCGCAAGGGCCTTTCAACAAGGAGACTCAGATGGTGCCGATTATTGGGCTGGAATCCGCGAGCGAGCGCATGGCTGCGATGAAATTGCCATCCCCGGCCCCATTTTCTCAACCACCACTCCTGGTTTCTAATCAGTCTCTGAATACCTTCGTCAGCACTCAGCCACTAGCTCTCGTCAAGGCTATTGGTGCCTCACTCGGCCTGGGGAGTAATGAACTCCACAATATCGTCAATTGGGAACTCGAACTCTTCGATACCCAACCCGCCACCGTCATCGGTCTCCACAAAGAACTGATCTCCGCCGGCCGCATAGATGACAAACTCTGCTCCTGGTCCGCTCTCCAAGCTCTCATCGAAAGCTCCAGCTACGGTACCGAGGATAGCTCCCTCATCAAAGTCGTCGGCCTCTTCGACGATGAAGAAATCGGCTCTCTTCTCCGTCAAGGTGCACGCGGTAACTTCCTCCCTATCACACTCGAACGCGCTGTAGGCGCTCTAGCTGGTCACACGCCAGGTTCAGATCTCATGGGACGCACATACGCCAACTCCTTCATGGTCTCATCAGACGTTACACACGCCGTGAACCCGAATTTCACCGAAGTCTACCTCGCGAACCACGCACCACATCTCAATGTTGGAGTCGCCATTGCGGCGGACTCAAACGGGCATATGACGACCGACTCGGTCTCGACAACCATCCTAAAGCGTTGTGCGGATAGAGTTGGAGCGCAATTGCAGGTCTTCCAGATCAGGAATGATAGTCGGTCTGGAGGGACTGTGGGGCCAATGTTGTCTTCTGCTATGGGGATGAGAGCGATTGATGCTGGCTTGGCGCAGTTGAGTATGCATTCTATTCGGGCTACGACTGGAGCGTTGGATCCTGGGTTGGGAGTGCAGTTGTTTAAGGGCTTTTTGGATGAGTTTGAGGAGGTTGATAGGGAGGTTAGGGATGAATAGAGAGGGTCTTGTGGCGGGATTTGTGGTCATGGAGATGAATGTATGAGTACTGAATCTACGATTTGTAGAAGTGAATATGACAACGTCCTGATCCGTTCCGCTCAACCTATACACAGTTTTCGTGGCGCCTGGTCATTCTCGATTTTCGCGAGCTACGCGCGTATCGGCCTGACTCTTGCCTAGTCCTACCCTGAGGTGGATGATGAGCTTCACCTTCGGCGTGTGGGCTGGTAGATCGTGGCCAGATCAAGGTGGTGCGACGGAGAGGTCGTTGCAAGAACCGATGAGTCGTCGTTACTTTTTCTTTTTGCTGCAAAGATCGCACACGTACGCATGCTTCTTCTTGAATTTACGCAAAACCCTGCTCCATGGTTCCCTTCACATCTTCATATCGATATAGGCCGGAAATGTTACTGATCTTCACCGTGCCTGCGCAGCGACACTAGCCGCCAGTAGCCAGTCCTCCCGAGGAATTGGCGAGCCATCTGCCTTAGTCATGCCATATCGCACACGTCCGTCCCATGTGAGTGGGAAATCCTCATAGATACCGTGGTTCCGAAATGCTGGCAGTATAACATCCTTATACCAATTAGGATTCATAGAAAGCTCTTCCCAATCCCAATGGCCCACAATCTCCGAGGACGTGACTTCCCAAACGCACAAATAATCGTCTTTATAGTAGGCGTAGTCTTTGTTGTATGGGTCTGCAACACCGTAGTACTGCATCTCGGAATGAAAGTCCAATGTAGGAAGCCCGGTTCTAAATCGGATACTTGGCGCACGATTACAGTGAGTTTTTGTGATTGCCAGCCATGCCGGGCTCTGATAGCGGCGTTGCGTTCGACGGCTTGTGGTGTCTTGGAAAAGGACATGTATGGTGTTGGCATATCCCATTTAGTCCAGTCGGCATGTCGCTCCAGGCTTTCCTTTCTTGCTTCGAAAGTGTCAAGTCGCTGTTCATTAGCTCTGGCTAACATGCTCCCATCCTCTTCTGGCCGACTTCCGGATTGGTGATCCCATAGTCGCATCAGCGGTCGGTCAGAAAGTTCGTCATGAACGTTCGTGGTGAAGTCGGGGTGCAGTTCACGCTCATTGAGGTCTACACCACACTGGGTAGGCGTGTACCAGTAGCGCTGTAGGCTCCGTGAGGCGGCATCTGAAGGGGGGGGCACTGTTCGCCCAGCAGCTCTTTGATTGTCTTGGGGTCGAGCATTGTTGATGCAACTTCGGAACAGATGGAGAATGATGGAGAGGTCAGCTAAAGGAATGGCATGTGCAGTTGTCTTGACTCATTGGCATATAATCTCTTTCATGTTCTATCGGCTTTCAAATATCCAATCCTGACTTTATGACTCCTCGCAGAATCAAGAAAAAAAAAAATGGCCGGCAGCATGCATCAGGGGCGCGGTTCGCAACGATGCAAGGATGCTCTCTGTCGAAGGTCAGCTGTCTCGTCGAGCCTTCAGCCCGACGGATCTCGCCCAGAGAAACAGTGTTCAGAAGCTTGGAGTTGTGGTGCCGAAATAGTGTCAGTGGAGTTGAAGGGGCGGGAAGAAGACTGGATAGATCATAGATGCATTCAATGCCACGGCACCCGCTTCGCAGCGCCACATGAGTCGTGCAGCATATTCCTGTAGCAACAGAGAATTTGGGTGCTTTTCATTTTCGACTGAGCACCGTGCTTGTGAGGGGTAGGGCTTCATGTGCAATTCCCTTGAACATCTTGGTGCTCAGCGATCCCTGTGAAGTTGGAAGCAGCTTCTGCTTCGCCTCGGTCGTCCTGCCGAGAGAGTTCATGCCACGGCACCAACACGGTGACTTCGAACCTTTCTTCTTCCCACGACTCACCAACTTCCCGCCATGACGGACTTGAGCATTCTGAAGCTGCACGATGCACGTCCAAAGCCACCGACCATGATTGTCTCTGGCCAGAACCAGAGTGCGGTAGTCAAGTGAGCGAGAGCAAGGAATGGACGTTGCTATGACGTTCTTGTGCTGTGTTCCAGCTGTGATCCCGCAGCGAATCACTTCCAAGATATTCACACGACAATCGCAAGACGCCGCATCGTGATGCTGCTAGGACGCCGTTCGCTCTCCCTCTCCCAGCATTCTCACCATCATGGCTTCGTCGACGACATACGATCTCGCGAAGATCGCGACGGCGGTGAGCTCAGTCTTGCTGAGATTGAGCGCGTTTGTGTTTCTGAGATGGGTGAGTTAAGCAAACGATGCGCCGGAGCTTGTACGGAGGGAGAGAAGCTGACAATGGATGCCACAGATACCAGGACATGTAAGTACACCTTGGTAGCACCTTTACCGATCACTCCGAGCTCATTCCTGCGCAGCACTTCCCGCCAATCATCTACACAACCTTCCTCACCTATCTCCCCACATTCTGGTACATTTTCACACATACTAGTCCTTGGAAAGTGATAGCGGACAATGTCTTCGTGACGGAGAGGCCAGCGACGCCTGAGCCGGTCCTGGATGAGAATGGCGATATTATGATTGCAGACGAAGAGCTGGTGGTCGAAGAGGAGATTGATCTCGTGGAGAAGAATCCCAGAATTCTCAAGACACTTCTCACTGGCCTGCCCAGTCCTTCAAGCACACTTCTGAGCCTGATCACTTTCTTGATCAATGTCTTGTTGGTGCTGTTCAGTCTGCACCTCGTTCATGGAGCACGGCAGTTCTACCCAGCCCACGACCTGTCTTTCGCTCGGACAGGTTATGTTTCTGATACTGGGGCAAAGATCATGGTCAGAGAGCCCGATGCTCACCTGTACCCAGTCACTGCATCCTATCGTTATGCTGACCCGCCTCTGCACGCATGGAGATCTGACACTTCTTGGAAGTCAGCTGGACAGATTGATTGGTTCGATGAGCGGACAGACTTCACTGATACCTTCACCTTGAAGGGACTGCACCCGGATACACGTTATCAGTGGGTGACCAGCAACAACAATACTGGTTTCTTCACGACCGCTCCCCAAGCTGGACAGATCTCAGCGAGAGCCGACAATCAAAACTTGTTCACGTTCGTGCATTCCTCTTGCATTAAGCTCAACTTCCCCTATGCTCCTTGGAATCATCCGCTATCAGCTCCAGGCTTCCAAAAACTGGCTGAAGGTCTGAAGGGGCTCAAGGCACAATTCATGCTGTTCTTGGGAGATTTCATCTACATCGACGTCCCCGGTGGCACTGGCTACAAGCTCGAGGATTACAGACGCCAATATAGACAAGTCTACGCGAGTCCAGACTGGCCAGCCGCATCGACAGAGCTGCCTTGGATCCACGTCTATGATGATCATGAGATTAGCAATGACTGGGATGGCAACACCACTGGTGTGTTTCACGCCGCGAACGATCCTTATGAGCATTATCACATATCTGCCAATCCTCCTGCGCATCGCAAGGGCGAAACCTACTTCTCTTTCACGCAAGGCCCGGCATCATTCTTCATGCTGGACACTCGGCGCTATCGTTCACCAAATGATGGCACGAATGGTTCAGATCCTATCACCGGCGAGCCGACAAAGACTATGCTTGGCCAACAACAATTGAGCGATCTACTCGGATGGCTTAAGAGCCCTGAGCGGGATGGCGTTCGTTGGAAGGTCGTTGTGTCTTCTGTACCATTCACCAAGAACTGGTGGTTCGGTGCGCAAGATACGTGGCGAGGATATCTTGGTGAGCGCCAAATTATTCTCGAAGCCATGTGGGATGTCGGTCTTCGTGGCGGCGTTGGTGTCATTGTTCTATCCGGCGACAGGCACGAGTTCGCAGCCACCTCTTTCCCGCCACCTCCAGAAGGAAAGGAGGAAATCATTGGCCTTGGACAGCTTGGTATCGGTGCCAATCCGCTCTCTCATAACCGCGATGCAGCACATCTCTCACCTGAAGAAAAATCAGCTCTTCGTACACGGACGAAGCGCTGGCCGCTGAGCGCTACCGTACACGAATTCAGCGTTTCGCCGTTGAATATGTTCTATCTGCCAATCAGAACATACACCGAATCCTCGACAGATGAGAGTTACGTCAGCGATGTCTGCATCAAGTACCTGCCCGATGGCAACAGCAAGTTCGGAGCTGTCAGTATCAGCAATCCCAAGAATTCGGATCAGAGCGTCTTGACGTATCGACTATTTGTGGATGGTGTTGAGACCTGGAGTTACACCTTGACAACTCCACCCGACGTGAGAGGTGGATCAAGAAGCAAGGACGCCATCTGGGGATGAAGCTAGACCTAGAATGTCATATTATTAATTGCTTCTTGGGGAATAGGAACATCTTGGCAGGTGTTGGTTTATTTGCTTATTCTCGCTGGACACCTGCTTGCATACGAGCTTGGTATCTGTAGCCAGTGAGCCAAAAAGGACCTCTGTTCTAGCTGCAGTTGGTTCTATATCCGACTTGTCGCTGATGAACGATCGTTTCCGTTCGCTCGAGACTAGAGACGACACAAAAGTAAAGGGGTCCTTTGCCCTGTGTCCGTCTCATCAGAGGATTGCTTGACGAATTCTAGGGCACCAGCCCCTTTGCAAGCCTCCCTCAGCCACGACTCACCGGCAGTTGTAGTTTTGTACCTTTCCCCTGTCTACGTCGCGCTCTAACGTGACATCCGGAGACTTTTGTGCGGCTGGAAATGTAGCAGCAGGTTTTCGGCACCAGTGCTTTAGCTTTTCGGCAGCGACGGCACGTCTGGTCTTGGTAAGCCGGTGGAGAGGAAGCACTTTTACAGCCAATGTAGGGCTTGTCTTTGCTAGTCACCATCAGTCTTTCTTAGGAGTAACCACTGGATCGGGTCGTCACATTGCAGCGGCCTGTCGGACCAAAGTCAAGTCTTCGGCCGGATCAGTCGACCGCTGCATTCGGAGTCGCAGCGGAGTACAGTCTGTATGCAGTTCGGTGCTCGCTGTCTTCCTCGGAGTCGACCAAATCCTCAACTCCTACTGGACTTGCGGTGCCTTGACGTGATCTTCGCTTGAACTCTGTTTGCTGACTTGGATGACAGAGTTTCTGGTGACTAACAGTAGCCCCGACAGCATCGAAGCGCCAGCCACTCTGGAGGCGGGTTTCGCGGGTGGAGCGCGTCAGGAACAGGCACATGCTTTCGACGAAAGATATCGCAACGGCTCGCGCTTGTCATCGCGCAGCGAAATCGGTTCGGTTTGCCGATCAACATGGAAAGTATCGTCTGCAGTCAAAGACCACCAACTCCGTGTTGTCGTGCTCGCAAGGCTGAGCAAGCAGGACTAGATTTCGGTGTTGTATCTTTGTCCGGTATCGCTCCATGGAAACTCCACTGCTCGACATATTCGGACTGTCCTAGAGAGCGAGTGACGAGATCCTGCGCTACGTCGACCGGATGGCCTGCGTTCCACAAAAGCTTGTTTTCACCTTCGATGCCAACCACGAGCCTCAGTGTATTGTTGGAACCAGTTCAGACTCGATATAAAAATCGCAACAAAGGGACGCCATAGGCCTGGAGTCAACACAGTCTGCTGCTAACTTCACTCGTCGGATACGCGTATCGTTGTACTGTGGCAATAGCTTAAGCTCTCGAAGGATTGATCTTAATGCTCCAAGCCTGCAAGGCGCGGCTTTAGCGTTCACTGCCTCCCTCTGATCACTGTCTTTCACTGCCGATCACAGAATAACTCTGACGAGCTCTCTTTCGGAGACATCCTGCCGGCTCCTACAGCCACTCGCAAAAGCTCACCTGAATGGCTGGCGACTTTCTCCCTCTGATTCATACTCTCGCGGTGTTCTAATTCTAGCGCCTTGCGCACGCTTCATAGGTGCATGGCTAGCTCAATTCCTCGCGTTCAATCTTGCGCACACACGTAGGATCTGGCGAGCGAGTATCGCTGGGGTTTAGAGTAATCTCCGGTGGGTCTCTCTTCACCGGTTGCCTACGTGCTCACACGTGAAATATAGATTGGGGTGTACGACATCTTCCCCATCTATTGACCGGGTCAGACCACGTCTGATCTTACAGCATCCACACATACAACATGTTGACCAAGCCTTCTTCGCATGTGTGCCTCGAATGCGGCCGGGCGTACAAGGCTGCCGAGACGCTTAATCGACACAAGAAGAACCACTCAGCCACCACCAATTACGCCTGCGACATCTGCGACGCAAGCTTCAAACGAAAGGATCTCCTCGACCGACATTATAACATCCACTCTGGAGGTAAACAGCCCCCCAACAACAGTCGAAGCCAAAGAGCTTGCGATCGGTGTTCAAGGTTGAAGACAAGATGCGACAACATGGTCCCTTGCACGCGGTGTACTCGAGGAGGCCACGCATGCACGTACAAGCTGAAAGGCAGTCGCGCCAGAGTTGATCGATCACCCAGAGCATCTATGGACAGCGGTACATCTGCTCGAAGTCACGATAGTCCTATGCCCTCAGTTGGAACACCTGCAATGTCGCCTGAACTCCCAGCTTCACTGGACTCAGGAACGCAATTCGACCTTCAGAACAACTGGATGGGTAACCTCTGGCTCGAAGAGCCGGCATGGCAATGGCCGCTTCCAGAAGACACGTTAGCACCTGCCGAACAAAACTCCATACGGATGGCAGCTCCTCAAGCATACCCAATGCAGTCATGGGAAGGCGCTGTCGATCCTGACTTGACAGGAAGCTACCTTCTGCCTCCAGGGCCTCTTTCCGACTCAGAATACACTCCTTCCTTGGCGAGTCCTTCGTATTCGGCAGCATCGGTGGAGAGTCCTTTGCCTGCTACGATGTCCATGGCACCTACTCGGTATGGTATGGCAGTCGCACCAACAACGACAGGCCACAGTTGTGGGTTGGACAATCCCATGTTTTTACCTTATTGGAATCTCGACACGAATGTCGACGCTATCCCTTGACGAAGTTTCCTGTCTGTCGACCAGCGAGTACGATCAGCTACTGCTTTGGATATCAGCAGACGCTATCCTTAAGACGCAGTCTAGCATTCACGTCTCCGTGTCCGCAAACAGCTACTGCCTGTTCGCGATGAGTGGGCTCTCAGAAGACGAGCACAGCCTCTCAAATCAAGAATTCGACGAATTGGTCAATTTGAGCTTCGGGGTACGTTCACTTTATCATTATGTGATTACCGCCTACTGACCTGAGTGAAGAATGGGGCAGGCAACATCGATTCAATTGATCCATCAGCGAATGGCAGTGGAACCGCGCCCCCAATCAGCGAAAGTGGTGAGCTCACTTCCCCACCACGACATCGACTCCGGTCAGGATCGCCGCTCAGCAAACCCCCGCCTCCTATAAACCAAAATGACGAGCTACATTTCTCGCTGTCGCCGCTCGGCGACAGAAAGGACTCGGCGGCAACCCTTCTGCACGCACCAGACAAGACTAGACTCTCCGCCTTCTTCGAGCAAACAGTAGCTTTCAACCCAAACAACAAAATCCTGCTTGGCCAACCAGTCTGCGCAGACGACAGACAGACAAGATACGAGTTCATGCTCATCTTGGTACATTACGACAATGACCAGCTCCTACTTCGCTCGATCGCTAGGGCACAAAACGGCACGAAATCAGTCACCACCGAAATCCTCGGCTTCCGTCTCTGGAAATGCGTGTGCGAAATCGAAGACCATATTGGTATTACACCTCACGACATGTTTAGTGCCTGCAAAGACGCGGCGCACTCCTATCACAGAGATAGGGCGACGCTCAAATTCCCGACTGAGCGGCAGAAAGATGATATCAAGAAAATGTTGGCCTCGGGACAAGGTTTGAGTGATTGTTCTGGTATCGAGACGAGGAAGCAGAATTGGCTAAAAAGCAAGGCTCAAACGCTTCGTGACCTTAATGACTCGCAAGCTGGGTCGGCACCGCCCACGGCCGGAGATCTTTCATCCTAGAGTACCGTGAATAGAATGAAAAATAAACTAATCCGCTCACGAGGCTAGCTACGGGGTTTATTTGCCTTCGGAATGATTGCGAGAGTGCATCTCTTTCTCCGGAAAGCAATTGAGATTTTCCGCTGCTCGAACTGGCGAAGACGTACAGAGCCGTCTGAGATACATGAGTACACGTACGTCTTTGCCGACTAATGTGAGGCTCCATGCAATGGTCTCTCGAATACAGCTGATACTACACACTGGGGGCCCCCTGAAGTTGAGCCGATTGGAGTCTCATCCTTCGTCCGGCATTTGCCAGAATCACGCAGTTCCACCTGGATCCATTCACCAAACAATGACACGCTCTTCCTTTCTCGTGTCCCTCTCGCTATCGATCTCATGTCAAGAGGAGTCCTTCGGCCGAGACTACCCAAACCATAAGACCGCAGGTCCTGTTTAGGAAAGCATAAGGCGTGTTGTCCAACACGTGGAATCCTTAAGCCGATAACGCAACTGGACGGCAGAACCGGCAAGGAGGCACAGGTCTAAAGGAAAAAAAGCTAAGCACATGGATGGCTGCTGCCTCATGTTTGGAACTAACTTAGTGCTGATTTTGTTTTTTGAGTGCGAGAGAACGAATAGTAATCTTCTATTGTCTGCTTCTCATTGCTCAGAAAGTAAGAGGCAAGACGGTCCGAGTAGAGAGGATGACGAGAGGGAGCAAGTGATTGATGAGTATTCAAGTCTAAGACAGAGTCCAGGATCTCTGTGATGACTGGAGCACGAATGAGCAAGTTTTCCCATGGAAGCACGACGGCAGTCATGAGAATCAGGAAAAGAGGAGTGAAGTGATGTGGGAAATTTTTTAAGCTGGTTCAAGCAGCATCTACTGTAAGCAGTTGCACACTGCGTGCATGGCGACCGAGCGTTACCTTCAGAGGTGAATGCGCTATACAAACGTCAACAGTGACCGTATTGCCATATTTTCAATGTTCTTTCCCGTCCCGCGAACAAAAGTGTTCGTGTTTATTCGTCATCGCCTTTGTTTCCTCCATACGCGCTACTCCACACTCCTAGCAAACGCCCCACTCCAAGATAGCATGCAAAAAGAGTCGTTGAATTGGTATCATGATGAAGCAATCATACGCTCGAGCTGTCATTAACGTCGTATGATGCAGAAAGCTGTGCTCAAGTCTGCAAATCACTGCGAAGAAGCGAAAGAGCTCGTAGACTCTGCTCCAGTGCTGCGACGAGCGAGAGTGGAAAGGACCTCGGCAGCTTGCTTCTCCTCAAGATCGAAACCGCCACCACTTTCACGCGGGTATGCGTTCAGAGGGCGGCCTCCGAACAAGTCGCGGATGGTGGACGTACGTTGGCCGTACTTGTTGAATTGGTCGAGCATTGCGGAGCAAGACATCCGGGGCGGTGGCATGGAAGTACTGCTGCTTAGGGTGCTAATGCTTGGCTGGTTGGCGAATGAGCGAGGGGTTTCACCACTTGCTGGTCGTGTTGCGGCGGCCATTTCTCTACAGGCGCGTGCTCGCTCCGGGTCGGAACGGCACATGTCGCAGCTGCCGGGCATGGTTGTGACTTTGGGCTCCATGGGTACTGGCTTCGATCGCTGGCGCTGCTGCTCTTGTTTGCAGGCACAGTTCTGCTCGTCTGTGCAGAAGCCGCAAGGGTCTTCGTTGTCGATAGTGAACTCCACATCGTTATTCTCGTTGAGCACGTCGCGAATGGCGTACGCCGAACTGGTGCTCCGCCCGTAGGTGGTGAAGTCAATTTCGTACTCTGAGCTCGGTGGTGTGGGACCAGTGGAAGGCTCGTGAAGCGCTGTCTGACCAGGCTGAGAACGCACTTGTTCTACGGACACCCTGGCCTTCAGGTTGCTGTCGAGGTCGGCGATTCGCTTATCCTTCTCTGTGATTTCTGTGCGAAGGGCGGCGACTTCAGCCTTGAGATCCGCCAGTGCCCGATCCTTCTCGGCATTTAGTGTCCGCAGGTGGGCAATTGTGTTGCGGTTTTCAGCCTCTCGCTGCTGACCGGCCGCACTCAACTCGCGAATCTGATCCTCCAGCTGCTGGTTCTTTTGAGCCCTCTTGTCACGGAAGTTACGCTGAGCGACCCGATTCTGCACCCGACGACGGTCTGCGGCATTCTCTTGTCCCAGTGGCTTCCGGCCAGGCCGTGGGCGCGCAGGAATGGTGATGTCCGTGGACATGGGCCCACTCCGCTGGGCAGTCATGCCGGCGTCACCGCTCTGCGTTGGCGACAACTCGTCGCTTGCCTTGCGCTTCAGAGAAGATATCGAGCCGTTCTTCGGAATGGCGACCTTGTTGCCGACACCATTGCTGCCGACGCTGTCCACCCGCTCGTGCTTGACAGACGTACTGCGTGAAGGCTGGTCGTACGCGCGGAACCCGGGGGCGGCAACCTGCTGGTGGTGCTGCTGTGCTTCGTAGTTGATGTAGTCTGCGGACTCGTCGTTAGCTTCTGGCGTGGGAGGAGTCGAAGTCATGGCGCCTTGTGCGTCGGAGAGGATGATTCTCATTCGCGAGGCAGAGATGATCTGATAAGATTGTCGTGCGAGACGGGCGGGGGAAAACGGCTGCGCCGGCATCGGCGGCCAATCTCGGCTCAGCGCTGCAAGCCGTGCTGGGCACGTGCCGACGTGGTACGAGCTTCGACGACATATACTCGATAGCTTTACTTACTCTCATGTTGTTGTATCTGTGGTGGCAGCAGCATCGGTTGCGTAGCTTGTGGCATGTAGGCCCATGAGTCGTCGACGTCTTCTTGTGGCTGGCCGAATGGGTACTCATTGTTCCACATCATTTGGTCATTGCCAATCACTTGGTTGTTCTGCAGATAATCCAGATCTGCCTGGGATTCGGTAAAGTCGTCCTGCAATTGGAGGGCCTGCTGGAACTGGACTTGCTGGTTTGCGCCTGCCATATCTGCCATGTACCGATAGGTATCGACCCGAGGTCGAGCAGCTGCTCTGGCACTGAGGAGCGCGGTTGCTGCTTCGTAGTCCAGTGGTGTTGCGCTGACCATTGTTAGGATACTGTGGAAAGGAAGATCACGACCACGAGGAGGCGACGAAGGGCAGGCAAGGACTCTCTCTTACCTCAATCTGCTGTGGTCGGAGCGTCGCGAAAGTTCCGCTGGACGCAGAGGGGTGATGGGTAGCTCGACACGGGCGACTTGGTTCGAGCAGTGGGCTCAAGATGTGGTGTCTATGACATGAGTTGTCGCGAGTGAACCAGTGAGACGAGAGATGATAAGAAGAAATAGCGAGTAGAAGTGGGGAACATTTTCCAAAATGCATTCGTCCAGCAATATTGAGGGCCAGCCAGAAGTGGGCAATAGTATACGGTACAGCCCCCGAAGCTTGATCGATGCTGCACCAGATGAATCGCACCTGCCCGTAGCAAAATGCAGGTAGCTCGACTGGGGCCGCGCCTGCTCGATGCCGCTCACACGTGTATGAGTCTGGCAACTGCTTGGGTGAGGCCCGCAGACCCGAGTCTGCAGATGGTCCGGAAAGAATCCTCCGTATCTATTGTGTGGTCTCAAAGCCGTGTAAAGTCTTCCATCATGATCGTGAACCTGGTACTCGGGCCTGTCTGAAGGGCGGCCCCACTGGAGCGTATCTAGAATCCACCCACTATCACGTCTAGAACCTTTTCCGTCGTGCCTGTGAATGTCATCACGCCAATCGCGTGTCCTTCTCCTCAAGACCGGCCAACACTCCCTCTCCTTCGCCATACATCCAGTACTGTACACCAAGATAGCAGTCACAAGCCGCCTGGAACAAACCGCAAAGCTTGAACGCCCACGGCACATTGTTGTCGGAGAGGAAGAAGTAAGTCATCTTGAACGAGTCTCCAATCAGCCAATTCACCAGCACACTCAAGCGGAAGCCCTTGCAAGATCGCAATCGTTGGTTTTCCAGAATCTGCGGTATGGGCAGCGTGGCTTCAATGCTCAAGGCCACATAGCCTTGAATGGCAACATAACCCGAGTTTCCGCCAAGGAAGAGCTGTAAAGCGGCTAGTACCACTGTGAAGTAGGCAAGAAATTCCCAATAGGTTCGTCGATGTCTCCACTGCCAGAAGTTAAATGGTCTGGTACCGTAGTTCTCCCCGGTCGCGCCAGCGAATGGCTTGTTCAAGCTGTGCTGAGCACCGAAAGGAGGTCTGTTCACAAGAGCGACGTGCAGCAACAGTATCTGCACTACCACCATGACCGCAGCTTGAATGAGGAGCGCGGTGTCGAAGCGGTCGCCAAGCCAGAAGAAGATCCTGCTTTCATCAACATGTGTTGCGCACGACATCGCCATGAACAGTGACCCACTTGAGAATCGAAGCAACGAGCATAATGAGTGGAATATCCAATGAGAATCCCGCCGATGACCGATTCCGGTTGATTGATAGGATTTGGTCGGCATAGCTTGTAACCGGCGATGTGATCAAGAAGATCGGGGCTAGATGCGTTACCAGCCATCGAAAGATTGCCATCGCTCTGAGTGGTTGTTAGCAGTTGTAGACTCGGTGATCCGTGTCGACTTGCTCTTCTGTGTTGGTGGGGATTGAGAAGCTTAAGTGCTCTGCCAAGGCGTCCCCAGTGGGACTCTGCGGCGTGGCCATGTTTGCGACTGAGAAGATGCCGGAGCAGTGTCAAAAACACATGCCTTGTGAAGTGATTGTTGGAGGAGGCGGGACGATGAGGTCTCACTCACGTTAATATCTCACGCGCTGATCGCGCTGAGCTCGGCAGGCGGAGGAGGGCGGAAGGAATGACGCTCTTGATCGTGTGCTTAGCCAATCCACATTTCCTGCGCGGTATCCTGGTGTTCTGTTCGTGCAAGCCAGCTCCAGAAGATATCGACACACACCGAATGTCTTTCAATGAGCGTGAAGAGTGTGTCGGCAGTAGGAAACACAAGATGAAGTCCAGTGGCCTCGCCAAAAGGAGACGCGCCCACAAGCTTTGCATCGCGATCGGCAGCAGGGGTCGGCTCCCGAAGACCCACTGCCCGACGACCTCATGCGGCTGCTGTCAAGACAAACGCCGACATAACAGCATCTCAATGCGTGAAGTACGGCAAAGACCCTGGTAGACGAGTCTCCGATCGAACACGATTCCTGATAATACTTACGAAATGCTGAAGAATTAGCGCTTCGCAGACCACAAAACGAAAAGGCCTATCGAACTGCCGAGAACCAAGAGTCATCGTTCAAGATAAGCCGATTGCATTATTGCGAGACAGTCGAATAAGACATTGAACAAAGCGAGGAGTACAAGCAATCAAACATCGTCATCGCCAGGATTATAGAAGAAGAGTGGTCTCCGCGACCAGCAAAAACCAATCCTCCTACCACTCCCGCAGAACTCATCGCCATTACCATGGCCTCTGCAACCCCCATCGAACCCACAGGCCGCTCAGCCTTCTTCTACGGCACCCTAATGGCTCCCTCAGTCCTTCACCGCGTCTGTCACGGCATCGCAGACTCATCCAATCCACTCTACGCAACCCACAACCTCAAGACTTATCCCGCAATCCTCCACAATCATCGACGCCACCGGGTCAAACAAGCCGACTACCCAGGCGTCGTTCCATGTCCCAACTCTTCTGTTCGCGGAACATTCGTCACAGGCCTCACAGATGCCGACATCTTCCGGTTGGACATCTTTGAAGGCGACGAATACGAGAGACGGCCAGTCAAGGTCAAAGTGTTGAAGGAAGAAGGCGATGCTGAGACTGGGGAGGGCAATGTTGAGGTAAAGCTGCTCGTCAACAAATGTTCTGGTATCATACTAACATGCATTGTCAAAACATAGGGCGAAGAATTCTCCGCCGAAACCTACATCTGGACATCCTCACGCGACGATCTCGAAGACCGCGAATGGGATTTCGCCGAATTCCGTCGCGAAAAGGAGAGGTACTGGGTAGGAGCCAAGGGAGCAGGAGAATATGCAGGTAGACCTTCCATCATTGGTCAGTCTTGAAGACCACTGTATCCTGGCCATTGCGAAGGAATAGAAAGCTAATTCGGGCCTAATGTGAACGCACAGAAGTCGACGAAGCCGTTGCTGCAGCTCAAAATATGACTGACGGGACGAGAGGACGTGCCGCACACGGTGGGCACATCACTAACGCTTTAGTCGAGGAGCAGAAAAAGAAGGTCTCCACTTAGGTGGTCCTGGCAGAGGGTTTGAGCATGGCGTTGGATACAGATGCGGACGCAACATTGCGATAGAGATAGACGGAAAGTTTCAAGAGACAGTATATGTCTGAACTGACGCTATGAAGACCAAACTATGTAGCTGCATCGGAGCAGCGAATGTTCTGTGCGCCTTGTTACGCCCCCCCATTCACGCGCTGCCTGACTAACAACATTCCTCACCTGGGGACATGAGCGCCTTCATTGCCCGACCTGACTCTGCAGCGCATCTGGCTGTGAATCAGGGATTTCGGCCCCATCGTTGCCCGTATTGTCAGGAAAGCCTTCGAAAGTGTCTTCGTCGAGCATCGACTTGCCCAGTGGATCCGGTTCACCCTCGTCACCGATGTCAATCACAACGGTCCGCTGTGGAACGCGCTCTGAATCATCTGACACGCTCTCAATGTCAGTTTCATCGTCTTCGACGCCATCTTGTCCGACTCGATCCCGAGCTGCTGAATCGGTTTTGGAGACCATGTCATTGATTACACCAGCTGAAATTGTGCTGACAAGACCCGGCGATCGTGTCCGCGAACTTCGATTGTCCTGTTCTAGGCTTGATAAAGGACTGAGATGGGCATTGTGCACAGGCGCCGGGCGCTTCGGCGGCGTAGCTGACCTCGGACCACGAGAGTCACCCGCACTTGGATCAGCAGTGTCTAGCATCTCGTGCTCGTCCTCTTGATCTTTCTTCTCATCGGGCCCGGCGACAGGCGAAGATCGCGCTTGTTCGTTGAAACCCGTGTGAGACTTTCTCAACGGCTGCGGAGCGTCGACTTCTAACTCATCGTCGTTTTCGTCGGCATCGCCTTCGTCGGGAGGTTCCTTCCGTGGGCTCTTCCGTGGTGAAGGCGCCACTTTGCGAGAACTTGGCGTGGTCCCTTTAGAAGCAGATGGAGGTTGTTGCTGGACGGGAACCACCTGACGGCCGACCTTCTCGGCCGAAGGACTCCCGCGTGCTGGTTGACTCGAAGTCGGCGGAGCTGAAGTATCAGCTCTAGTCGCCGTTGCCTGTGCAGATGTTGGCGCGCCGCTAGGCGTCTTGACGACCTGAGGAGTTTGTCCGTTCTTTCTGGCAGATGCTCGAGCAAGTTTGTCCTTCTTATACTGCGCATCCTGTTCGTCGCCGTACTTGATCAAGGTCTCGCGAATTTCATCTCTCAAAGCAGTTGTATTGAACTCCTTGAAGTCATTCTCATCGATTTGCCTGCCCAGGATCTTTTTGACGAAGCGATCAGGATCTCGGGCGAACTCTTTCATGTATCCGATCAGGTACACGCCGCAGTCATAGAAGTTGTCCTGTTGGGGAATGCCCTTGGCGTTCACGCCTTGCAGGTCGTCCATTGCAACAGCCATTTGCCGTTTCTCTCGTGCTTCTTCAATTACGTATTTCTTGATGACGCGGAGCTCGTTGGTACGAGCAAGACCAAAAGAGTCCAGTGATATGATCATAGGCTGTTCGGGGTTAAATTTTCTCACCGGCGCGACCCGCTTCTTCCTGCCCTTTTTGCCTTTGATTGTGGGTTGACTTCTGGCAGTCTCTACGGCGGTGGGCACAGTTCCATCCAACGCTTCATCCTCTTGCGCGGGGCAATCGCCGACTCTGCCTTCAGCATTGTCACTCAAGCTCATTTGCTCAAGTTTGGAATGTGGCTCTTCGGGCTTTGCAGGCGTAGCTTCGCTTTCCGAGCACAGATCGACCGCATCTTCTGTGGATGGTTCATCGTCTGTGTCCACCATTCTTCGTCGCAGGGCAGGGAGATTATAGATTATTGCCACGAACCAGTGGAGATCCAGGTTGATCGGCACAACGATATACGGCTTCGAAAGCAAATCTGCATTCTTCGTCCACTTCTTTACAGCATCGTAGTTGAAGTCTTTTTTGCCGTTCTTTGTCGTCAGAGAAGAGAAGAAGAATGTGTTGAAGAAGTGTACACGCTCCTTGTGGGCCGGAGACATGGTCTCTTCGATATGTCGGAGAGCGTAATTCACGATGTTGTCATTGAGGAACTCGCCAGCGTCCAGATGCTCAAGGTCGCCAACATCGACTGTAACGCGACGAGTGCCCACCTGAGGGTATACGACAGATTTTGTCCATTTAGGAAGACCATTCTGCACCGTCCATTTCACTAGTTCAGGTGAAGGCTCACGATACTGTGGCGGCGGCTTTGATTGACGTGTTGATCTTCGTGTCGGCTCCTTGACGAATTGCTGTGAATCTGTTCCCACGAGACGAGAAAGCGGCTGACGGGCGCCATTCTGTTGCGTCTCTTGTGCTCGAAGGACCTCAGATAGAGTTTCGCGCTTCATTTTACTCACAAGTTTCTCGCGTCGCGATGTCTGCTCGACTGCACTGGATGGCTGCTCAGTGTCGTAAATGATGACATCGTCGTCAGCTTGAGCTTGGTTTGCACGCGCTTCAGCTTGGTCCCTCAACTTCAAATACCCGCCGATCTCTTTGTTGCCAAGATTTGTGAACATAGAACCAAGCCGATCAACGTCAACATCCACGAACTCGACACCAAACTCGTCACGTAATTTCTCGAAGACGGAATTCTTCCCTTCCAGCGTGTGAAAGTGCAGCAGAATGTGTCCCGTGCTCATCCAGTCCGATGAACCTTTCAGTATGGCTTTCGTGCTGCTTGGGTGGGAAATGAACCCGTGCGCAGCAGCAAACTTGCAAATTTGAACGGGTTCTTTCCGCCATGGAGAGAAGACTAAGGTGCCGGACTCATCTGCCAGGAGGAACCTTTCGTTGGTATGGTCCCAAATCAATGCATACCCCGTAGCTTGCATCGCGAAGCCTCGGCAAATGAAGGTCGTTATCTGCGGACGGCCAACATCGCCATCATCTTCGCCCAGCTTCCAGATATCAGCGTCCACCTTTTTGGGAACGGCTGGTTTCTGGTCTGCTGCTCGCGTGAAGTTCGTTGGTTTGAGACTGGAATTGTAGGTCTGTGCTTTCGGAGAAGCATATGCGGACCCAGCGGGTTCTGGACGAGGCACCTCAGCAGCCTTCTTTGGAGAGGCGCTTCGAGACTTCTGCGATCCTACTGTCGTTTCACCGCCGAGAACATCCGGGCTATGTTCGCGGGGCTGAGGGCGGCTCGGAAGGGTTGGTTGACGGGGCTGCGCCTGGTTGTGCATTCGGATCGTCTCCACGGGACGGTCACCGTCGTCACTTTGTATCGCATCTCGTACGAAACGTCCTCGCACGTCTGCGGGTTGGCGTTCGCGTGCAATTCTTGGTCCTGGCGTTCCTCGCTCAAAATCATGATTAACATGGGCAACTTGAGGTTGCGGTATCGACCGCCTCGGAGCTGCAGTCGCAACAGGGCGAGCCTTGACAATGGAGGGCTTAAGATATCCTACACTTTCGAAGACGTTGTCGACATCGTCTTTGTTGTAGGCACTGCCTTGCTGGGTCTTCTGTCGGTTTCGCTTGTACGCGTTCCCTGCTTCCGCGACTCCCTTCCAGAGGTCCCTTTCAAGCATTTCCCCGGCAGTATCTCGAATAGCGGACTGGCTGTCATCTGCGTCTACATCAACTGGACTCTGAGCAGTGCCATTAGTTTTGTGGTCATGGTCAGCGTAGGATCGACCAGCTTGCGCCTGGCTCTGTGATGCAGCCGTGCTGGCCCTCATGCCCGGCAATGCTCGTCTTGAGTTGGAGTGCAAGTTGCCGCCTTCCATGTCAGCGAGGTATAGCTCATTGTTGCCGAACGCGTCACCACCGCCTCTCAGCTTCTTCTTCGACCTACTGGACGATCCAGCCGCAGATCCGTGACTACCAGATCTGTGTATGCCTTGTTTAGCAGGCACGGCCACACCTTGAGAATAATCGTCGGTTAGGTCGACCAGATCCGAATCAAGTCTGCTCTTTTTGGTAGGAGGCCGTTGAGACTCGAGCTCGTCGTCCACAACCTCGTCCACGTCCAAGGGCTTTACGACATTGCTCCCGCTGCTTTTGCTGAGCGGAAGCGGCTGCGGCCGAGAACTTCCTCCGGCTGTAAATGGTTTGAAACTCGGCTCCGGCAGACGCTGCTGCGTCAATGACCGCTGTCTCTTGTTTCCACTCTGCACCGACTGTTGGTGAAGGGTATTTCTAGGCTGAAACCCGTACGCAGGGCGATGTGGCGCGCCCATCTTCTCGTGCTGGACTCGAGCTGGAGGCCGCGGATTCCAGTCCTCCCCAGGATCGTATTTTGGCACGAATATTCGCGTAGCGTCCTTGGGCGTCTGTTGGTAATTTGGAGTCAAGGATTGTGCGCTGCTGCTGTTTCGACTGCTCTTTCTGCTTCTGCCCGGACTGTCTCCCTCTTCACTTCGGCGGCGCTTGCCCGACTGCGGCGGTGATGATGGCGTTACCTCCTCCAGAAGCGGCGGCATTCGAACGGAACGGTCTGGCGATGTTCGTTCATTAGGACTCTGTACTTCAAAGTAAGCCCATTGCGCATTTCTTTGTGCGTGGTGTCGCTTGTTCCAGGCGATGCCTCGCTGGAAGCCGGCGAAAGCCATGTCCATGTGCTGGTGAATGGTGAATGAGGGCAAGGAAAGGTCATACCGCAGCAAAGGTTGAGGACGAGGCCTCACTCTCGTGTATTCGAAGCAGCCCCTGCACTCTATTGTGCACTGTATTCTTGAACCCGGTCAACGTCTCTGCGGCTCTTGACAACATCGATTGTCCGTCTTCTTGTCCGGCTACGGCTCTTTCCGTCTATTGTGCCCGAATTGCGCGCGTCTATCTCGGTGTTGTTGGGATGAGACGAGCATATTCTGAGCTCGGCCGACTCGAGTGCGTCGTATCGTCGTGGTGTGGTGGCGGGGATGTGTAACGGTCGAGCATTTCAAGACTGTCTTTTAGTTCTACGCGCGTGCAACGTGAAGCGGGTCCCGCTGACTTCATTCAAGGGTCCCGTCAGCAGCACTTCACCTGCACTTTCTTTGTCCTTTCCTGCAACACCAACTACATATTGCCAGGACATGCATAAAACAAAGTCTTCGCGATATTGTTGAGATATTTTAAACTACGTTCTTGCTAAACAGAGCAGCAGCAGTTTCACGCTCGGGCTATCCTTACACAAAACCATGTCAAGCTCCAGTGCCTATCAAACTCAATTGAGGAAGCTCTGGGTACGATACTGTACGTTCGATACAGGTGACGCACAAATGCGCAAAACAGCGCCATGATAGCTCGAATAGATACGCCTTGCCATAGTCGATTCACCACAGCACCGTTTCATCCGCAAAATGCGATGCCTTCAACGATGCACACGTCTCGGGATTGGGCCCTTCAGGAGCTATCAAGCGCGCGTGATAACCCATTCGCTCCAGTTCGCGTGGCATATCACGCGGATCGTTGACTCAGTAAATCTTGTGTCAATGGACTCGCCTCTCGTTACGAAATTCCGATTGCCCGCTGCATCAGTCCAATCCACTTCGGCGCTAGGAGGTACCAGTAATAGTGACTACTTGGTTGGGTGCATAGCGATAGGGCCTAGCACTTCCGAGTAGACCCCAATGTCGAGATACAGCCGCGGCTCTTGCTAAGAGAATTTGGGCTACACATCTGCTGGGTTTGTCACAATATCTGGTTCTGCACGCCCCACAATGATCATGTGCTCGCTTCCACCAGCAGCGTCCGTTAACACACCGGCCTTTCGCAGAATTTCTGCTGTTTGGTCCACCGTGCTGGCACTGACTCCTCGGACGTCTTCTGGAAAGCGCACTGTCTTCATCCATTCTTGTGCGTCTTCTCTCGAGTATTCCATGGTTGTCGTAATGTGATTTACAGCCTCCTCTTTATTCTCGCGGTAGTATTGCATGCCATCATTGATTCTCTGCATCATATCTTCCACCTCGGCCTCGAGATTCTCATGTGTCCGCGCGACAATCATCCAGCTTGGCCAGGGTGTATAAATCTCTCCAATTCGTTTCAACTCGCCATTGTCCCAGTAGTGCTTTGTAGTGAAGTGCTCCCACATGAAGAAATCGCTGCTCTTGTCTTGACCAACAGACTTGCGTAAGGCAGCAAAGTCTCCAATGGGAACCACCTCAAACGGCTCCTTTGTGTTCTGCAGCCAGCCTCGCTGATCAGCGAGCACGAAGGACATGACATAGCTGCCACTGCCAATTCTGCTTACGCCGACCTTCTTGCCCATCAGATCGTCCACGCTATTTATCTCGCTCCTCTTCGCTCCAGTCGAGATCGCCCAGCATAATGGTGATTCCACGTATGTCCCCACAAATCCATAGCCAGCATGTTGCCCTGCAGCTTTTGACTTGCCTAGATCTGCCACAAAGCCTTCTGTAAGGCCAATGGCTACATCAATGCTTCCATTATCTCCTCTTGGGGCTTTAAGCGATGCTGCCAGGGCGCCCGTACCAGTGGGGAACGGTACCAGATCGGCGTTGAGGTAATATTTGTGCGTTGCAAAAGCCAATGGTGTAGAGAAGTGCTCGGGAATGTATCCTTAAGTCACATCGTCAGCATCAAAGTCTGACAGCTTTCGTCTCGATGATATACCGATGCGGAGTTTCGAGAATGCAGTCGAGCTGGAAGAGAAGCTACGGAGGCCACGGGACGCTCTGGAGAAGGTGGTTCGGGCGAGCATGTTGAAGCATGTGGGATGCTGTGGGGCAAGAAACATTCGTTCTTCGCAGCGGGCACAAAGTGGGAGCTGTCTCAGATGGCAGATGTCATGGCATCGTCCTGCATCTTGAAATGGCTTAGCAGATAACCTTAAATGAAACTCTAATTCGCTTAGTCTTCCACGTGTGCAGCTGCAAGCTCTTCTTTCCTCATTTTGGAAGGTCGACCGTCTCCGTTGATATTTCCTTGACCCAAGCCAAAAGTTGATCTTTTGAGAAGATCCCATCCACATCGACCAGGATTCACTGATACAAGTACTTCGATGTGGGACATGAGCGTGCTCAGTTCGAGTTCTTTCCGGTCGGCGGCACCGTCTCCTCTTCCACTCGTGGAAACATGTGGCTTGGAGGCGTCCCCAGAACTGGAACAGGGCTGATTGCCAATCCTCTATAAGCATAGTGCCGCCTGCATAGGAAACGGTCGAACTTTTAGAACTCGTGCACCCAAAGCCACCAATTTCGCATCACGCGAAGAAGTCTGGCTCCTGGCTTCTGGCTTCCAGACTGTTCCGAGGAAAGATGCATCAGGCGCCGTATAACAGTCTAAGACCGCGCCTCGTGGGCAGTTCTCCTACGACCATCTCCTCTGCCGTCGTGTCACTCCTTCATAGCATTTGTCGACAGGATGGGAAACGTTTGCAGTTTCGATTCGCCGGACCTGGTGAAAGCGGTCCTTGTTGGTGCGGCGGGAGCAGCAGTTCCTGTCATTCCAACATTCGCCATTGCTGCGGCAAATGCAGCTTTCCTTTCAGTCACAGGCAGCTTCACTTATGATAGTGGTAGTGCGTATTCTCTCGCGACATTTACAAGCTTGAGCTGATCTCTAGCAGGCTTCCAGCCTTCCGGCAGCCCATGTTTGATTCCAACGGCGATAAGTACTGTTGTCGATGGAACAGTGCAGGCGACAACTCTCGCCGTCACTCCCTACATCAGTGGACCAGCTGGACGGACAAACTGCGCACTCTTGACACCAACAGCTGTCGATGATATTCCTGGCTCATCGACATACACTGTCCTATCCTGCCCAAGTGTGATTTTAAGTGCGCTTCCCACAGGCCAGCACGTCCTGGGATTCGATTTCGATGCTGGGGATCCCGAGTTCGCCATGAATACCTTCATGATTGGCCTGCCTCCGCAGACCACCACTCTGGACCCGGAGCCAGGCACGACTGTGACTAAGTCCGAGATTGTCGCTACAGTGACGACCACAACGACTTTGGAGCCTGTAAGTCCCTCTGCCCATTGTGAAAGATGCTTCCACACTTTACTCCTCGAAGCACAATCTCAAGCAACTGGCGAAGAGTTGAACTGATTTGACTGTAAGGTGCCCGCAACCACAACCACCATCACAATACCGACCGCAACGACAACATTGACTAGCACCGAAAAGATTCAAACGATCAAAACCACCACCAAGACAGTCTACACCAAGACGATCACTGCCACGACCGTGATCGTGGGCCGCCCGTACGGCACTTCGACTTCGACCAAATATACTGGCACCGCCACGAAGAAAACGACTAGCACAGTCACTAGCACCACAACCGTCTGCAAGAACTCGTACAACAAGAGAGGAATCGTTGCTGCCCGTGACGGCGGTAATCCAGATTTCACATATCCTCCCGAACCGACGACTTCCACTGTCACTCCTCCAGCCGATCCTGATTTTACAAGATTCGAGACTAAATACGTTACTGCCACCGAGACCAGCACTGAAACTCCTCCTGCACGCGGTACAAGCACCGTGACCTCGTACGTTGAACTGACGGAGACAACGACGATCAAGACTACCGAGCTTTCGACAACGACTTCGACTCTGAAGACTGGCAAGACGGTGACAACAACGAGCACAAGCCGCAAGAAGGGCGAATGCACTACCCTCTATCTCAAGAAAACTGTTTACGTCACTGTAACGAAGACCGCAAAGGCTACGGTCACTCGCAAGAATTGCAAGCCCAAGGGATATTGAACCGGAGAATAGTGGGAGTACTCTGTAGTGCAGTCTCGCTGCTGCTCACACATTATGTACAGTGAATTGATATACAAAGTCGTATTCATTCATGTCCTTGCTTTTGCTTGCATGCTTTCCATCTCATCTCCAAATAGTTCCCTACAAAGCGAAAGCTGCGGCACCTGCAACGAGGGCGCCAGCCATAGCGAAACCTGATTTGAGGCCAGAGGCATCGCTACCAGGTGTCTGGGTAGCTGGGGACATCAACTCTGTTGTTGAAGCCATGCTCTCAGTCGCAGAGGGCTCGGTGCTGGCAGGCATCGAAGCGCTGCTAGTCTCGGACATGGTTGGCTCTGCGCTTGAGCTGTTGTCGTCGCCGCTCTCACCGCCGCCTACTGGTGCGTCGGCAGCCTGGACGACTCCCCCGGAAGGAGCATCTCCAGTGGGCTGGCCAGAGGAGGTACCTTCAGCACCTGAGACGTAGCTCTCGATAGTGTTTTCTCCGCTGAATTATACATCAATTGTCTGTCCTGTAGGTATCATCCCGCAATTGATGTGAGAACTCACCTTGGGTTGATGACAAAAGCCATGCCAGCCTGGCAATGAGAGCCGACTGAGCAGTAGTACACTGCAGGATCGGTGGAGTTCACTTGGAAAACAAAAACGCCATCGCTGGCAGTGAGAACGCCAGAGTCGACATTCGCGTCGCTGTTGTACTGGCAAGGGCTGTCCCATGATCCGGAAATAGCATTGTGTGGAATGCTTGGGTCGAATGCCACTCGAATGCTGTCACCCTCTGCCACGTCTGAGATGGAAGTAGGCTCGAATGCCAATTGTCCCTCAACAACACGAACTTCGTGTACGGTCTGTGCGGCAGCAGAGCCAGCAAGGGCCAATGCAGATGCCAGGGTAATCTTGGACAACATTTCGAGTAAAAATCGGGTTTATGATAGGTGAGGTGGGTAAGAGGATTTGACTAAGCTGCGCGAGTTTGAGCAAGTTCCAATGGGCTACTTATACCTGTCTTCAGAGCCGCCGTCCCAGAAAGGTCTCGGCCCCTGGGCCTCAGCTCCTCCTCTTTTCACTGCCTTCCACATTCCACTCTAATCGTCATGGCGCCACGGATGTGGACGAAGCTCATCTTACTGGTCCAAGACGCTACCAAGCCCCTGCCGCCACGCCATCGTTGTCCGGATATCGAACTGCCCGGGGAAGTTCTGAGATTGGCCAATGCTGGCGAGAGCTCGACCCCGCTACTGTGAGGCTATATATAAGGTTACTTCTTAGCCACTGGGCAGGCGTCAATGTTTGGCCTGTATCCTGGGAAGTCGCTGCTGTGTACGTTCGCACTGCCCGTTTCAGCTTTGCCGCGGCAATCCAGTGCGGTACCCAAGGCTTGGAACATTCGTCGCTTCTGGGTGAGCAGTGAGCTGTAAGCGGTGTTGACTGATCTCGAGACTGCGTGAGTGAGCGCGAGTGGTGCTGGTTTCAGGCCGTTGTGCTAGGATCGGAGGTCTGGCCAGATTCTGGAGTGAGTTTGACACAGCGAGTCAGCGACGAGTCTTGGCGGCGTACGACAATTCACAAATGCCGACCACCACTTCAAGTCTTACTGTACTTGTTTCACCAGATCTTCCACTTCGTATGGTCCGGAGACGCGCAACGTCCATCAATGTGAGAGGATATCAAGTTGGCTACGTCGCTCTTTCCCAACAGTGGTCTCTGCTCCATCGCATGAACTTAGAGGACTGGGCGCCCAGGAGGCAACATGGGCGCAACTGCGCCAGTCCTAAGTACGATATTTGCCCGGTTCCAAGCCTCACATCTCGTATCCAGTTGTCGACATCGGGGAGAATCCCGAGATCGCAGCCACCACGAATGTACAGGTCTATTGAAGAGGGAGCTTCCGTCCAATGAGCAATACTTTGCGATGGGCAAGTTAGGTTACGGCATTACTCCATCAGTAAGATCATGTCGGGACGTGAGTTGGGACTTGATCACTGAGAGATATCTTCCGGACTGTGCACTGAGAGAGTCTGCTCAATAGACGTAAGAACTCTACTGTAAGTCCATAACAGAGAGCTCGCTTATCCGCATCAGGAAATAAGGTAGCGAGGCAGCATCTTGTCCCATGCGATCCAGCTCCTCCTGATAGTGTAGCAAGCAGGGCGCTTTGACATTAGTTGATGTTGCAGTGCAAGTATGGACTGTTTATGTGAGCCCATACAGCCATACGTCTCCAAACTCCAGCGTCGCGGTTCTAATCGGAGGTGACCCTCGCGATCGATACTTGCAGACTTGTTTGCGTGGTCGTTCTCACTCGGTAGTCATCACGCACTTCGAAGCTGAGGTCCCATATGCGTTGAAGCTGATCCGACTGGATCGTCTTTCCGACGGCCATATCGTAAAAGAAACAGGCACGATTGCGACCCGAGCCTCAGAGGTTCGATGGTCGACGAGCAGTCACTTCGCCAGCTCCCAGGTCGGACAAGGGCAAGTATGTTAGATCCAAGACCATGCGACGTATTTCCCTAGTGAAAGCAAAGCCACGATTCTGAAAAAAACTATGCTCGATGCCACAGCGGCGTTCGCACATTCGGAAAATGGATTGAGCATTCCTTAGTGATCCGTGTTCAAGCAAGGACTCGTCCTGATCAGGCATCAGAGATACACCGCGCCTTTGACCATACTTTGATTGCTCCTGTATCAACGCACTCCTCTGAGAGAGAAACACAACCAATGATGAGAGAAGGACTAGAGTCCTAACAATGACAAATAGCGATGCAGACGGATCAAACGGCCGCAGGCTTTGCAGGGGCTCGGCCATATGTTTCTCGGCATACTGCGCCGGCAGTATTAATGCATTCGTGCTCGGGCAGAATGGACCGAAGTCGTTGCTTGGTCCTTGCCTTTGCAGTCAAAGGGATTGAACAATCAATTCAAGAAGATTTGTTCCTAGTGCGAACACCAGATCGGTTTCCAGCATGATGACTTTCGCAGTCATCGACTACAAGCTAGGTTTGACGACTCATATTCGACAAAAAGAGTACCATCAGGCGTGCACCAAATCGAAAAATGAGAAGACGTGAGAAGGATTTGCACAGACACCATATGAGAGTGGAGCTTGAGCCGTGCTTCGTTCAAAATGGAAGCCTCGTTGACGGGACTCAAGACCATCCGCGCGCTACAGAGTGTAGAACCTGTCACCGAAGTCACCGAGACCTGGCACAATGTAGCTAAATTACAATCATTAGCAAGGAGCTCAATGAAAAGGGATCTATTGCCATACTTCTTCTCATTCAACCCTTGATCAACGAAAGCAGTGACAACCCTGAGCTTCGGGTACTTGTCCGCAAAATTCTTGGCACCTTCCGGGCTGGCGATGAGGTTGAGGAAGAGGATCCTCTCCTCAGGTACACCTTTGCTCAGCAAGACATCGACAGCCATCAGCGCACTGCCTCCGGTGGCCAGCATTGGATCAAGAAGGAGGACCCATCGATCCTTGATGTCCTCTGGCAGCTTGTCGTAGAACAAGCGGGGCTTGGAAGTCTCCTCGTCACGCTGAATAAGAATCTTTCCGATGCGGACGGATCTACAGCATTCGCGAAGCGCTTGCTCCATGGCTTCGCCTGCGCGCATGATCGAAACACCACAGATTTTACCCTCGAATTTGACACCATCATATGTGCGGTCTTGCACTGGAGTCGTGACAGCGTGGGGCAGGACTGGCAAATGATTGAGAGCTTCTTCGACCAATAGTCGACTAATCCTGTTCGAGTGGAAGATGAAGTCTGCACGCCCTGTGTTGACGTCTCGGAGCATCCTGACTCACTTTCAGCACAATATCCGTTCCATCAAACGTTGGGGTCTCGGCCGTACGTGAGAAGTGCAATAAGTTGCGGCGTCTGAGGCAAAATATGCAGACTGTTGATCTTTGGCACTGTCGAAACCGTCGCCGTTGGCTTCTGCTCTGCAGCTCTGTACGTCGGGCCAAGCTGTTGGCTTGGGCCTCTGATTATTGGAGACGCAGTGCCGGAGGAAGCCATTGTGAAGATATGATCGATTCCTTCGGTGCTTTCGAAGGGTGGCGTCTGCTTCGAATGGACAAGTAAGCTGGGGGTGGAAATTGAGGACGGAGCTGGAACAAATTCCTCTCGCAGGCGAGGCTACATACTGAAGGAATATTGAAGTAGCGGCGAAGAAGAAGTCTAGAGCTGTTGCGTGCTGCCCTATCAAACTTCGCGGCCATCTCCGCCCGCGCCTGCCCCATGCCGCTCGGATGAAGTGAGGCTCGGCAGGGTCCAGGTTGATCCGAGAGTTGATCCGTTGTTGTTGTGACATGCATGTGCGTCCAGTCCGCCGACCGCGCTGCCACTGACGTTCCTATTCCCTTCACTTCATCTGTCACACTTCTCAGCCAGACTCACATGCGCGACGATTGAATGTGAGCACCCACGCGACCACGATGCCGAAGTGAGACTGCACATGCAGTCCGCACAAAGGGAGCTGCACCGCTTGTCGCATGCCAACTTTCAAGCCGGAAATCATCTGGACCAAGAAGTGGAAATCGTCTGGACCATGGTACCAACAACATAGCCAACTTCACTCCGACAAACCTCATCTACCTGGCTAGATCTTTGGACATATCAACATCATGGCAACAGCCTCGACGATCACCCACGCGCGCCGGCGCAAACAAACCACCTACGGCAAGGCATCTCGCAATGCGAACGCGTGGAACGTCAGTGGTTTCGACGACGATGCAGACGAATTGGCTTCCGTCGCGAATGTTGTTTCTCATCCAAAGGTCGTCATTCAACGCATCCAGTCGCCAGTCAAGTCTCCTCCGACCGAACGCCCGCGAGCTACAGTGAAGGAGACCTACCGTGTTGAGAAGCAGGAGCGTGATAGAGGTCGTTTGCCAGCGCTAGCAAAGACGCGCAAGAATAAGCGGGATGGTTGGGATGTGCCGTCCTCGGACGAGGAAGTGGGCAACAGCTTCACGCGTCACTCTCCGCCAAAGAGAACGGCAAAGCCGCGGGTCGTCAACATTGTGGAGGAGCGAGAGGCTCCATTAGCCCCGTGGGAAAAGAAGAAAGCTGTCACCGCGGATACGTCAAAGAGTGCCGCTCCCAGCCAGAAGACGAAGCTTTCAGAGGCTCCGCCTCAGGATGCTTATCACAGTCCACCACAAGAGAGTGCGGTTGAGCTTCAGAACGATTCGTTGCAGAGTGCCGGACTCCCATCGCCACAAAAGCTTGTCAGTCCTGGAAGCGGAAGTGCTATTGAGAGGTTGAAGGCGAGACGCGCGAATCAGAAGCGGACGGATCAGAGCAGTACCGATTCGAATCCAAAGCCACCGAAACGCATCAAGTCCCAAGACGTTCCGGAACCTGAAGATCAGGAAATGCAAGACATCCTAAAGTGCGAGGTGCCGGCGCGTTCCAAGGACCGTTCTACGAGAGATGGATGCGACATCTATGCGTTTCCTCAGTCAAGCGCAGATGATACTATCCTACCTAAGCCGAAGACAGCACCACGAAAGCAGATTCAGCAGTCAAATCGACGTGGGAAGCTCACGTCGTTGGCACGTGCGTCACCGCGTACGATGACCTCCGCTCCTGCGCGGCTGACCGAAATGCTTCTACACGATACGGATACAACTGAAGACAGCAGCCGGTCGCCTACCGATTCGCTGAGTCGGCCATCAACACCCCAGAAACCCGCTGGATCAGATCCATTGGCCAAGAAAACCACAAAGACCCCAAAGCAAGATCAGATGTGGAAGGATCTGCTGTCCGACGAGGCCCCCTCAAGTTCTCCAAGCGTGCTTCCCATGCAACAACTCACACTGCAGAGCACGCGGCGTACTGCCCCTTCAAGACCAGCTGCTCCTCGATTGTTGGCCAAATCTAGCTCTGACGTTGGTCCTCCTCGTCAACGCACGAGGCTCGTTGACCAGTTGAGAGCATCGGCACCAGGTTCAGAGACGGAGGACTCCAGTAGTGATGAGGATGAGTCGGATGATGATGATGATGATGATGATATGGATACGAGCAGCGACGGACACAGACACGACAACCTTGCAAACAGCCAATCGCAAAGTCAAAGCCAGACGACTGTGGCACTCGACAGTGGACCTAAGATCACGTATTCCCGCATGCGATCATATCTTCCGGAGGATAGCTTTGAGGACGGTTTGATGTTGAGTTTACCCGAACGATCGACGCCGGTCATTTCTAGAAAGAGTCAGAAATCCAATTCGGCTTCACAGCAGTCCACGTTCGACTTCCCAGATAGCGATGACGATGACGATGGTGGAAGGCTTCGCACTGTACATGAACTACGAGCGGCTGGCGGCAACCAGCGATTCATGGACGAGACTTCTGGCATGCTGGATGACATCGCAGTTCATGACAACTCTGCGCGGGGTCGTCGACGAAGCGCGCTGATTGAGCTAACCAAAAAGCTGATGGGCAGCAAGGCATTTGTGGAGAAGTTCTTTAGACAAGGCTTCGAGCAGAAGCTGTTGGCAGAGTTGAAAGGCCCATCAGATGATATTGCCAACTTCGTGCTTGCTGTGGCTTCTGCTGCGCTGCTCCGAGACGATTCTCCGGATCATGTTGCCCAGTCCTGCAAAGAGAACGATGCCCTGATATGGCTGACGAAACTTCTGGAGAATGATACCGATGCGAAGAAACTCGTGAAGGATCGAAAGTACAACATGTCGAAGTCTGCGCAGACGCTTTTCGTTGATTTCGTGGACAAGCTCAGCATACACGATACTTTCTGGGACGAGCTGAAGCCTGTGCTGATCACGCCTCGCATTGTTGCACTGAAAGCGTTGGACAGTCTGGTCGGCAAGTTGCGACGCTCTGGCGACCGCTCGGAACTCGCAGGACGTCATGAACTGTCCGCGATCCTGTTCTCACAGCATGAGCTGACGGCAGTCCGCCGCGACGAGGCTCCAGCGGGCGTCAATCTTTCGGTATCTGCTCTGGAGCGGCTGGCGTCACTGGGTGCGCCTGTTGCATTGCCCACGGAGGTCTTGCAGCGTCTTGGTGAGCTGCTCGTCATGCCGGTTTTGGGGAGCGAAAGCCTCAAACACCTGCGTTTCCTGGCTCTGCGCTTGTGCCTCAGTCTCACACATGATAATATCAGGGGCTGTAAGCAATTGGCGAAATTCCCACTTGTCCGCTGCCTGTTCAGCGCCATCGGCAATGGCTTTCGGAACCTTGAATCGCAAGTGCAAGCTATCGATCTGGATCTGCTCGTCCTCGAAATGGGCGTCATGGTCAACATGACCGAGCACGCCGAAGCTGCTCGACAAAGTGCCGCAGCTTCGGATACTCAGCCACTCCTCATCGAATTGGTGCATGCTTTCACCATTGGACAGAAGAGGCTGTCTGAGGCCGAGACGGAAGAAGAGACTGCAGCAAACGTAGCATACGGATACCTGGCCGTCGTTCTTGCCATCCTCTGCCGCAATCGTGATGCCAAGTCGATCATCGCCGACAATTTGCCACGCAAGAACCTCGACAACCTCATTGAAGCTGTCGACGAGTTCATTGAGCATCACCGCAGAGTCGACAAATTGACATTCGGCGGCGAAGAAGGTGGCGATGTGTGGAGTGCTTTTACCGAAAAGTTGAAAGGCGTGCTGGACCGTCTAGAAGCCGCGGCGCAACAGCACTGAGCCCTGCACAGTGTACCTCCGCCGTCTGGCTCTGCAAGAGGCCCACGATAGATTGTGGCCCTTGCGTGTTCTTCTTATATTGCGATTGTACATATTTTCTCTTCTCAGAGAGATTGCATGAACTCAAGATACCCCCCAATAGAATAGCGCTTTGTCATTGATTACAGCACACAGAATTCAACAGGGTTTGCCCTCAGTGTACGTGATGTGTTTTATGATTTCCGGTTCTCCAGAGTGGCGGATTGCGCTAAGCCAACAATTGGGGAAACGCGATTGCTTGACTGCTGATGCAGCTTGAAGCAGACCTACTTTCTGAATCTGATAAGTGAGCTCGGAGGCTAAGTCCATGAACGCGACGATCTCTTCGATCTCACATTCCCGGACCTCGCGCCATAGACTCGCTATTTATTTCACATCCTTCGCTATAAACCACGTACTACCTCTCCGATTCGCCGCCTGAGCCAAACGCAACGTATCCTCGAATACTTCCTGTCCGACAGTACTCGATCTAGTACCTGCTGCCAGTCTTCCAATTGCAATACCAGCCAGCTCGGCTGCCGCCAGTTCTACTTGAAGATCGAGGAGAGCCGTAGTTTCTTTTCCAGCAGAGATTGGGGCTTCGCAGGTTCGAATGACGGCGTCTTGAATTGCAGTCTTGTAGATTTGGTCGTGGCCAGATCTGCCAATATGGGTGTTGTAGAGATTCAAAGGGGACATGGCGAGATTCGGTCGTGTGACAGGTTGGTTGGTGTGAGGCATGTTGAGCGTTGATCTTGGTGCACGTCGATACTTTCGAGATGTGGCGCTGCAGTAATTTTTCACAAAAGATGTCGAAAGTGGCTACAAGGGGCGAATTTGAAGGGTTACATTTTTCCTAAGTAACTTGAGCTGTATTCGCAACCGCTGTGAATAGTGATTGGCACCTGCTTTGCTGCGTTGTGAATGGCCTGCTGATGTCTGAATATCACCGCAACAATCTATGCCGTGTCTACTCTATGATTCTAGGCGCCAGTGCCTGGATTGGAAGGACCACAAGGCGTGGGCAGTCGGTCACTTGCAGTTTCGTAGACGCTCTGCGTCGTTACTGGCACATCCTTCGATAACTTTACATTTACTGAATTGCAGTCGCTCAAAAGCTATCAGCATGGTACTAGGACTGTCCCCTTTAGCCAGACTCAGACACACTAGATACCCAGACCAGTAGAGCCTTTCAGCCCGCCTTTCGCATAGGCGACTGGCGTCGCTGCGTTGGATACTGTGTCGTTCGCCTCTGTGGCTGTGGTAGTAGCTTCCGTGATCTGCTTTTGCAGATCCTGGCCCTTCTGAGCTTTCGAAGGGGCGGCAGGCTTGGTGTGCTGATCGTTGTAGCCGAAAATATCCTTCTTTGCATTTTGCGATCGCGCGCTGTCCATGAAACCACTTAATCGTCCGCCAGTAAGCCTGTCGAGTTTATCCCCAATCGCTTCTCCAGCAGGTGCCTGTTTCGGTTCGCCTTTGCTATCCCCATTGGCCCATTTGAGGATGTAGTAGCCTCCTAGACCCCACAGGAATAGGAAACATGCGGCTCCGGTGGTGAACATCACTGTGGGCAGCACGAAGAACAATGCGATGCCGACCATGGCCACTGTGAAAAGGACTGCCGCGAGCAGGCCGACGATGAGAGCCACTACCAGAGCGAAGATGAACACCGACAAGCTGAAAAGGACGAACAGACCCAAGGGTATGCCAGTCAGGGCGAGGTTCATGCCAAGGAAAGCCTATGTTCTCAGTCAGCCATGGAGTAGACCCTGAGATGGTCGTGTAGTGATGCTTACCGACAACTTGGGATTGCGGAGCATGAAGTCCTGCAGCCTAGCGATGAAAGCCGCACGCTTTTCAGGTGGGAATATGCCATCTATTACACTCTTGCCTTTTGCGAATATCTTGCTCGCCAGGCCATCTACCGTGCTCAGAACCTTGTCCGTTCCTGCTTCTGCTTTCTTCTGAATGCCATTGACAGGCGTGCCTTCTGTAGCATTTGAAGCCTTCTCTTGAACATTGGCGTGAGCTTGCTTGAGTTGGTCGGTCATGGTTGTGGTATTGGATCTGTTCTGCCTTGATCGGATCTCTAGCTTTCGCGGTCCGCTATGCTCTCGATCGGAGCCTGACGAAGCCGTGGTGGAGGACGCCGCAATGGCACGGTCGGATCAAGGAGAGATGAGAAGTTTTTATCTGATGTCAAGCGAGCATCGGTAGGTGCGGAGGAAATCAGGATGTCGTGCCATGATGCTCGTTCGGGGAGACGACGTTGTGGTCGCGCGCCTGCCATGATTTGGGACGCGACAGTGACGACGTGCGCGAAGCGTGGGCGAGGACCCATGTTTAGCGCGAACCTTGTTGCAGATCGCGCTTTGCTTTGGCAAAAATTGTGGACGGAACATCCTGAACCAATTCACAACCTCGACTTCGAACCACCATTACCGGCAGCCATGGGAGAGAAATCAGAAAAGAAGAGAAAGCGTCAGAGCAACGGAGTCGAAACACCTAACAAAAAGGTGGCACGCGATGGCAGCATCAAGGTCATACATGCGGAAGAAGACAGCGGCCTACACCCAGTTCTGTTGAGCACTTCTGGCGTGAATGCACCCAAAGTACCCTTCAAGGCCTACTCGAAGCCCCGGAAGAGCTCGAAGAAGGCGGGGAAGAGCTCCATCAAGCCATCGACCCACGATCTGCTCCTCCAATCCTCACAGCATCCACGATTAGACTACACCGCAGTGCCGAGTCCCATAGACGACCAACTCAGCCATTATGTCGCCATCTACGACCCCACGAAGCAAACTTTGCAGCTAGCTCCAGCTCATCACCTTCATCTCCGAAGCACGTTGAGGGCGGAAGCGAGGGAGGTGGAGGAGCGCAAGAACAAGACGATGGGCCAGCAGAGAGAGGCACTCGGACAGGAGTTTGGCACGAAGAAGGCGAAGAAAGCTATCGCTAGCAAGAGCACGAACGCGCTTACGGGTGATACGAGCAAATCAAATGATGTGCAAAATGCCATCTTGGAGACTGTGGGAGGTAAGTTTGGTGCATTTTCTCTATGCGCTCTGGCAATGGGTGGCTGCATACGCATTTCGGCACAAGATGGTCGAAGCTCCGGACAATGGGCATTTACTAACAGATGGTAACAGAAACGACTGCTGGACTTGCCTCGAAACTTACCGCGCAAGAACAAGACGAGGCTGCTCTACGAGCGAAACCAATCCCATGGCCAAACCTCACAGCAGAGAATGCCGAAAAGGTCTACTCATTCGACACCCTCATACCTCCAAACGATGCTCGACTCGTCAAGACGGCAGACTGGAAAGCAGCGGCAGATGATGACACCAAGATTGGCTTCAAACATCAATTCCCAGTATCACGATTCGGCTTCCTGGCAAAGCAAGAAGGCGATTCGCTACGGTTCAAGGCACTGAAATACCTCACACTTTTGCTCGAATTCCGAGATTCGTTGTCTGCGGCTGGAAGAGCTGGGAAGAAGGTGCCAAAGAAAGAAATACTGCAGAAGAAACTGCCACCGAACAGGTGGCCATCTGAGCTCGTGGACAGCGTCCGCAGGCGATTTGCGAACGACTCAGGGCAGGAGCTTGGTAAATGGCAACAGGATAGGCTTGCCACTCACATCTGCGCGCTCGCCATGTTTGTGGACAACTGGGTCTGCGATATCTGGCACTTGAAGGACGATCTCAAGACCGATATGAAGGAGCTGACGTCTTATTTCAATGAGCTAGGAGCGAAAGTCAAGAAGCCGAGCGAGGCAGAACGAGTGAGGATGGGCATGACCAAAGCGCAAGCGGCCGCAACTAGAATTGCCAGACTCGTGGTACCGCTGGAATTCCCAAAGGTCAGGCAAGGCAAGAGGCGGTAGATGAATGGGTCTCTGCAATCTGGAAAGTCTTTTTAATACAAGATGAGAGGACATGCATAGGACCGGACAAAGTCAGCAGATAGCCAACAATCAGCCAGGTGCATATCTTGCCTTCTGAGCCCTTTGCACGATCCCATCATCCGTGTACCTCGACAACGATAGCCGAGACATCCTCTGCCCAAATCCATAAACTTCATCATTTGCACAGTGGCCATGAAGCTCACTTGATGCAGCACCAGTGGCCGAGCCATCGATCTGGCCTATCGTTCACAATCTATATCGATCGTGCAGCAAACATTAAGTACCCAGAAATAACACTCGCCTAGTACCGACCAGCAAATGAGAAATCTGAAACTGCCTGTCTCCCAGCAGCCCTCAAAGCAACATGCCAGTCCGCAGATCATGGTCCATGGAATGCCATCACCCCTCAGACCACCTATGCAACTGTCGAAATCGAAGGCCATCCGCGCCAATCCCATGGCAATTCTTCCAAAACGATCGCATAGTCAACGGTTGCAGCAGACACGGTTTCCACAATTGTCCAGAATGCAGCTCAGATTCTAGTGAGGAATCAGATAAGACAATCGTGCGAAAAGCTGCACAGGAGTATCTTAGAGATTCTGCAACATTGGCTCCAGAAGAAAATGTTCCATTTTCATCGGCAAGAACAGCTTCGACCGCGAGTCCCGGATCTATGCCAGAGCCGGCTCCAAGCCCACTGACAGCAGCAAATCTGTCCTACAACCAACAATTGGTGAGCATCGATGAGATTACTCCCGTACACAGCTCCCACAGAGCGGCAACGACACAGCATATAGGCCGTACCGATGTTAGCACTCAGACGGAAGCGCAAAGGAGACAAACCCATGACGAGGCATCTGTAGCAGCCGCATCGGCCCTCGCAAACGTTCCAGCTGACAGCAGGCGCAGGAGAGGGCGAAGGAATTTTGCAAGTATCGAGCGATGGCTTGATCGAGTGGTGAATATTGTGCGTGGCAGGAAGAGTAAGAAGAAGCCGACGCGATAGATTCAGCTGCGATTCGCTTGTGCGTTCTCTTTATGGTCAGCAGGGAGTGGATGGGGAAAGAACCGTGCTCTGTCGAGGGCGCGCGCTGTGATAAGCGATGGTAGTATACTGATCTCCGATCTCATTTCTCAGCTGTATCAGATGCATGTTATCAATGTATCAGCCGAACATCGTCTCGTCAAAATCGTTACGATGAGGGAAGAGGACTTGAAAAAGCGCGGCCCAAATTGTGATACCATTACCTACTAAGCGTGAGGCACAAAGTATCATCAGAGCTTCCTCACGAAATCTCATCATCCGTCAGCATCATATCGCAGACGTGCTGTACTGCCAAAAAGGAGGCTTTTCGTCCTCTAACTGGTTTCACAGCGCTCCTTCATCAGGTCGGCTAACCTGCTTAGCACCAAGATTGCACCAGCATCTACAACTCCCAGTCTTACAGTTGCCGCTGTGATGCGGCAATCCGTCCAGCCCTGTATACTACCCATTGGGACTTTGCGAATAACTGCTATGCGATCCACTTCGCCAAGATGTGTTGCTGTACCCATTGGGAGGGTTGGGGTTCATCGATGGTAAACGGATGGGGTTGTTCTGCTGTGTCGTTGATGCGTTGGGGCTGTTTCCTGTACTCCCAGAGCCATTCATCAGTCCAGAGGGCGGTCGTATCGCAAACGAGGCAAATCCTTGCCCACTGCTCGAGCCCATGGTAGTAGATGCTGGTCTGGAATAGTTTCCCCAGTTGTTGGTCGGGAATGAAGGGCTCTGACTGCTGCCCGCGCGGAAAGGAGAGCCTGATCGGCTAGTATGATCGCGACTCATGTATTGAGTGCTGCCGAACTGTTCCGAGGACGCACCGCTCCAGCCGTGGCTGCTGCCTGGTCTTGTCGCATTGACTGACGCCCTAAACGCGTCAGTGGAATTGCTTTGGCCAGAGGCGTACGAGGTGTAACGGGGATCGGGAAGGGACGTCGGAGTGGGATAGGGCTGGGAGGTGAGGGAGGTAAGGCCTGGTTGCGTACTCGTGTTCGTGGACTGCCGCTTCGCGGGTCGTGGAGGTTCGTCGTCGTCGGACAAGGTCAAATCGATCACAGAGCTGGCCGCGCGTTTGGAGCCGATCTGCGTTGATGAGGTTGATGGTGCAACCGAGGGTCCACGTGATGAGAGAGGCGGCGTCATGGCGTAACCTGCGCCAGCCGCTGGTGACAGAAGTGAGGTGGTACTTGAGTTTCCAAGAGGGACGCCATTCGTAGGCCTCGTCGTCCTTGAAGCGGGATTTTCCACGATCTGAAAATCTTCGTCATCGTCAAAGTCGTCGTCGTATGTTGCACGATTGCCTCGACTCGAGTGGCCAGCGGGTTGTGCCTCCTCTTCCTTGATGATATGCCACTGCCCGTCTGGCTCCACGGTGACTTTTTCAATACTTGAAGGTGTCTTCTGCAGAATTTCCTCGAAGTACTTGTCGATACACAAGGACATGTATGAAATGCTCTTGTTGCAAGTCGGGCAGAGCCATTGGGGAGCTTGCTCCTGCATCTGTAGGAACATGCTGCCGTCGAAGCACTGCCGATGGCTGCAGACAGTAGATCGGACCGGCATTGAAATCCGCATCGTTGACACTGGATCCTTGAGGGACATCACTTCTGAGGATAGCACGATATCTTCATCGTCGTTCGCTTTCGTGATTTCTCGGATTGCCTGCTCTTTCGAGATGATGCCGCCGCCATGTCGACCTTCCTTGATCCGCTGTGTCAGCGTCGCTGAGGACACATACCTCACCAGGTAGACGCCGATGTGAAAGCGCTCCTTGGTTAATGCATAGGTGATCGACAGCTGATTTTGGTATCCCGGGTTCTTTCGGATCTTATCAGTGATGTCTGCCGGTTTCGTTGTGCCTGGCTTGTTCTTCAAGCCTTTGAAGTTCGCCTTGACATCGTCGCTGTTGATCTTGACTTCCAGCTCCCGTGGGAACTCAACGTGCACCTCGGAGTAAAGGTTCGCTCCTTTGCCACAGTAAAGAAGGAGCTTCAAGCTCGGATCGCTCTTCATACGAGCTGATTGATCGGCTGACAGGGATATTGTGCCTCGAACAGTGTGTCGATTCTGTGGCATTTCTGCGCGAAGTTCTGTAAGTCCCCATCGTAAGTGCGCTCAATAGCAAAGGACAAAGAAATATGTTTTACCTGGCAAGTCCTGCAGAGGATACACATTTTCGTGGTCCTCATAGAAAGGACTTGTTTTGAACCCTGCGGCGCGTGTCAGCGCAAGAAATGGTCGCAGATTGGAATTGGCATTGGAACTCACACATGCGCGTCGCGCTCGCTCGGTGTGTGCCATTGAGCGGCGGCACCGGTGGATTTCGCGCCATCGTGGATGACGCGCTCTGGAAGGATCCGTACCCGTTGGTGGTTGTGCTGTTTTGCGTGTAGTGTTGTTGAAGTTGAGGTGGCGGAGCCTTTCCGTGGTTGTTGACCCGGTAGTTCAGATCTCTGAAGGCAGCTACATCACCATCCCTCACTATCGTATCAAGAACTGCAGCACCGTCAGCGTCTTGTGCCCGTCGGACGTATGAACGCCCACATATGTAGATTTGCCAATCCTCACTTTCCGTGCAGCGCTTTTGTAAGGCTGATTTCTGTCCCGACACTTGATAGTTGTATGCTCGACATATCTCCTTCAGATCGTTGTTCACCAGAGTCTTGATGCGTGTTTCGACCGAACTCTTCTGCTGGTGAAGCACATGACCTCCAGAAGCTGCCATTTCCCCTCACTGTCTCTATCGTCGTTGCCGTCACCGCACCGGACTCGAATCCGGCAGGAAGTGCGCGCCCTCGCTTTGTAGGTTGAACGGTGTCGAGTCGTGAAAATGCCGGCCGTCTCGCGGCGTGCGAAATGTGATGAAGGCCTCGGAGCTTGAGATCGCGGACTCTTGAGGGAATTGTTGTCAGTGGCGAGGCAGGCAACGATCACAGGCCTAAGAGAAAAGAAGAAGCTGCGAGGCTGCCGATGCACATTGCTGAAGCAGCGAGCCGCCGTTGGACAATAATGCAGCAGGCGCGGTGAATCCAGGCTCGGCCCACGATTGTGCTATCATGTGAGGGCGTTGGAGCAGCTGTACAACTTCACATGCGCCAGCAATCGCCTCGCCGACGCCCAGCTCACCAGTTGTCCTACACGCTGCTGGACAAACGAGCGAGACTTCTGATGTTCGAGAATGCGTCATGTGACCCGCCATCGCGCTCACGCCCCGGAGTGCCCTGTGCTCTTATCTTAGCGCGCTTTTCGCATCGCGAATTTGGGACTCGGTTCTTTGTGCAGGACTTCGAGTCCATTGAACGGACCACGCCTGACCAACCGACAAGATGGGGAAAAGCTCGAGATCCAGCGCAATCAAAAAGAACAACCAGGCACTGAAGAAGAAAGTCTTCGGGCCTGTAGAAACTGCTCGCATCGAACGACAGAATGCAAAATTACTGGCACTTGCCCAGGCGCCCAAAGAACTGGTGATGGAAGACAACAGTGAGTCTCTCGCCCAAACCACCTCTCTGGATCCCATGCTGACTCTTGATACTGTAGAAGCCGACCGAGAAGACCCCACTTCAGCAGAAAAAGAACCCGAGGAGAGCACGAAAGACACAACAATGGACGTCGACGAGGAGTCCGGAAAACCCAAGCGCAGCAAGCGCGAAATCGCACGCATGCAAGAAGCACGCAAAGCCCGCGCCGTCTCCAAACTCCGAGGTTCACGATCACGACCGCGAAATCAGAAAGAATTCCCTGCGCACAAATTGAAAAAGAAGGTACACAAGCGGTGAAAGAAATGCTTTGCGGGTACAAAAGATACGAGAATTTTCCTTTTCTTCAAAGGAAATGATCTTTGCTTCGGCTAGATCGCCGAAATACCCATGTGCGACTACTGCCGCTGGGGCTATGGGTAGGGCGGGGACACGCTCAACATTACGATCATGTGAAGAGACGGGCGGATGAATGAGTCCCGCGGCTCGTGCATCGGACGCAAAGCCATGACTGCGTATTCGCAGGGTCGGCTGGTGGGGAGGGCTTTCTGGGTGTCACGAAGCAATGCAGCTGTGAGGCGGGCGCTGGGTCCCTTTACTATGTACAGCCTAGGGTTGTGGCGTTGCTAAGTGCGCAGGGAAAACGGCTGATATGCATACGAGGGGCTTGAAGTGGTACTTGACACATTCTCAGTAAAAAGTAATGATGGCTGCGTCTACATACGGTCTGTGGTCGACCCTTCAGCTACTTGAAGACATTACATCGAATCAAAAACTTGATGCTGGACCCTTCATGGTTCTCATAGTAGACCCGCTTTTGGTACTTGGGTATCATATTTCTGGCATAACCTTGTTTCGGCATGCAAAATAGCCTCCTCTTCATCTCGAAAAGGAAATTTTTCTTCTGTATTACTGTAAACATTGTGTGTTTCGTCAGTGAGCGTATATGACCGCCAAATCGCGAGTCTCGGTTCTCTCAATATGCGCCTTTGAGGCTCCATCTCTTCTTCGCCATGGCCGCATGCGCCACATATCATTACAAGTCGTTTCGACTACTCCTTGACTCGGCTTTGCATTCGCAGGAGGGCGGCTTGGTGGGCATCGTTCATGCCGCCCATCCGCATGTGCTGGTCCATTTGCGCCTGCATCTGGCGCTTGTGATCGTCTCTCATCTTCTTCTCCACTTCGGCCTGCATTCTTGCTGCGCGCAGCATATCCATTTGATTCTCTGTGGTAACCACGGGCGCGCGTTGCTGATCGACTTGAACAGCTGAGTTGCGCCATTGGCTCCAGTTCATCGCTTGTTTGCTGGCGTCATGATTGCTGTATCCTTGTGGCTGATGGGAGTCATAGATGGGATTGGACATTCTCCGGTTAGTTGTCGGCAAAGCCAGCGATGAGCGCCACGGGTTCGCTGGAACTTCAGCCATTACGGATAAGCGGCGATGTTGCGTGAGGTCTGCCGCGGACGCGTTATATTGTGCCAGAGAAGACTGGCGTTTAACGTGAGCCTTGCGTTCGGCAAGAGTCATATCTTCTTCGTCAATTTCATTCCCCGCGGCCCTGACAGTGTCGGAGATCGAAGTGTTTGAGCTTGTGTTGGGTTGCGACCCGCCCTTTGAAGTGTGATCTGAAGAGGTTGATGCGGTGCCCGGAGGCGCTTGCGGGTTTGCCGTCATGAAGGAAGTAGTGGTCAAGCGTGCGTCCAGACGGTCTTGCCTGGCATCAAGAAGATTTGTAGTGCTGGATCTGTGTCTCGGCCCAAGCGACCAGCGCTTCGCAGACTGCGGTCCATTACTGGTGTCGGGTCGAGTAGGTATAGCAGGCGACGACGGACGTTGACCGGCGAGATTGAGTATCGAGGCGTTCCGCGAGGGAGCCCTCGCCGGAGGAGACAGGTTGTTTAGTGCTGTAGTACTGCTCATGCCACTGAGTCTCTTTGCCAGTGGGAGATCCCAGTCGTCGTCCTCACGCTGCGGCACACGAGTGTTAGCCGAAGCCACGACACTTAGACGCTTACTTGCTGCATCGATGACATCTGCCTTCGGCGTGACCTTTGCGATGGGCTCGGGCTTCGGTGCAGGTGGCGGTGGAGCTGCGTTGTTCTCTTCCGCTCTTGCAGCAGTCGCTGCATCTGCCATCTCCACTTGCACAGCATCACTTGTGTGCTCTTCGACCTCCTCGAGGGGGACCGGCTCAGCCCGACTGACTTCCTTCGCCCATTCGTTTGTTCTGTATGTAGAAGCGGCCCTAGACAGCTTCTTTGGGAGTCGGTCTTTCAGATATTCTTGGGACTCTGCCTTGGGAATCGTGGCACCGGCAAAGTATGACCCTTCCCCGGTGCGTGCACTATGGGGAGTAGTAGGTATCCTCGGGCTAGAACCTCGTCGTGAGCCACGCGTACTCTTGCGGTGCAGACATAATGCTTCGTCGTCCTCATCCTCCAGGAAGGGTTCTTGTTGTTGCATTGGTGTCGTTGTGTTCGACCAGGTCATGTATAGTGATGCTGGTCGTGACAGTCGAACGGACAGAGCGTCCATATCCGGTGCCTCTGCGGCCGTGGCTGCGATCGAAGAAGCAACATCGTCTTCTTGGACTTCGAATGGAGTTTCGGTTTCTTGCATGGCATGGTGTGCAGATAAAGAGGCCATCGACAAAGGACGAACTTCGCGAGTCCGTCGTTCACTGCTTGGCACATCCAGGTTACTGCTTTCACGACTTCCGGCATGGCTTATTCCTAGACCCGGCGTACCAGCCGATGAAGCAAGTGGGGATTGCATTGGGGATGTGGCAGGTACAGGATGCTCCGAGTCAAACTCCAGAGGCGGCAGACTGGGCGCCGTTGACGACCTTTTGTTGCTGGCTGACAACCGGTCCAGGCTTGCAGCCGACTTGCGTGTCATCAATGAGGGAATTCGTGCCGAAGAAAGTCGCTTCTCGACTGTCCGAGGTGGAACCTCATTGCCATCGATGTCGAGATCCTTCTCGCTTGTAGCCACCGAATCAACGCGAGCTTCGGCGGTCTTCTTGCCCTCGTACTGGCCTTCCCAATCTCCACGTTCTCGAGCGACCTGCGCTTCAATGTCGCGGCCCACTTCAGCCTCTTCGACATCTCGAGCTTCTTGCTCTGCTAAGCGATCGGCTTCGCGCTTGGCCTTTTGCTCCTTTACGATCTTCCAAATCTTGATTTGAGAAAGCACACCGAAGCAGGTTATCACGATCACAGCTCCAATTTCAGCCCGCATGTCGCGGGTGATGGGGTATGAATCAACGAACGGAGGGAAGACGTCTGGGTTAATATCTGTGCGGGGTCAGTACGTTGAGAGCACAGATGGGCGGTGCGACGCTTACCCCAGATGTACACCCAAAACTCTTTGAGCCCAGCCCTGCTGAAGCAATCGATCCCAAGGATGAAAGCATAAGCACCAGCGAATGAAGTGCATGCTATGATACCGTACACTCTCGTGAAGCGACTGATGTATAACGAGAATGACCCGGCGCAGAAAAGTCCAATCAAGATAATCTTGCCAGGCTTGTTCTTAATGAGGCCTCCGGGCGACAGAACTAGAAGCCACATGGCCAGGGAGAAGCCTCCAAGAAGACATCCAAAGCCCTCGGAGACTTCCTTGAATATGAGCGCCAGAGCTCCCAGGGCTGAGCCGCCGACTACGCCAGCAATGAGATAAGCACCCTGTATGGCTTTGGAGATAGGAGGACTCATGAGGTATACGATCAGGACTTCGATGCCAAGCGCAATGAGCAGTGATGTGCTGAGGAACGTCTGCGTGGGTCTGTGTTTGATACCCACGAACCCAAGGCCCAGACCAGCTGACATGAGGATGGCTCCGGCGACACCTAGGGCAGGAGTAAGTTCTGGTTGTATCGGAAGGTCGTTCGGATCGATGTCGGTTCCATTGGCGTAAGTGAGGTTCGCATTGCTCGTAGTCAAGGACGTCTCAATTGGTCGAGCGGTGATCACAGAGGTCGCATCGCCGACTTCCGTGTCTTCAGACGTCGTCGTGGGGGCGTCATCTCCATTCTTGCCTGTCTCTTTAGATTGCGTCGGTTCCGGCGTTCGTGAGCTGTCTTCCACGGTCGTGCTGGCCTGAATGTCTGTCGCGGTAGCTGTAGTGTCCTGTCGAACCCGCAGTCGAGGTCTGGCGCCAAGCTCTTCGGCGCATGACAATGCGAACAAGAGCGTGACCGTTGCGAGAGGGAGCCGCATGATGGGCGTCTGATCTCGCAAGCAGGTGGCAGTGGTTCAGTTATCTACGCTTCCTGCATCACTCGCTGTGACCCTCGGAGCTAGATATCAACAGCAAAACGATCGTGCCGAAAGGTGGTTCGGTCGCCAGTGGTCGGTACAGGCCGTCCGGTAGGGAGAAACGTCTGAAACCGCTGTTGAAATTGTGTGATGAAGAATATGGAAAAGAGTACGCGACAAGCGAAGAGGAGCTGTGAGAAGAGAAACACGCCTGGATCTGACAACCTGGTCGAATGCCTACGAGCTCCTCGCCCGGGTCGCCCAGTTGTGTGGTTCAGATCACAGGACGCGAGAAGGCGTAGTTTGAAAGTGCTCGAGAGGCGCGCGGCGGACCTTCTTCTTCACGGGGCGAGAGAGGCCGTGAGGGTCGGACGGCAGAGGTGTTCCATCGCGGAAGTCTGGCTTCCAATGGCGGCCAATCCTGCGTCATGTCCATATAGACGACGGATCTCCTCAATAGACTCCATACCCGAATAGGAAATCAGGTATATCCATGCTCAGCGCCACGGGCTGCTCGCCGTGGCTTGGGGATAGCAGGGTTGCGCTTCCGCGAACAGGCACGCCTGCAGGCCAACCACTTCTCGCGCTGCTCATCCGCCGGTATCTCGACGTCCAGACGCATCGCAGGCGTGTCTCGCACCGCTGGCTCGCCGATGCATCGACGCGGGTTGCGCATCCGGTGGAGCAGCGCATCGACGGACGGCTGGCAAGCGACGGCGGTAATTTCGACCACCGCGCGCGCCCTCCGCCCAATGTCGCGTCATCTGGGCTGGGCGTGTGAAGCAGCACAGCGCGACTGTTGGTCAATCACGGCGAGTCGGCGAGGAAATGAAGTGCTGGCCCTATGCAGATGGAGCTTAGCTGCCGTCTCGCACGCGTTCACGCGTTTCCACACACAGCGCAAGTCTGGAGAACCCAAGGACGATCTGCGGTCTCACCAACCTGCAACGCCTTCGTCGCATCACAACAGCACTTCCTCGCCCAACCGTTGCCAACGTCTGCTCGAGCGCAGCACCCGGCCACACGTTCGCTGTGACACAGCATCTTTTCGCGCGCCGCCTCTCTGTCTCAGGGTCCGCGCCCACGGAGTCCTCCGCGCCCTCCTGACCACTGTTTATATTATACTTTCCCGTGGCGGAGAATATAATAACATGGGCCGCGTGCTCCCGCCTCGCCAAATATCCTTGCACTTTCGCGAGACGTGGATCGTCGTCGCGTTTGGGCGACGATGATCCCAGAACGGATCACCCGAGCGAACACACACAGCACGTGCTAGTGGAGGATATCCTTGCTGGGTTGAGCACTTCCGCCGACATCGATTGCTCCACAGCGGGCAGGACATCGCGATGCCGCGGAAGCCATTGCACCTCATCATTCTCAGACTGGCGTCCGATAGTGGCTCATGATAGCAGGCAGTATCGTGGGCCTGACGCAAAGCCATCGAACAAGTTCCTCACGGTCTCGCTGCGAAGCAACAATGGTCGTGCTCGATCGTGTCTCACGGAGTCGCCATCCAACACGCATACTCGACGTACCATCCGGTTACCCGCAGCATCTCACCACGGCGACCGGACGCGGCTCATGCCACGAATGACCCGTCCTATCCTGAGAGCCTACCGGTCTCACATCCAAGGCCGTGTGCAATGGCATAAACCTGATTAGCAGTATGGTCGAGGCCACGAAGGGCAGTCGCTGTTGTCTTCAGGTCGATGGCTTAACGGCGTCTCGGACCCTGGGCCCTTCGAAGCAAAGCTGACATTTCCTGGTATGGGGTAGACCGCGCTCTGCAGGCATAGCGCATGACTTTGAGATGACATAATTCATCAGCGTGGTGCTCAAGCACAAACACACATTCTTGCTGATTGCTAGCTAACTCCTGGTCGAGAGCTTTACAGGCCATACCACTGAAGATCGAAGATATCGCGTGTTCGTGGACAGAAGCAGAAGACCGGACCAGCCCTCGTGAGGCGCAAGCCATATCCTGCGAAAAATGTCTCGGATTTCTAGGAATACTGGCCCGGCCCTGTCGGACATTCTGCGACCCAGTAGTAGACAAAAATACTTGAATCCATCCAGGTTCTCATGGCGCAGGTTACTGCCTCATGCTTGACAATCTACCATACATTGTTGGAAAGTAGCTGCTTTGTACTGTAGCGCACGTCGTCAGAGACCAATATGATCTCGTGGCTCCATGGGCTGCCCATGATCAGCATGGGCATTGTCAATTTCGATGACGGGGATCCTCGGGATGTGCGTCTTTGGAGCCGCACATTGCCCATTACTTGCTTTCGACATTGGATGAAATCTATTCCGACCATGGCTTAGAAGCTTCTCTAGCTATGCATAGCGCTGGGTTTCGTCATCTGTTAAGGTCATTTTCTGGACGTGGCTTGAACTCAAAATAGCATCCACGACTTGAAGGCTACTCTTCACATGGACTTTGATTCGAGGTCTGCGGCCTATCTGGCGGAGTCCGGGTCACGGTTGAAGACACATGCAAACATACTTTACGAGTGCTCAGAGTGCACGCTGCAATGAACAGTTGCATCGCCGCCAGGACACGACTCGGTTGTTGCCAAGCGATCGTCAGATTTTTGACTGACCTCATTGCGCAGAGTTGACGGCGCTACGCAGGTTTATGGCGTTCGAATAGAGCTCTACAGCGTCTGCACTTTCCTCATCGAGCATTCTTGAACACAGATCCTTTGCCTACCGGCAGTAGCTCGCGACGGATCTTTACGTGGCGCACTTTCTTCGACCTGTGACCCATCTCCACGCTTGAAAATGTCTGTTTCAACGGTGCCTGTCCACTGTCTGGACCTGTTTAAAGGTCTTCGCAAACGCCACTCATGATTTGGAAGTCGGCACTTTTTTAAGCATGGAGGTCCTTCTGTCTGACCTTGGCAAGAAATACCCAAGGAACCCAGCACTTATCGGAAGTGACGATGACAATGATATCATCTCATTCGATGCCCTAAGTCAACAGGTCGAGCAGTTGCGAGAGAATTTTGTCCAATGTGGAGTGTCTCACGGCTCTGTCGTAGCACTCACACTCCAGAATTCGACTCACCTAGCTCTGATATTCCTGGCGCTACTCGCTTGTGATGCTACCATTGCTCCCCTTAACCCGAAGTTCAAGGCGAGCGAATATGAGTACTACCTTGAAGATGCCGACGCGCAATTCATCGTGGCGCCGTCGGCCGCCTGGTCGTCGGAGAGTGCTTTGGCATCAGCTACAGACGGCCTACAATGTGCGAGGTTAGAGTGCTTTCACGAGGAGAAGTCATTGCGCGTCAAACAAGTAGGCTCGGCAAAAGGAGCGCTGCCATCCTCAGACGCAATCGGCAACACAGCTCTGATATTGCACACGTCCGGAACCACAGGGAAACCGAAACGAGTACCGCTTACGCTGGCAAACTTACTCGCCTCCACGCACAACGTGATCGAGGCGTACAAGCTGGACGATACTGACCGGACAGTGCTTCTGATGCCCTTGTTCCACATCCATGGCATCGTCGCCGGATTGCTCGCACCGCTGCTCTGCGGCGCTGGCGTAGTCATTCCAGTCAAGGGTGTGTCGGATGACTTCTGGCAAACATTTGTGAATCACAATGCGACTTGGTGGACAGCAACTCCTACGCATCAAAATGTTATTCTCGGCCTACCCAAACCGACCTTCAAAACTCAGCTGCGTTTCATTCGGTCATGTTCGTCCGCTCTGTCCCCGCAAGACCTCCAGCGATTAGAAGAGGCATTTGGTGTTCCAGTCCTACAAGCATATGCTATGACCGAGAACGCACATCACATTGCCTCCCAAGTACTCGGCAGAGATCGAAAACCTGGCTCAGTCGGATATCCGTCACCCAACGTCGACGTCGTCGTTGTTGATGATGCTGGAAAAGTTCTGAGCAGTGACCAAACTGGTGAAATTGCGATCAAAGGTAAATCCACCACGTTAGGATATCTGGGAAATCCAGAAGCCAATGCCAAGGCCTTCACGAGCTCAGGCCACTTCAGAACTGGCGACCGAGGGTTCTTCGACAAAGATGGTTGTCTGTTTTTGACAGGCCGTTTGAAAGAGATGATTAACAAGGGAGGCGAAAGTTTGAGTCCGGTCGAGATAGATAACGTCTTGGTCTCGCATGAGAAAGTCGCCGAAGCTGTATCGTTTGCTGTCCCGGATGAAGTGTATGGAGAAGACATCGGGGCCGCGATCGTTCTTGCGAAGGGTCAAAAGCTGGCAGAGTCTGAACTGATCGCTTGGCTGAGGGAAAAAGTCTCGGAAACGAAGCTGCCGAAGACCCTCTGGTTCGTAGATGCCATTCCGAAAACGGCGACAGGTAAACTACAACGTCTCACTGTTGCCAAGAAGATGCTGGAGAAAAACCCTCAGACCTCTTCTTCCTCAAATGGCGGTTCCGGCGGCGCGGTCGAGGATCTGCGCAAGATGTGGAGTGATGTCCTTCGCATTTCTGCATCAGAGATCAAGGATTCTGACAGATTCTCTGTCTTATCTGGCGATTCGGGCCTCGCTGTGCGGCTAGCTGGCATGGCTAGGACCAGGAGTTACACACTAAGCTTGGCGAACATCTTTGCGCATGACGAGCTTGCCAAAATGGCCACCGAGATGCATCCAAGCAAGGCAACGGATGCTCTTGGAAACGGCGATTACACCGCAGTGGACAAGGATATCCGCGCTCTCTGTGCTCAGGCACTTCCGATCAAAGTTGAAGATGTCGAGGATGCATACCCAATGACTCCTTTCCAGTCTCACATGGCCGCTGAGAATCTCGAAAGTGGGACGTGGAATTACTCGTATGGCTTTCGCTGTGAGACCGCCGATCTTGAGAAAGTCAAGCAGGTGATGGATCTGATCCAGCACCGACATGGCATACTTCGAGCACATACGGTTCGTGTTGATGGACAATTCTACCAGGCCGTTACGCGTGGCGCTTCGGACTGCGTTGATGTTCCCTGTGTCAAGACATACCTGCGCAAGCTCAGAGGGCAACCAATACCACTAGGTGATCGTTCATGTCGCTTCATCAATTCAAATGAAGACGGCACTCCGCTCTTTGTCCTGACTCTCGGACACGTTATCATGGATGAGTGGACACGATCCTTGATTTTCAGAGAGCTCGAGACAGGGTTGAAAGACATTGATGAGTTGCGCAACAGTCCACTTCCCCCGCCATTCGGCGCATTTGCGCGATGGATTGATTCGGTCAAACCTTCTAATTTCCAGACCAAGTTAATAGGTCAGAGTCCAATGCCATATGATAAGGAAAGGATGAAACCATTGACAAAATCCGTCAAGCTCGATAGGGAGCTACCTTCAGACCGCCCGTGGTTTGTGGCTACGCATCTAGCTTGGGCTCTTGCAACGGCAGAACACGTCGACCAATCTAAAGTCACGATCAACACAGTTCAAAGTGGACGCCTGGCACCTATGAAAGGCATCGAATCGATACTTGGACCGACTCTCACTCATTTTCGTCGAGATATTGACATCAGTAGTGACCTGACACTCCAAAAATCACTGGATCAGATTGCAGACAGCCTGCTTGCACCCGAGAACGCAAGCTTCGCCGGCACGAATCTCTACGAGGAACGACACAAAGTATGGATGTTAAATTGTGCTCTCTCAGCACCTCTAGCAACTGTCAACAAGATTGGACAGCCGGATGCGCAGCTGGAGCTGGATCAAAATTTGTCTGATCGACTGCCGCCTGGCTTTGCCTTGAATAGCAGAGCTTTCAGAAATGGAGCTGATGGCATTGAGCTTCGAATATCCTACGACAATGGCTATGTTAATGAGAAGACTGCAGAAGCGACGATTGATCGCTTCGCAAAGTTCCTGAGTCAGGTGTGCCGTGCAGATGGGGAACGGAAGCTTGGGGACATTGTGAAGGATGTGAAGTCAACGTAGAGCATGCACATACCTTGGGCGGGATGTCCTGCTGTGAATAGTTCACGCATTAGCTGGGTAGAACGATGTAGATGGATAGATTGAGTTCTTCGTATCACACCATGCGTAGCAAGGCTTTTGAGTTGTGTTCATCCGCGTGCTTCTGGGATCTGAAACATCCTTCACACAACATCCTTCACACAACATCACATGGCAACGCATTGACCAGATTTAGCTCTTGAACAAGATTGCGCAAGTTCGTAACGCAATCTGATCACAAGGGTCTCCTTGGGTTACACGAGAGAAGACAAAAACAAGTCTGAAGCCAGACGGAGCCGAGTGGCTGATGTCTTAGATCCCGTACCGTCTACAAAACGTGACAACGAAGTTTTGACCCAAAGGTCTACAAAAAAACGTTGAACCTTCTCCGCGAACCTGTCTTTCGAACGATGGTTCGGTCTATAAACCCGGCTCAAGTCAAGCACACCCGCAGAATCCTACTGAACGGCTGCTCGGTATACACTCCGAACCAGAGGAATTTGCGCAAGCCACAATACCCGTTCCGAATCATCTAACCTGTACAACAGCCATCACAGCCAAGTTTCTACATACCTGTACCCTTCTTTTAAACGTCCACCAAGCATGGACTATCAACCGCTCCGAAACCTGCTGCCACGCCACCTTCTTCGCTCTGATCGCCTTTTGTGCGGAGCAAGTACCCAGCCTCGAAGTTTTCGAGGATTTCCCTTTTGCCGTCTGCTGCGTCGGCTCTCCAGATACAGGCTCCGTAGATGCCGAGTTCGCAGATCACCCCGCCAGTTTGGAATTCGCCGTTGCGGAAAATGGTGTTGGATTGGGCGGGTGGCTCGATCATTTCCATGAGAATGTAAGCAGGCCAGTGGGATTCTGGGAGGTCTTTCAGGAATGGTGGGATTGCTTTGCGGTAGATGTTGTTTCCGCCGCCTTCGCGTTGGGGTTTGAGGACGTAGCGGGTTGCGCTCGAGGGGTCTTGGGCGAGTTTGCGGGCTTCGAGGCCGGCTGAGGATTTGTCGAGAGGGTAGATTGGAGCGAAGGTTTTGAGGACTTCGGCGGCTTGGGCCTGATCTGGGAGGAACTTTGCAAGGTGAGGAGAGTGTGGAGTTGCAAGGACTTGTTGGACTTTCTTTGTGCCAGCGAGCTGTGTCAGTACTGTTGGGCATTTGATTGCAGCGCTGCGCTCAATGTGAAGGCGCGCAGACCAATGCGCGTCAGAAGTGTACTCATCTGGTGAGTATCCGGCCCGGAAGTACACTACTGTAACCTCGTATTGCTTCTTAGGACTTTGAGGTGGAGTGTAGATGAGCTTGCGATTGTCATCCAACTTCGTATCATCATGAACCCGTCCGAAAGGTAGACGGAACGTACGGACACCATGATTTTCGTTCAAGGCGTACTCAAGATGTCGTTGGTCGAAGACATTGCGCTCCGGATCCTGCACCAAGAAGATCACACATGCAGGGAGTCCAGTCGTGGACTTGCCGTACGCCTTGTGGGCTTCAGCCATGCCCCTCGCCAATGAAGGCACGGAGGTGCTCTCAGGCAGACTGGATTCATTGACGAGACTCGAGAGTTCCTCAGGATATGCGTCGATGGACTGCAGGTGACGATGAAGACCAGCGACTTGGCTCGACAGACCACCGAAAGAGGATGCGATCGTATTGAATTCCACTTGCTTTACTGTAGGTTGCGAAGCGTTGCCTTGATCAACGTGCACCATGTAATCCGAACGAAACAGACCAAGAGCTATTGGCTGAGGGTATATCAGCGATTATGGGTCTCAAAGAAGACGTGAGGAGACACACCTGCGCATATCCCTCTTTCTTGACAGCCTGGTGCACCTTCCAGAGTCCTGCCATGAAATCGTCGATTGCTGCCAGCCTATAATCACATGTCAGCTATTGGTCAAGTGAAGTGAACATATCATGCCCGCATGTGAGGCACACGCGAGATACGAAGCCGAAGCCAGTGCTTGTCATGTGCAGAAGGACTTGCATGTGACGACACGCTGAAACTGAGACGAAAGTACTCTGACTTACGGAAAGTACCTACTCTTCAACGATGCCAGTCAACCATCCCTCATCACTGGCGATGGCAGAGTAGAGCTCATTGTATGCTCTGGCTACTGACTTTGCCTGCTCGAAGCAGACCTTCGGGAACAGACTTGGGAACAGTGTTACCGGAGCTGTCGTCGCTAACGCTCCGGCGGGATCCTGCTCTGTCGGCACATATGTTGGTGCTACTCTGACTGCCAGACCATGAGCGATTGACCAGTCCTTGAGATTGGCCAACAGATACGACTTCTGCTCGTCGATGAGCTCTGGCGGATACTCTGGATACATGTTGGGTGGCATGCGAATGTTTGTTTTCTTACAAATGAGGTGCTGTTCGTTGGAGATGGACTCATCGCATTGAGTGGGTCTCTTGTTCGCCGATGTCGCCAAGGCGAGCGACCTCACCTTCCCACTTCACGCTACAAGGCGCGTCAAACGCTACACACGCAGGCCGACGCGACCGAGACGGGTCTCACACGACCGTTGCCAAAGGCTTTGCACCTCGCGTCCAGCCGTTCAAGACAGCTTAAGACGCCGCCCGCACGTCTCTGGATTCTGCATACGAACGCGCAGCGCCGAGCGAAACCGTCCTGTCCACCACTCTCCACCGCAGCCGAAACAGCGAGTCTAGTCAATACAAGCGCTTTCAAGACAAGGTCTGATGCAAGTACTCTGCTCATAATATGTCAGAGGACCTAGCAAGAGCTGTGACTTCACCGCTTTTCCGGCGGGAAGAGCCTCCAGATTTACGGCGGCAGTGACGGAACGTAGGACGTCGCGAAAGAAAGCGGCAGAAGGCTCCTTCGCGTGGATTGCTCTGCGGGACCACTGAAGGCAAGTTTTGAGCAGGCGGATATCCACGCTCTCCAGAAGCGTCGTGTCACCTCGCCCGCCGCTGCTCTCACGCCGTACGCTCCTGCACGCTGTGTCCCAGAAATGCTCTGGTGGCGTTGCGAGTGACTTGCAGCGAGCAGTGAACTAAGATTTTTGATTCAAAAGACGCGTGTAGCACGCGTTCTATTGGCCTGTCACCCACGGTACCCTCTGTCAACCTGACCTTGCAAGTCACTGGGTGAAGGCAGGGGGTCAGACAGCAGCCTTTCGTGCAAGACAGTGTGCGTTCGCAAATTCGCACCTACCTTGATTGAGGCACATAAAAGGGTGAGCGACGCCAATTCTCACGACCCAGAGCATTCCTTGGCGCACGCTGCACTTGACATCCAGTCACTTCGATCTCAAGCTGGCGAATTCACACGGCACAATCAGCAACACGTGATCCGGCGAGGTGCCGAGCGCGTTCTGCCGTTATCTTTGACTAAACTTCAGGGCGCGACCTGACTGTCAACATCAACCTTCGTGCAAGGCGCCACACGCGACGCCATCAGCACAACATCATGGATCCGGATCCGTGGAAGTGGACGTCCACTGCGGTGGCAGACTTCTTCCGCAACCACGCAACAACACTCATCACCGACATGCCCAATGCGCGACTACCAGACCTGGACTCGTTTGCTCAGAAGCTCGAAGAGAATGACGTCTGCGGAGCGGTACTGTTCGATGGAGTCGATTTGGGCTTTCTTCGTGAGGACTGTGGCATCCGGTCCCTTGGCCAACGCAGTGCAATAGTACACTGCATCCGCAAGCTCAAAACATGGTCAAGATCATATCCTAAAGGAGACGAAGCGCCTGTTCCACAAACGCCTGTGTCTGTGGCTGCCACGCCGGTAGCAATTCCTGGCATTGAGCAAGAGCCAGCATCTCCGGTCCCCATTTTCGACAGCGCGAACGCCAAACGCGCCGGCGAAAATAGCGAAGAAGCTGGTAGTGCTCGCAAGAAACGAAGACTCGAGCTCCCTCAGCCCTCGATTGCCTTAACGGCGCCAAGAGACTCAGCACTGCATAACCCTGCAGCCTTCCTCGGCAACGAGAAGCTCCCGGTGGACAATATATTCTTCGGCAGCACGCAGATGGGACAAGAAATAAGCTACGGAGATACACCAAATGCTATGATGGTCAATCCCCCTACACGGGAAGCATCGCCCCACGCATTGTCAACGAGCGCAATTCTCTCAGAAGACGACGACCTGCCGATAGCCGAACAATGCTTTCAATTCCAAGCTCCTACAAAACCTCCCGGACTATCAGCGTATGTCAACAAGCAGATCCGGCATTTTCTCAATCTTGACATTGCCGAATCGCAAATCGGTTCTGTCAAGAAGACTATACGCCACGGGCGGGACGCGATTGCCATTGATCCATACCCAGAGCGAATGCTCACAGGCACTACGTCCCGGTCAGCTCTGGTTGTCCAGATGGCCGAACATGGGAGGTATGTTGCGAAGCGGGAGAATGCTGCCTTTGTCGATTCGGGCATCGAGTACAACGAGATCTCGGTTCAGGGATTGCCAGAGGCCTCGAACTCTGGTGAATGGGACTTCCTCGTAGCAAAGCACAAGTCAACAGCTGATGAGAAGGTACTGCCGGCCTACATGGACTCTGATTCAGAGGGCTCACTTCGCTCACTCCAAGATGAGATGGAGGAGGAGGAGGAGGTAGAAGAGGACGAGCTTCAGCAGACCAAGCCTGTCGGGTCCCGACTAGACGCGATGATCGACAAAGCCTTGCGCGATATTGCGGATGCCTGGAAGGATAAAATTCTACCTCGAATGGAAGAGAAGAAAGCGTGGACTGTCTGGAAGCGAACGCGTCAAAGTCGGACTATTCGAGACAACTTGATCAATGGCTCCCTCGACTTAATTCACAACCTTGAGCAGAGAGTCCAGAAGTTCAAGACTGAAATGCATCATGGCGAATGGCGAGATGAGAAAGAGGTCGCTGAGCAATGCAAGATCATGGAGGCTACTGTCGAGGACATCGAAGAGCAGCGCTGGAAGATTGATGTCTGGCAGAGGAAGAAGGAACCTCATCACATCGCTAGACGAGGAGCTCGCCTCGATTCTGGCCACACTTTTGCAGGTACCAGCACACAGCGCCAAATTCCCAACGTTCATGCAAACGACCGCTTCAGTGTGGAGCGCGACGACACCATTTACGACGCCGTCAACGATGACGACGACGACTTCCATTCTGCGCACGGCGATTTGGACACCACTGAGCCTATTATCGAGGGCCAGGAGGAAGACCAAGATGCGTCAGACGAATACTCTGTGCATGACGACATGGACTTCATCAACGATGCAGAATCACCGGATGGAGAGGCTGGTGACTTGCTGGCCGATTCACATCAAACGCCGAACTGCGACCAGGACGTTGTGCCTGCACACCCGAGCTCGGAGCATTCAGACTTTGGTCAAGACTTGTCTTCGCCAAGCATCAAGCCGGAAAAGCGTCAGACTCAACGCAATGACGCTCAGACTATGGACAACGACAGAGGCACTGAGTCAGACTACCTGACCAGTCCCAGTGGAATGTTCAAGAAGCCTGCGAGGAAGCATATGAACACCCCGATCAAGTCACAGAAGAAGAACACTGAGCCAATTGAGATATCTTCAGATTCCACTCCTGTGAAAGCAAAGCCTCCTAAGAAGAAGAGAAAGAAGATAGCATACAGCGCTACTCCCGAAAATGACAGTGCACAGGAGGTGGCATCGTGGAATCTGGACGACCTCGTGAGCGCAAGCGACAGAAAGCGTATCATGATCAGACTCCTCTACGAAATGGGCCCCGAGAAACGAGCAGCGATACAACGCAAGATCAAAGCTCTGCGCAAGTCTCCCTTCATCGACAAGTTGCGAGATGTGCTTGCAGTACTTTCCCGAGACTACTCGGGCAGCAATCAAGACATCGATGTGGTAGTTGCAGGCAAACTTTTCCTGGCATATACATATTGCAAGCCGGAATGTCTTTTAGATGACAGCTTTGCAGACATCCCCTGGTCTTCTGTCTCGACCGATCGCCTGGCACTCACCACATTCTGCGGCCTGCTAGAATTGTTTCTGGAGAAGTCAAATCTTTGGAGGGCGCCTGCGAAGCCCACTTCCGGACGACAGGGCGAGGTTATTGACCTCGTCGGCTCATCCGAAGAGGACGACACACAACTTGCTGGAACCCCGAAGAAGAGGAAGGCCAAGAAGGTCAAGCTCGACATCAATGCTGAGCAGTCGCAGGCTGCAGCCTATTTACGCCAGCAACGCTTCAAGGAAATGAAGAGTGCTGGGTCCAACTCTCAGGAGCTTCAAGCTATGATACAGTCCGACCCCAGCAGATCTACGGTGGCGATAAACCCTCTCGCTTCTAAGGAGAACGGGGAGGAGTTCATCTTTATCGACAAGAGAATTGCTCGTGAGCTGAAAGAGCACCAAATCAACGGGATACAATTCATGTGGCGAGAGCTTACGGCTGGTGGTGATGAAGGCGGTCAGGGATGCATCCTGGCCCACACTATGGGTCTTGGGAAGACCGTTCAGACCATCGCTACTCTCGTTGCGATCAACGAAGCGGCGCAGTCGAATAATCCTGCCGTATATGAGCAGATCCCCGAGCACCTTCGCCCTGCTGACATCCAGGAACGACAACTTCGCATGCTGATCCTGGTCCCAGCTGCACTGGTGCAAAACTGGCGTAGAGAGGTGTCTCAATGGGCACCGCACGTGCTCAAGAACACTTTCGCACTCGAGTCGGGCAAGAAGCGCCATCATCTTCTCGCAGAGCTCGGAGATTGGTACAAGGTCGGTGGGATGCTATTCATTACGTATACCCTTTTCCAGAAGTACGCCAACTGGAAAGACCCCATTACTGAGGCCCATATCCGCGAGATTGGTCCGCAGCTCGACAAGTACTTGATCGAAGGGCCCGAATTAGTTGTCGCTGATGAGGTTCATACCCTGAAGAATGCCAAAGCCAAAGTCACACAGGCTGCAGCGCGCATTTGCACCGAGAGCAGGATTGGACTCACTGGTACACCAATGAGCAACAACGTGGATGAGATCTACTCACTGGTCTCCTTTGCTGCGCCCAACTACCTTGGCGAGAAGATGTGGTTCAATCAGCAATATTCTAATCCAATCGCGCAAGGCAATCGCAAAGACAGCGAGCCGTACGAGGTCCGGAAAATGCTGAAGAAGCTTGCGGTGCTTCGCAACCAGATCGAACCCAAGGTGAACCGTGCCGATATCTATGTTCTGCGTGGCTCGCTGAAGCCGAAGACGGAATTTGTCATCATGATGCCGCTTTCCAACATACAGCGAGTGGTCTACAACAAGTATCTTCAAGCATTGCGGAAGGATACAAACAATCTCGACGGTGTGATTCCTCAAACGAGGATCTTTGCCTGGCTTGCAGCCCTTACACTGCTCATGAACCACCCACTTGCATTCAAGCGCAAGCTCCTGGACCCGCCCAAGGCGAAATCGAAGACCAAGAAAAGCAAGCGGGAGTCCACGCCGCCTGCTAGCGACAGCGGCTCTGTAGCACCGTCAGCCGAGAACGACGCAGGTGCTGAGGATTACGGCAGCATAGATGATGCTGTACAGTCACTCTCCTTCTCAGATAAGGTCAAGAAGGACATGGTTGCAGACATCGATGATGAAGCCCGTCCTGAGTACTCCAAGAAGATGGCAATGTTGCTCATCATACTGCGGCTTGCGGAGAAGTGTGGAGACAAGGTCCTCGTCTTTTCAGGAAGTATTCCGACCCTTGACATAGTCGAGGAGGTCATCAAGCAACGTGGCATATCTTGCGGCCGAATCGATGGCAGCGTGCCGATACCCAAACGTCAGCCTGCCATCGATAAGTTTCATGCTGGTACGACCAAAGTCATGTTGATGTCAACCAGAGCTGGGGTCGGACTGAATATCCAAGGCGCCAACCGTGTTGTCATCCTTGACTTCGGGTTCAATCCGTCTCATGAAGAGCAGGCGGTCGGTCGTGCGTATCGTATCGGACAGACCAAGCCAGTGTTCGTGTACCGTTTGGTCATCGGCGGCACATTTGAGGACAATATCTACGACAAGCAGATGTTCAAGACCTCTTTGACGCAACGCGTCGTGGACAAGAAGAACCCTCGTCGTATCGCGCTCGGCAGCGCTGGCGAGTGGCTGTACGAGCCACGAGACATGCCACAGGAGGACGTACGACAGTGGCTCGACAAAGATGAAGCTGTTCTGCATAAGGTGCTTAAGAAACAGCTTGCAGATGATGACAAATATGAGGGACCACAGATCAAGAAACTCACAACGATCGAGACCTTGCAGGAAGATGCAGCCGATGCACCTTTGGACGAGACGGAGCAACGTGAAGTGGAGGAGGAATTGGCTATGCGACGCAACCAGCGCATCATGGAGAAGCAAACAGCCAATGCTGGAGCTGGAGCTACTGGCTTGAGCGCGAGCCAGATCAACATGCCTCCGCCTGGCGTTCCGAGATCGACGGCGCCCGGTACCCGACCTGCTAAGAGCACGGCCCAGCGACGACCGTCTGCGGTGGTTAAGTTCCCTGTGCGTATGCCACATGGTCTACCGAACGTGGCTCGTCCGTCCGGTCCGTCTTCTACCATGCCGAATGCGTCTGCTGGCCGGGGCGGTTCACACCAGAACCAAGGCATTAATGGTGCACGCCCTACCTCCAGCAACCCGCAGTCGAACATGCATGGAATGCCTTGAGTTGGATGAGCATGACATAAGAGAGGATGAGACGCCGGAGATAGGAGGAAGGCGGAGAGACAGATGGACATCGCTCTAATGAGTGGAAGGGCGTTGTGATGCACGAGGAGTGGAGCAAAAGGAAAACAAAGCATGCATTGGCGTTTCACAGACTTTCTGTGGGTCTGATTTAGCGCGCAGAGATACCCCTGAGCAGCTATGCTCTCTTGCTATGACTGTACAATGAGACAATGATCCTTGACACCCGTCTCCTGATACTCATGCTTCGCTCTGATGATATAATATTGCTTTTTCGTTTCTCTCGTGACCCCTCGACGCATTCGCCGCTCGCTTTGCTGCATTGACTGCCTCTGTGCACTTGTCATCAGCGGAAGCACTCAAATCAAAATTCTCAAGTACTCGCGCCTTTGCTTCCAGTTCATATCGCCCATCACTGCTCCTGAGAAAAAATCCAATCAAGTGGCCGCTTGATGTTCTCGATTTGCGTCAGAGCCGTATCGATTCCAGCATGGACTCCCGTCCACGAATCTCCGTCGCGAAGCCAATAGTTGAGGGCAGTGAAGACGACGACATGGAAGATACAGAAGCTGAGCCTAGGCGTGCGTTCCCTGAGTCTCGGATGGCGTGTTGGCTCTCTGCGAATTTGCAGGCAAAAAATCCAGTAGTACAACATTGGGGTGCTCAACTTCCGCATTATTCCCAGAGCGATACGATCCATTTTGATGTGAGATTCGCTTGATTCGTTGTTTCTCTGATGGATGGTGGTGGATAGCTGGTTGTGCTTTTGGATGCTTGGTTGCTTTGTGGTGGGTGGAAGTTCAGAGATAAGGTATCAAAACCAGTTGCCTGTGAGGGCGTCGACAACGCCTAACAACGTGCTGTGCCGCACATGCCAGCTGAATTGCTCCTCCGCAAGAAGAGTGGCCATCACGGCTGAGATGACAGCAATGACGATCCACAGAGCCGCGACTGGTTCCACCGGATTGCAGGAAAATCCCCGGTGCTCGAAGTCGATCATGATGGAAATCGCGTTGCTTGCCGAGAAGGCAACGGAAAGGTCGAAGATGCAGTAGAAGATGGGGAGCGAGAGTTTGAGAGTGAGGTGGAGAAAGAGCGTCCAGACCAGGTTGGCAATCGCGATATCGAGTTTGAGTAGCGCGAGGAAAGCGTCCATCGTGGTTGCTGAAGGTGAGTTGTCGAATGTGAGTTCTTGGAAGTGAAGCGAAGCGAGAGGTGCCCGCTCTATTTCGCTGGTGACTTGTGTACTCTTCTGGTATTTATGAAGATCTAGTCTCACTCGTGCGTTGCTGTGTCTGGAAGTGAAAGGGTGACTTCTTGATGTTGGAAATTCAAACGTCCTTAAGTCCGGATTCCAGAGTTATGTCTCAGCTGTCTCACCGTGAAATTCGAGGCCACGAGCACCATCGCTATTTTCGAGCTCTTCAGATCGAGGATCTGAGGGCAGCAGACTATCGCGCAACAAGCAAATGCAGCTCCAGGTCCATTCGCTTCGAGTTGAGGCCACCTCAGCATGCCGACAAAGCTCGAGAAGACCCAGACGAGAACAACTCGACATGCCTGAGCGATGCGCAGCAGTCAAGGCTGCGACATTCGACTCACGTATCCCGTCCTCGTTTGCCACTGGACGCCACTCTCCGATGACTCCGCAGAGTCTCTTGACGTATTCACCAATGCCACAAGCGCCTCGTACAAATAACTCAGGAGCGCCAGTCATTTCCCTCAACCTCTTCAACAAGCAGCCCAGATCGTACGTCGAGCACCAATGATGGCACCCAACAATCACAACCAGATCCAAGGTCTCTCCGCCCGTCTCCGCCGTCTGAACACAGAAGACCGTCATGCAGGAACCACAGGCGAAGGCCACTTCGACCTTGTCGACTGCCATCGCGTTCGCTCTGGAGTGATCACACCACCATACCGAGAAGGAGGAACCATCTCAGATCATATCGATTCATGCAATCCAGTCAGCAGTCCTTGGTGTTGTCCCCGTTGGGCAGGTGAAAAGGCACAGGAAAGTTGGTTCGACGCGCACCACGAAGGCTATGACGCGGATGATGAAGCAGGATTCTGAACAGTCTATTGACATATTGTGACGGCCGTTATCATACGCAAAAATATGTAGTACGCAGACAAGCAATCGCATTGAGCAAGCAAAGCATATCGCATAAAATCAATTTGTCAGAAGGAGATGAGGAAATACTAACGCAATCATTATCGAGCCCTTGCATTTTGCGCAAAGTCATTCTTCATGGGCTGTGCTCTCCCAAGCGAGGTGCACCACCCTTCCAGTCATCACGCTCGAAATACCTAAAGACGAGCTCGTAACCTTCCAGATCGTGCACGACGCGATCGATGCGCTTGTAGCCCTTGATGCGGTCCATTCGCTTGTCATTCTTTGCGTTACCATTCTCGCTGCCGTCCTTTGCCTCAAAGAGCGTGACGCTGAAGCGGCCAGGCTTGAAGATGCCCACAACCTGCTGCACCACATCGACCGTGGAGCGTCCGGTTTGACGAGTCGGCACGTTGGTCTCGAAACTGGCATAGGAGCACTGTGGCTCAGGTGTGACGTGCACAGTCCAGTAGTGAGTGTTCTCAGCATCGCCGGGAATTGGCACAACTCCATTCGCTGAGTAGCCACATGGCGTGAAGAGGTAGGAGTCGATACGGGCGTCCGGATACTTGGATGCTGGGTACACATCTGCAAGTCCGCAAGCTTCGGTCACAACTGTTCCTAAGGTGTGGCCTTCGGTGCTGAGCTCTTCACCAAAGGTGAGCGGCTCATCATCAGACTCCGAGCTGAGCTCTGCGTGCTCCTTGGCAGTCTGAGCAAAGACATCAAAGCTAGCATCGTCGCTACCAGTAACCAAAGTGTTCCCCGAGATACTAGGATCGGAGTTGTTGTGCTCCTGGATCACGCCGAGATGAGCGATTGCGTCCTTGCGGGCCAGGTGGGAGCAGCGAGCATTGTCTTGCGCAATCAAGCTGGCGTCCTCGAGATAGAACTTGCGAGCATTTTGCACCTCCAGATCGGTCATGAGGATTTCCAAAGTTTCATCGCCCGTTTCATTCTCCGGCATGCGCCTTCCCTTCTCTGGCAAAACCATTTGCTGGGTCGGAGTCTGATGAATCTCCTCTTCGGGAGTGGAAGGAGGAGTCAATTCAGTGCCTGGTCCGGTAATATAAAGGTACCAATGCTCGCCGTTCATCTTGCCAATCATGTATGCACTACCGCCCAAGAACATCCTGTCCAAGTACCGCACCTCGTCGCGCCAGCTGCGGTGTGGCCCTTTCTGTTGATCGGGGAACAAGAAGTTCTTGCGACTGTAGAAGACACGATGTGGCTTAGCCGCCGCACTGGTGCCTTCTGGCAGGCTGGCCTTGACGTGCGGGAAGCCCGCTTCTAGAGCTGCGATTTCCAGAATGCGTGGCAGCCCACGCAACAGAGTAGTCGTGCCGCAAGTCTTTAGCACGAGCTTGTGTGGGAAGATGAACATGCTCGACTCCGAGAGCAAGTACGCATCGACATTGCCAGACTCGATGACTGACAGAACCTTGCAGTTGACTAGGTCAAGCATTTCCTTCCAGGTGTCCTGAGATACGGCCTTCAGCCCATTTGGCACTGCCGAAGGCGGCAGCGCCTTGTCCGACTCCGTGAACCATACTTCTAGGAGCTTCTCTGGTCCTTCAAATGCATTGCTGGAGTCAAGATCGAGAGCAGTAATGTCTCGATTGATCGTCCAATGCGGAGTTCCACTCAATGAGGAAGGAGAATTGGTATAGTTGGGTGGGATCGTAGTGTTCACCATTTCCAATGCTTGCTCTTTCGGCTGGTTTCTTGATCACGCACTTGTGCACTTGTGCCTCTTGACCTGGCGCAGGCGGCTGTGTGTCCGCTGATCCTCTGAACTGTGATAGCTCTGTCTGCTGCCTCAGCGACTGTCTCAAGATCGCCTGAGGAGAGAAGGCCCACACCCTTCTTTTCGAGTTGGAGGCTGGCTTACGCCAGCAGCAAGCGGTTGTGAATGTGGTAGACGACCTTGGTCGTGTTATGGAGGTCTTCCGCAGGAAAGGATATGGGAGCTCTTGCGGCGGGGAATGGTGCCGACTATGCGCGGGTCGAGGTGAACAGGTCTCCGATACCCGGCGGAAGTATCGGGTCGATAGGCTGTGGGAAGGTGGTGCTTTGGTAGGTCGAGGTCGTCGAGATGGTGTTATCTAGGCCTGTGACACATGGGGTGGTCAGCGTCGCACTCAATTCACCACAGCGGCAAACTTTGGTTTTCCTACTTCTGAGGCTTGGACAGTGCTCGTAGAAGATCTTCTGGACGCATGGAACGTGGGAGTATTGCTGGAGAGGCTCTGGTTTACAGACTCTTCATTGAGAGTCTGATATCAAGCACGCGACGTGCTTTTTTTGGGCGCAGAGTGCAATCGTCGCAAGGTGGGTCGCACTGGTCTCGTGCGTTGTTGCCGCTTTTGTAGGGTTTCAGAGGGACTTTGCAAATTACAGGTCCGAATCTGAGGTGTTTTCGAGGTCAGTTTGTCGTGGTGGACAACATGGACGAGGGCGAAATTTTTAAAGTGACGTGGCTGCAGATGGCGGGCCAATTCTCGATATGCAGCCCAACGCCAAGTGCATGTATCCGAGCGTCTCAGACCAACAGGTCAATGCCTGCATGCGTGATTTAAACATCAGACGACGTTGCACGAATGCCTGTTCCTACTCAGTCCCGAATGCTGCTCGTTTGGTTGAGTGCCTTATACCCAAGCTCACGAAGCGTTTGCCACCTACTGCTCAAATCTGTCTTGGACTGAAGAACATCTGCGTATCAAAGACCGAATGCCTTCATCTATGGGGCTATCGCCACCCTTGCATAGCATATGCCTCTCAGGATAATCACGCAGACCATTGAGCAGCTCATGGAGAAACAACCAAAATGTTCTTGATGTGTACTTTGTCGATTACATTTGTACATACGAAGAACAGATGCCTGCTCTGTTCAACTCTCAATGTCCTCTACCAGGAGGATTTCCAGTATTAGATGATGATGGTACAGTTGGTGGTGGGCCCATGCTACCAGGCGCAGAAGACGCAAACCCACCATACAGCATTGGTCCCAAGAGCACAGCCAGCTCTTGAATATCGGCCACCATTTCCGCCGGTCGCTCCCAGGCAGGGAATCGCACGCTACCAGAGCGGCTGCGAAAGAGGAGTACCCGATGATATGATTCTGCCCATCGTGCGCTGGAATGCGGTTGCTCATGACTCCCAAAGTGCGAGATTGCCAAAGGGACCTGGGTATAAGAGCGCCAGAGTTTGGGCACCACTGGTGCAGAGCTCATGAGCCACCTGAGGGCTACCTCTGGGCCGGGTAACCAGTACAGCATACACCAATCAATCAGTGCCGTAGGTGTCCATGCATTTTGTAAGCCTGGGATATTGATGAATGGTGAGGTGGAGGCGTCGGAGGACGTGGGTTGGATGGCATCCATGGTATACGCTAGCAACCCCGTGGGCGAGTCACACAACGCGTATGCGACGGTCTGTGGACGGTCTGGTATGATCGAAGGTGATCCAGGTGTCAGTGGAGGTGTGATGCCATGAGGCGATTGGGAAGGCGAAGCTGGCATCGACGTGGGCTGGTGCGAATAGCCGTAGCTCGTTCTAAATGAAGATGTGTCAGCCTTCGTGTACGGAACTCGTGGGCAGACAACTGACCTGGGATCCGGTAGATCAGGGTTCGAAGTATGAACCGCGATGCAGCTCTCGCTGTGCACCAGTGCCAGCAAACGACAGATATTGAACCCCCTAATTGCGCGTCAGTTCACATGGGCCTGATGAGGAGGATGCACAGGCTGGCAGACCTTGTGCATATCTGAGACGTACCATCCGCTCCCAGTCGCGATATATGTTGAATAGCCCAGCGATTTCATCAAGGCATCGAACAGCTCTGCGGTAGACGAGACATTGTTTCCTTCTTCAGCAACCACATCGCTAAATCCGAAGCCTGGGATGCTTGGTGCGATAACGTGGAAAGAAGGTGTGTTCTCGTTTCCCCGGGGTGGTGTTTTGACGGGGTCTGTGAGGCTATCAATCATATGGTATATGCCAATGAAGCTTTCAGGCAGCCCGCCGTGTACAAAGATGAGGGGTATAGCGTTCGGAGACGTTGAACGCTTGTGTACGTAGTGCAGCCGAGTGCCCTGCACGACCATACGATACTGTGGAAGCGTATCATTGTAATGTGCCTATCACAAGTTAGCTGAGAATGATTTGAGAATGATCCATAAATGTTACTTCCTGAGCTCTCCAGTTATACCTTTCCACCCAGTGATCCACAAGTGGCTCCAAATCAGATTTGGCGACACCGAAACTCCATCTCGTAGGCTGACGACTGCGTTGCTCCCGCGGCAACCGTGTGAGTTCCAGCTTTCGTCGGGTCAAGTCGAGGTACTTCTGGGAGACATGCATCCGATAGGGCAGCACGACGTTTGTGACAGTCGATGGTGACCTTCCGCTTGACGATGCATTCGACGCCATTCGATCTGTGACAGCTAAGCATCACATGAATTGATGCAGCCCCAGGCGTGCGTTGCGGTCGAACAGGAGTGTCGTCCTCGTATTCTGCTCGTGTCTTTGGTAGAAGTCGGCATCAAGTGTTGACGCGCATTGCTGGAATTTTCTCAAATGTATTTCCTCACGAAGAGGGTCGGCGAAGTTGCACTACTGTTAGCAAGGATCCACCACAAAGGCTGCAACCGGACAGCTAACTGCATTATGGGCATTGGTGCTGCCTCATGTTGTATGAACGTAAGGCATGAACCCTTGAGCGTCTTCCATGACATGCAGTCGAGTAGGGTCAAGGGACCGAGATGAATTGGGAATCCTCCGCGATGGCAAGACTCAATGAATACTATCGGAGCGCCCGACCATGCAGGTTTCCGTGCACTATGGGATGGACTTCTCATGATTGCGTTGCGAAGGTCGCATGCGGTACCCTAGGAATGTTGTACTATTGGTCGGATGTCGCAATTCGGACAAAATTCCCTGCATATGTGATCAACTGCTATATGCTTTCGCGCCACAAACGTTTCATGCTTCTAGAGTCGTGGCTGTGCTTTTAGTGAGTTGAAAGCGCCAGAAGTTGGCAAACGAGCCTTTCAGCTGGGTCGGCACCTGTCGTTCGTGCCTGACTAGCTGATAGTCTCTCGGCAAACATCGTCGTGCCGTCTCCAAGTGGCGCGGATTCTGCACGGAGGGCGGTGGCGAGTTCGGAGCTTCTTAGCGATGTCGTCCTATCCTACACCATGCGCTGCTGGTGTACCAGACGATCTTCTTGCCGCGGGCCGCGTGGCCGACGGCCTCCTGCGGGAATCTGACGCCCTGCGTTCCCATCTGCTGATGAGTGCGCCAGTAATAGGCAGAGCCGTGAGAGCAGGAGAGAGCGCAGAGAGCATCTTATGCAGCTCGCTTCTGCGGCGTGCATGCTTGCAACTTCAAGACATCGATGCGGATCCAATCAAGTTTTGAACCCACTGAGTCTCGGGTCAATGGCTTGACGAAGCCTGTCCAAGTGGCAAATGGTGTCAAAACGGTCTGAGGCTGACATTTGGAATGGTGAGCATAAAGGAAGGTGGAAGGGAAGGGTGAAGGAAGAGAAGGTCGGCTCGCACCGCCACGTACAGCACAGCCACAATGTCAGCGCGACTGCATCGCACCGCACCTGCTCCTACTAGCCAAAGACACCACATAACCTCTATCAACCTTCATGGGGATGTCGGTATCAGACTCGGCCTTACCACTGAACATCCATGTTGTACAATGAAAGCACTACATGCTGTGCATGCCTCCAGTCTTGGAGTTAGAATTCCTGCTGATCATGACGCCCACGCTGCGAGACTCTGCGAGACTCTGAGGCAGAGCGGCTCTCACCTGGCGCAAAAGCTTACGCTCATAACAGGTCACAGCAGAGTGTTCGTTCACAGCGCATGTACTCCAATTTGCGCATACAGTTCAACATGCAGACGTCGGCCGGACATTTTGGAATAGAGCTGATCGTGCCTAAACGCTCATGACGCCTCCATTCAAGTCAAATTGACACTTATGCCCTAGTGAAGCCGAGATCCGCTGTTGAGGACCGTGTTGTCGCGGAGTGCTCGAATACTTAACGGGGAGAAGCTTGGTAGATGCCATCGGATTGGAATGTGCACTAGTGCAAGAAGCTCCAGGGAAGTACTATTCGTACATTGCATCACATAATTGCTTGGACTTGCGTTATCACCCTTCAACTGAAGAAGGTGAGCTGGTGCTTCTATGCACTCACCAATGTGGAGCGAGGCTGCTCTCAGACATCAAGGCGGAGCGCTTGGCTTGAGCCGTACAACTCTGTATTGTAAGGCGACCTACTACGCGCTACTGTCATCTATGCTCTGCATCAGGCAAGTGACGGTCATAGATTCGGAAAGGACGGTGGCCGTGCCTCTTATACTGCACGCCACAAGTGTGCATGAACCTGAGAGCAACTTCTTAAGTATGTCCTGAAGGATCGGCAAAAGTCTCCTTGGTGTATTGGTGACAGGGCAATCCTGGCAGCGCTCCAGACGAAGTCATAATCTGCGCGTCAAGTTGACGTGCGAGCTGATCATCAAGTAATTTGACTGTGTTTGAAAACAGGTCACTGAACTCCCTTTCGATGACCGGATATCTCAGCTCATGTTCACGTGCAGAACTTGTGCGCCGCGGCAGCTCTTGTTCAAGAATCGGCGATCGCTTCGTGGTTGATTATCGGATGATTAATCTGCGGATATGCCACGGTTGAAGTTGTGAGAGATGGATGTTTCCTCCAGCAGTCATCAGTCTAAGGCTACTGTGTTACCCTTGACACTCATGGTAGCTCTCATAGATCATTGCAACAACCTCTCTCACTGTTGACAGTCCTGATGCTAGAGCTGTATGAGGTACTGACTTCGGGTACTGAGACGGAACTCTTTACGCCGGGGCCGGTCGAGGTTTGCTTAGTTGTCAATCTCGCGTTGCAGTCCTTGTCCAGGCCTGGAAGTCGTCTCGAATAGCAGTGCAACAATTGGGACTGGCCGCGGAATCTGTCTCCTACCCATGTCAGGTCTTTGCACAAGGAGAGCATAGGAATCGATGAAAGCATGTGAGATCTCATGGGAAAAGTGGGGCGCCTTGGCACTGACTGGCGATGCGTTGCGATGACTTCGATCAGCGGTGATGTCGGTGCGTGCCCTCTACAACCACGTCTATACAGCCCGCCAGCACACTTCAGTCGCGTCGCACACGAATGCCCCCTCCGCGCCTCTCCCGCACTCCGCCCCTCCCTCGATACTTTTGCCCGCAGCTGCGGCACATGCGACGCAAGCAACCTCGAGCCACCACCAAGCCGCCCGCGCCTACGAATCCTGTGTCTAAGACTCGCGCATACAACGAAGCCTTGCGCTGAAAGAGCGAACAAGACAAGCTCTCACATATTTGCTTGACGAGTTGTCTCTGAAACCTTTGTGTGCACCACAATGCCAGAGTAGGAGGGCGTCGCTGGTTGTTTCTACGCCGAACAGGCCAAATAAGACACGAATCTATACAAGACGAGACATTACCCCCATACTCTGTCTCGTAGCCTGTAGACTCTCCTTCCATCGCCTACTTCGTTTCTGTCGCGGACTCGCCGAACTGGCTACAACCCTCATCACGGATCGCGCACCGACCACGACGAACCAGCGCAAGAGCGTAAGTTCCGCGGATAACAGCGTCAGTCGACGCTCCTTCCTGGACCACGATGCAGCAGGCCGTGGGGACGCGCAAACGGCCAGCACCTGGCGCCTCGCCATTGGTGCAGCAGCCCATGACGCCGCAGTCTGCCTTCTACCAGCCGATGCCCGACAATGCCGCTGATTTCAACAACAATTTCGACTTCGCAAACGGGTTTGGCAATGATCAGACATTCTCAACCCCAACCTTTGATGACAGCAATCAGTTCGCTTTCAACAACGCACAGCCGCAAGCATACAACGCCGGCCTCGCGCCAGGACAGTCCACAGATTTGGTGAGGCGGGGCAGGAATCAACAGCTGGCGGCCCCAAACGGAACTGTGCAACAAGAGGCGTGGAACGGGAGTAGCTACGGCAACATGACGGGCAATGGGCAAGAAGAGAGCGAGTCAGATTTGGAGGCTAAGGTTGCGCTGGCGAAGCGAGAAGCATCAGGAAAGAGGAAACAGATTCCGCCATTTGTGATGAAGTTGAGCAGGTAAGTACACGGCGTTCCTGGAAGGCGATCACTTGAGTGCAGACGCTGATACATCATACAGTTTCCTCAACAAGGAAGACAACGCCGACAAGATCAAGTGGTCGGAAGATGGACGCTCTTTCATCGTGCTCGACGAAGACGAATTCGCTCGAACACTCATTCCGGAACTCTTCAAGCACAATAACTACGCCTCATTCGTGCGGCAACTCAACATGTACGGCTTCCACAAAAAGGTCGACATCGCCGACGGCTCGCTACGACAATCCGAGTCAGCACGGAAGGGCCAAAAGCCGCCGAGCATGTACTCGCATCCCTATTTCCGACGCAATCGGCCTGACCTCTTGTGGCTCATCCAGAAGCCTACTGGCAAATCGGGCGCTAAGCGGAAGCGCGATGGCACAGTCAAAGGCGAAGGCTACGACAGCGACGATGAGCGGCAATTCTCGCCAGGCCCCGAAGGGAGACCTAGTGGAGAAGTCGGAAATGTTGGCGCCAACGGTCTGGCACAGATGCCACGAACTGAAATGGCCGCTGTACGCCAAGAGCTGAAGAAGCTTCAGCAACAGCAAGGCATGATCTCGCGCATGATCAATCAACTGAAGGAGCAGAACGAGCACTTCTACCGGCAGGCTACTGCCTTCCAAGAACTGCACGATCGGCATGAGAACTCGATCAACGCTATCTTGACCTTCCTAGCCACATTCTACAACAGAAGCCTCGAAGGGCATTCCGGACCTGGTGTCGTGAACATGTTCGGCAACCAGACACAGAACAGCCAGCAGCAACATGGCAGTGTTGTTGAGGAGTACCATGACAGCACGACTGATGCAAGCAACCAGGTGCAGCGCTACACCAAAAAGCCACAACTACTACTAGGTGCGCCTCACGCCAAAGACTCCACCAGTGGTACAGTCACACCCAACTCTAGGCAATCCGTCAGTCCGCCAGGGGGTAATTCGCCACCACTCAAACATGATAGCTCCGCCGCACTACGACCTGGAAGCACAGATCCTGTCAACGGAAGAGGCACCTCGGCGACCAGCCCTGTGATCAAAGAGGATGCTGAAACCCCAACCTACCTCAACTCGGTACCTGATAACAACCAAGTCATGAGCTACATCAACAACGCCAATGCAACCAGTGCATCAACAGAGAATACCCCTGCATTCGACATATCTGCCTTGGGAGACTACTCGAACGCGGTTGGTGGACTGACACCGCAACAGAGAAGCACTATGCTTGCAATGATCAATCAACATGGTGGTGCTTCATCGAACGAGAACAATGCTCTTGTTGCGCCAAATGCGCCTTCAGTACAGCAGCACATGGAGAACATCAAGCAAAACAAGGAGCAACTCGAAGCGCTGACTGCCATGCAAGCTTCTACCAATCAGTCCATCCAGAACATCCAAGAGAGGATAGGACAATTCTCACCTGGCGCACCTTTTAGTGGAGACGACGCAGGCGGCTCACTTCCGGATTTCATAATGGACGATTTGCTTCAAGGACCCGTCAACGACAGCGACTTCAACAACTTCGACAATAACTTCGATTTTCAAGCTGCAGCAGAGCAAACGAACCCAGACTGGAATAATGACTACTTTGGCGAAGCTGGTGACACTGGAGCAGACATGTTCCAAACCGATGGGACCAACGGCCTGGATCACGATCATCTTGCGGTGTCTTCTGGAGGCACAGGAACGGTTGAGGTTTTGAGCAGTGAAGCGGCAAGTCCGTCGGCGGCTCAGAGCGTATCAGAGGATGTAGAGGGACACGAACTGGACACAAAAGCGTCGAACAAGAAGAGGCGCGTGAAATGAACAGACTTGCACATGTTGGACCGGCATTGTAGCTGACTTCTGGCTTAGGGAGGGCTGAGATAGAGATGGCTCAGAGCTGTCTTCTCGCGTACTCCTGTTTTGCATAACTCACGACGTAACGAGTTTCTTTGCATCATGCTCAACTCATATCTGCACATGATGAACGAGTTGACGCAGAAGCTGAAGGTGGCATAGATACCCTATGAGATAAAACCTGTCACTTGACATCCACTTTCGCATTAAGCATCCATCATCTATTGAATTGATCTCATTGCTGACAAAGTTATCGAGCAGAATCAGTCGACTTCTTCGCCTTTTTCAGAGCGATCTCTCCGAATCGACAATATCTCTGCATTGCATATCGAGCGCAAGAGGTTACCGGCCCCGGCGCGAAGTGCGAGAACCTCCCTGCGAGCCGACTCGAAACTGCTCGACAGACGCAGGGCCAACTCGGCGGATGCAGTGTAGCAAAGGAAAGCCGTCGGTCACAGGGATGGACGATTTGGTGGTCTGGGCCGATGAGGAAGGAGCAGAGCACAATGATGCACTTCGGACACTCCCAGGATCTGGGGTCAGAACTCCATCAACGACTTTCATCACAGCCATCAGTGTTGTCCGGCTAGCTCATGAGAGCTTGCGCTGCATCCAGCTCTCGAGCCGCAGCCCAGTCAGCTTGGGTGCCCTCGTCCTCCTCAGACGCCATGCCGGCCACACTCGAAGCACGCGAGCGATCGCCATCTGAATCCGAGGAGTCTTCAGGATTCCAGTCTTGTTGCAAAGCCAGGTATGGCCTTTGATGAGGATCTGAAGGTTCTGGTTGGCGCGAAGAAGGACTGGAATTACTCCCGACACTGTCTGTCTGCGCCGGGCGGGTAGCCATCGGTTCCTGCTCCCTGGCCAGCCTTCGAGCGCGTGAAGACTGATGCATCTGAAGTTGTTGATGGGAAGGCAGCACTATTGGGTTTCCGGACTCCCCTGTGCGTGCAAGTCCATCTTCACCAAGGTCGGAATCGACACCTGCAGGGGCTCGTGACTGTCTTGCCATCGAGTCTTGTTGAGCAGCTGCACGACGCACCGTAGTGCTCGGCGCAGGAATGTTCGTTGACTGCACTGCAGCTCTACCAGGCTGCACAGGAGGATTGCGACCCCAAGCTGCCTGACGACGAGCTAGAACAAGCTGGTGGAGACGTGCCCTCGCAAGTCTCGCATCGTTGGCTTGGCCATTATTCCGAGGACGATGCACAGCGTTCTGACTAGGCTCAGCTGCGACTGGACTTCGGACATTTGAAGAGAGATTTCGCCCAACTCTAGCTCTGGAACCCTCCTCATAATAGAACTCCAGATGATTCTGCTGCTTGTGCTCGAGAACTGAAACGTGGACGCGCAGCTGCTCTCGCCGTGCTTCGAGATCACGAACTTCCTTCTCCAACTGGACTTTCCTGAACTCCTCGGACTCTGCTGCTGCTGTAAGCCAGCCTCGGAATTTTTCTCTCGCCACCGCGAACATGGTTTTCAACTTCGCCAGGGTCTCTTTGCACAGCTGGGGTGCAACATTGATGGATCTTGACAAGAACCTTCCGGCGGTCTTAACTATGAGCAGTCCAATGAGTATCGAGCAGAGCCGAAACGCGATGGCGCGGTGTTGCTTCCAGCCTGATAAACCGACTGTCGAGAGAATCGTATAGCCTCCTGAGCGTTGCCTCAGCCATCCTGAGCTGCCGTATTGCACGTGGAATTTCAAGAACAAATGCACCAAGGTCGCACTGCTTTGCAGCAGTCTTCATGTGTATTGTTCGAAGCGCTCGGCAATTACATCGCGATTTGCTTCGCGCTTGCTGCGTGGTGCAAGGATGAGACGACTGAGCAGGCCATAGGATCTGTGGACGAGAGCAATATATGCGATCTCTTTGGTGGACGACCACAGAAGACCTGGAGCGTGACGCGCAGTGAAAATTGGGAGCTGAAGTCGTTGTTCGAGCAGGTCGAGGAGGGTTGGCGAAGTGGCGCTGTTTGGCATGGCTTCAGCAAAGCAGCGAGGGGTAAGGCAATGAAGTGAAGATGTTGCAGAGCAGGAGGGTGCAACAACGCCAACCATACTCAACTTTCTGTACGAAGCTCACTTGGCGAAAGAGAGCTAACCACCAGCTGCCCCTCCGAAAACTCAGGCACAGGCACAGGCAAAGGCAAAGCAAGAACTTTCGGGTCCGGAATGAGGAGTATTGACTTTTGCAGGCACATAGAAACGCCCTTTGGCTATATGGGACTGCTCGACCGAAAGGCCATGGGATTTCTGGTACACTGGAGTTGATTATCAATCCCAGCCGCAGCAATCCAATTCGCTCGAACGCACATACTTCGCAACCATATGTGGTACGTTGACTTCCAGGAAAATCAACTGCATCTGTGGCCATGATAATGAAATGGAGTCTCGCTAGGACTTGCTCGGCCTCCTAGAGCCGGCCATGCCTTCTGCCAGCTGCCGACTGTGCTTCGCCACTTCTGCGATGTGCACGACGGCACACAGCACCATCTCCTTGGTGTGGCGGAGCATATTGTTCTCGGGACTGCCGGAGGCTTCCTAGCTCACGAGGTTGGCCACGCACAGAATTGTGTCGCAAGGGACTGTTTGAGATCCGAATTGCTTTAGCGTAAGTGATCGCGTATATCAGCATTCTCCCCAGAAATGCAGTTGGTTCTCTGCTGCTCAGCCTGGCGACGGGCGCAATAATGCGTGAGAAAGTTATTCTGAGCCGCGTACAGGTGAGTGCCGTCAATGCATTTTGGATGGATTGCTTCCGGATAGCTAGAGGCTTCTCTGCCCAACAGCTTGACCCAGGACAAGGTTGTGGGCCAAAGAGCTGACGGAGTGGTTCGAAGGGCAGAAATCGCACGCTGACCCAGTGGAAATAGGAAAACTTTCACATCGCCGGTCCCTACCGGACGCTGCTTCAGTTTGTATTTCTCGCACAGCCGGCGCAGGTTGAATCTCCTTTCCTTTCTTTCGTACTCGGACGAGAAGCAACTCTTCGAATCTATCTCAGCTGCTACAACCACTTCCACGCTCACGATGCGCGTCTGTATGCTTTTTGCCAGACCATTCTTCGGCGCCCCGAATCTCGAAGCCAGCGTCGCGGAGACCTATGCAAGCAATCTCGATGACATGGCCTACAAGATCATGTACGAAATGTTCGCGGACGCCAATGAGTACGAAATCGACGAGATGCTAAAGATAAGTTCCCTCACGGTGTCCCTGGGAGCAAAGCACTCTGGTAGCCCAGCCACAATTCAAAGCCTGTCGGAACTTCCAGTATCATGTCTCGGCGCCGTATTGTTCGCGGTGGTGCTCATTGTCGCCACGATGGTCTCGAGCTACGTTCGCGGCTACCGGAAGGAGTCTCGTCGCCGAGAAGAGGTTGAAACTACTTTCCGGCGACGTGTAGCAACGGCCTGGAATCTCCAACAGTGCCATGATGCACTGGGGGACCGAGATTCCGCATTGGAATTTGATCAGAAGCTCAAGCTGGAAGGAGATGAGAGACCGACCTCCGCTCCAGTCTCTTTTACTCTGGCTGGCTTCGCTCTCATGATGGGCTCATTCTTCCTTGCGAGGGATGCAAATGTGTATCCTGCTTACCAAGGAATCCTCTCCTGGCACTTGCTTCCAACCGTGCTCGCCTTGTCCTTCCTTTCTGTCGTCTCGTTGTTTCGATATCAAGCAGAGACGAATGATCCTGTTTACAAGGACACTCGGACCGAGAGGAGAGTCACCACCACATACGCGGATTTCCCTCTCTTTCTCTTGATCAAGGACACTTTCACGGCAACGAAGCAAGAACTGCAGACGAAATTCTCGGAACTTCAAAACCGAGTCAAGGCAATGCTTCCTGGGCTGGCGAACAAGCTGGAATCCTTCACAGGAGAGGACCTCTCACTGCAATCCGTCCTCACTCAGACCCCGGCCTACGTTCTCGTCTTCCAGACACTCTTCATCAACGTCTCGCGGGCTTTCACGCCAGCTCCGAACCCAGCCAACCTTCCAGAAGCAGAGCAAGACTCCAAGTTGATAATCATGGCCTGTGCCACTTTCGCTCTGACGCTAGCAGGGCCAGCCATGCTACTCTGTGAGAAACCCCTATGGAACTGGTCCGTGAACTTGAGCAGAGACTCCAAAGAGGATGTCCAAGGACGAATCAAACCACTCATCAGCACATCCCTCTGGACCCTCTCCATCACCTGGCGCCTCCTAGCCCTCGACCTCACAATCTCCTACTTCGCGAACACCCTACCAATCATCGGCACAGTCCTAGGAGTTTTCTACACGTACTTTTTCTCATCGTGGCAATCATGGCAACTTCTTCTCGAAATTGTCTCGACGACACTCGGTATCTATTTCGTATTGGATATGGGCAGGACAGTACTCTGCCTCTGCGGAGATATTGCCGAGCCATTGGATGTGACGGCCCCTCATCCGCACGAAGGTAAGAAGCCAATGACCGCGTACCAACGCCAAGTGTGGAAAAAGTACGTAGAGGAAAAGGGCGATGCGCCAATGGATGAGTCGTCAGATGATTCGGATGATAGTAAGAAATCAATGACTGCGGAGCAACGTGAAGTGTGGAGGAAGCACGTAGAGGAATTGGTTGATGGATTGCGAAGAGCCTCTCTAGAGAAAGAAGAAGAAGAGCGGAGGTTGCAGCTCGAAGAGGAAGCTAGACTAGCACAAGCAGCTGCTGTGCAGGGCGCGAAAACAGACGACGGGGACGATGAAGGCTCGGAAGCAGACGATGGAGACGACGAGGACGAGGACGACGAATGGTTAGAAGTCGAGAAGCTCGAAACTGAGGCGGAAGTCGCGGAATGGGAGCTCGTGCCACGGACTGTATCCTGGCACAAGAGTACGAGGTCAGACTCGTAACGACTGATTTGGAAGTCTATGCTTCTTGACCAACGCGAAATGAAAGCGCGTGCTGTCAAAAAGGAGACTGGATGATACTGCTCATTGGGAAATGAATTTCTATTTCGTGTGCGAGATAAGTAACGCGCATAACGCGAAGTAGATCAAACCCATATGACAAGCCAGCGCTTTAGATTCCTGCGATGCAATGCGATGCATTTATACATTGGTTTCAAGACCCGCGTTAACACAAATGTTTTTTCAGATTCCAAGATATAGGGAAGAGATTGGGTTCAATTTCTTCCGGTTGGCTTTATTTTTGGTCGTCCAGTAGGCAGGCGTTGCAACGAAGAGCCCAGCTCTCCGCAAAGCATAAACCACGACAGCTCCTTGACAGGACTTTACTTTGTTTCTCGGAGGGTTTCGACAAATTCGAGCACTCCATCGTAGCCTTGCTGCAAGTTCACGACTTGCGCTTTGAGATCGGAGTTCTCGTTTCGGAGTTTCTCGACTGTGGCCCATGCGACGCCTTCATTTCTCGAGAAAGCCGTAGATTGTTGTGATAGAACGCTGCCTCGAGCGGGTATATATCGCGGATCAATCCGATGGTCCAGTGTCGGAGGTCTTGATGCATACTGCGATGCAGGCGTCTCAACGCCACTGCTGAATAGCGAAGCTGTGTCTGCATCAGACTCGAATCCTGAATCGGAAGCGCTTCCTCGTGAGCTGCGCTTGATCGTCCTACTCGGGTCTTCATCCTCCTCTGGAATTTCTGTCTCGCGTCGTACTATGCGAATCGACTTTGCGCGTTCTTCTTGCAATTGCTGTACCTTCATTTTCTCCTCGGAGAACTTGAGGATAAGTTCTTCGTTGACGTCGCGTTGCTCTTTCGCAATGCGCGCCGTATCCTCAAGCTGCATTTTCAAATGCGCCGAGCGTGTTTGTGCCTCTTCAACCTCCTCTTTTTGCGCATCGATTTCTGGTTGTATGCTCGCCAAGTATTCGACCTTCTCTTTATATGCGATTTGCATTCGCTGGATCAAGTTTGTCGCGTTGAGGAGTAGATCGTTGAATGCTTGAGGGGACAGTGGATCTGCAGGGCCATGGGGGAATAATGCCGTGTTGATGTTGATGCTGAGCATCTCATCCTCCACCTTTACTGGCTGCGGCGCCGGTGTGCTCGCTTTGCGGCCGAACCATGACACTTTCCGTGAGCTGTTCGATGCAGAGTTCGCAGAATTTGCAGTGGCCGTCGTGGATGTTGTCGCGTTTGTTGGTTGCTGCCGTAATCGTGGTCGACCAGGTCGCTCAGTAAACCCAGGTTGGTATTCCATGACGAACTCTGTGTCTTCTTTTTCCTTGATGGGCGAAGTCGGCACTCCCAATCGTACACGACCAGACTCACCAGAGAAGAGGTTGTCAACGAACTTGTTCTTGTTGGGCGAAGGCGATCGTTCCGGCGTGGTTTGGTTGTATGCGGCGGCCCAGGACTTTGCTCTGGAATGTAGCACGCTTCCCGATCGCGACAACACGGCAGCTGCAGGTTGTGCGCTTGACAGGGACGAGAGCAGACGCGATTTTAGGCCTTCCCGTGCCGGTTGCTGTTGTTTGCTGGGATCCTGGGGCAGATGCACCTCTTCGAAGCGGTTGTTCTCTATGCGCAATGTTGGGGTCAAATCGATAGCTCCCGCGCCTTGGTACGCAGTTGGGGATTCGGATGTGTTCTCGTGAAAGGGGTCGATCTGGTGGTGATAGCGTGGCGTACCCATGGCGGTGTGTACACCAGGTGGTCCTGGAGCTTGCAAGGATTGTTTCCTCAAGTGGGCTGTCGCGTGCGAAAGTGTCGAGGGTGTTTCACAAGGACAAGGCGGAATCCAGTCGTCGCGCAATCCGATCCACAGCGTGCCCACTCTCTCTTCAAAACTCCCGTCGGGAAGTTGAAGCAATTGTGTAGGCGAAGCTGTGCTGCGGCCAAGGATGAATCGGTGATGGGGCAGGTCCTGACTCGCTTCTCTGATTGCGTCAAGAGCTTCTTATCTGCAACGCCGTGCTGGAGAGATTCAGAAGATGTCGCATCCAACACCGCGCAGTGTCCGTGAGGCGGAGGCAGTGTTTTATGGGACCGAAGCTGGTCGTTGCTTGCGACCCGACCGCCAGAAGCTCTCTCCTTTGCCTGTCGATCCAGCAGAGGCCCGCCTATCAGCGGTTTGGCACGAGGTCGAAGTGGGACGGCCCGTCGGAGAGTTTGCGTGTGTGTGGGTGGGTGTGCCTGAACGAGTGTGGGTACTGGTTGTTGCGAACGATTGTCTGTCTGCACGAAGCGATGGGATGTTTTGCTACACAGCAAGGCGGTGTAACGAGGAGTCGAAGAATGGAAGAAAGGTGGAATGCCGCAGCTGGCAATATTCGTGATAGCGCCGTCTCATGTCCGTCAGAAGGTCGGAAGCGGCTGGGAATGGACCCTCGATGCCGCAAGGCTGGCAGGCTGGAGCGGTGGCTGGACGCTTTTGACGCAAACTGACAGCTTGTGCCTGGCCTTCCCTTGCCTTCTCCACGCACCCAGCGTACCAACTTTCCTGCTTCTTGGAAGCTGTCGCCGTTGCCCTGTGATTGCCATGTGTTCATCATGATGATATCTGGCCTTGCGACTTGCTCAGCTTTCGAACTCAGCCCGATCTCACTACGACCATCTCGGCTTTGCGCAGTGTTACAGCCTCACTCATTCTCCCGAGCAGTACTGTCAATACCCAGAACGCGGTCTGCAGAAGCCAAATTCGCCCTCCCGCCATCACGACTAGGATGGCCCTCGATTCTCGCCAGCTGCCACCCGCCTCACGACCGCACCGCGTAGCAAAAGATGGCAGCATGCCGGCCAGATTGATGAGGCGGTGAACATATCCAGATTTGTTTGTCCAGAGATGGCAGTATACTGAGGGTCATGCGGCGATGACTGGGAACGAAGAAAGAAAGGCGTGCTCGGGTCGGGCGCACCACCTTGAGACAACAAGCAGACAACAGACAGCAATGTCGAATGTCGCGAATGAGTGATACTGTTCCTCATGCGCTCTTCGTTAAGAGATTATGCCGGCGGCTTGGTGAGAGCGCTGCACTCATGCACTTGCGTTCTTGTCAGGCGGCAGTGCGCTCGTGCGTAAAATGTAGCAATGCGGGAAGTTGCGTACATTGGAGGACAACGTCGTCCTTGCGCCGCTTCGACATCAGAAGATATTCAGGCAAGTTCTCATGCGTATTATGGAGGTGAAAGCCTTTCGCACGAGCATCATCGAATCGTCTTGTTGGCGTGTCGAGACATTGCATGCGCGAGAGCCAGTCGCGTTGACCGTTGAGCCGTGTTCTGTTCCTATTGCTCTCCTTCGACACGCTGGCAGATCACCGGATGCTGGATAGAATCGCCAATTGGCGGCGAATCAGGTGATGCTGACAGTGATTCACGAAGGTCGAGAATTTGCGATCAATGTTTGAAGCTCCAGATGCCAGAACATCACCTCCCGTTCGAGCAGCTGCATTGCACTGTGCCCTATAAGCTCAGCTGCGACGACGCGCTCCTTCCACCCTCCGCCATCAGCTTCACTCTCTGACTAAGAACTGGAATACTAATCCGATTTTCTGCCCATCCTCTGGCCCCTGTCCATCGAAGGTGCAGCTACTGCATCTGTCCGTACTCCGAAACCTCCACGCCGTAACCCGTTTTGTGCAAACCGAAGCGACGGATAGCAGACCGAGCAAGACACCACTAACGTGTTTGATAAGCAAGTCGGACAGATAGGCATTCCGGACAGGCCAAATCAGGCCAAAATATGAGATTTTGGAAATGCGAAAGCACAACGATTAGACTGCTTCGAGACTTATAAACTATCTATCGAGTTCTGCTCTGCTCTCTTTTTCTCTATATACGGGAATCTAGCGTACTCCTCGCCTATTATACTCTTATATAGCTGTCCTACGACTTTTGTACGTATAGAAATACAATATTACAAAAAGTACTCGGAACAAATTGCTAAATAATCTTCAAAATCTAGATCTTATAGCTTAGAAGACATATACTAAGAATCGGAGCTATATCTCTTTGCGTTGTCGCGTTTTCGTATTTCTAAAATCTCTGATTTTGGCCTGATTTGGCCTGTCCGGAATGCCTATCTGTCCGGCTTGCTTATCAAACACGTTAGGGTTGATGGAGTCTAGACGAAGTACCGCGACGAGTGGCCCCGATGCTGCTGACGGCCTGGTAAGTCGCGCAAGCAATAATAATACAGACGGTGTCTCCCAGCAGTGTTACTCGCGTCCAGCCTCGAGTATTCCAGTTTTTCCATCATGCTGTTCAAGGCCTCGAGGTGGCTCATGCCCCTGCTGGTACATGGCTCACACGTGGCGGCACAGATTATTGAGGTCGAGCCCTTCATCCGCGATATTCCCAAAGTCGAGCTGCACATCCACATTGAAGGGACGCTGACACCGCGGCTTCGATGGGATCTGGCTCAGAAGAACAATGTCACTTTACCATATAAGACCTTCGAAGAACTTCAGGCCAGCTATGACGAACTTGCAAATTTGCCACAGGAGAATTACCTCCCAGCTTTCTTAGAAGGCTACTACGGCGGCATGGATGTACTCCTCCACGAAGATGATTTCTACCAATTGGCCATCGACTACTACAACAAATCCGTCTCACTCAACGTCCGATATTCCGAAATCTATTTCGACATCCAAGCCCATACTCGTCGAAACGTCTCTGTTGCCAACGTCATGAACGGCTTTCTACGCGCAAAGAAAGAAGCCAAGGCTAAATACAACTACGACAGCACTTTCATCCTCGCCTTCCTCCGCGAACTTCCCGTAGAATCTGCTCAAGAACACTACGATCTTGCCGCGCCATGGCGAGGGACCCTCTTCACGGCCGTTGGCCTCGACAGCGATGAGAGACAACGTCCGCCAATTCTCTTCGATAGCGTATATCGCCAAGCACGCAAAGACGGTCTCAAACTCACTGCCCACTGCGATGTCAATCAAGAAGACACCTACGAACACATCCGCCAAGCCGCCCTCGAAGTCGGAGGCGGAGGCCTCGATCGCATCGACCATGGTCTTAACGCAGCTGAGAAACCAGAACTTATCAATGCTATCAAACAGCAAGGTATTGGACTAGCTTTGTGTCCTGCGGCTTACAGTTTAATCGCGAATTCGAGTTTTATCTTCCCTCGAGTGAGGACTTTATACGATGCTGGGATTCCGATTACGGTGAATAGTGATGATCCGACTTATATGAGGAATTATTATGTTTCGGAGGCGCTACAAATGACGCAGGATGAGACGCCTTTTTCGAAGGAGGAAGTGGTGCAGTTGCAGAGGAATGCGATTCAGATTTCATGGGCTGATCCGCTTGTGAAAGCGGCGATTGCGGCGGAGTTGGAGGCTTATGCGGTGGAGAATGTGATTTGATGAGGGATGAAGGAGAGGTCGTGAGGGAGACTTTCGTCCAAGACTGTATGTTGCAAGCGTTCGTGCAGGTCGATTTTCTTTTATGCTAGACTGGATGAATATCTGACAGTCTCGACTATCGAGATGTTGCTGGAGTACATTGACGTCTCGTCATGTTATTGTCCCCGGGAGATGCCCATCTTTTCCCGAGCGCGATACAGTTTCGTTCTCTCATTTGCGAAAGCAGCTCGTGTGGGTGAGTACGAGCTAACCGTGGCTACCTCTGAATGCAACTACCTGTGAGTGCAAGCGCCTAACTAGAATGGCTCTCGATCCATGGG